TCAAAAAAAAGCATTTGCGGGAAGTTTTAATTCATTACTTTATTTTGAAGAAAAGTGCTGCTGAAAGTTATCATATGGTGAACATGCTCCATCTCAAGATACTTGTGTACACTGGCTTAAATGCTTTAACAGTAATGCTTTCGATGTGAAAGACAAAGAATATTCAGGTCAACCAAAAAAAGTTTGAAGACCAACAATTACAAGCATAATTGGATGTAGATGTGTGTCAAACTCAAAAATAACTTGCAGAAAGATTAATCGTTGCTCAGCAAACACTTTCTGATCATTTACAAGCAATGGGAAAGATTTTAAAGGAAGGAAAATGGGTGCCATATCAACTGAACGAAAGACACATGGAAAACTAAAAGGGTATCAGTAAAATGTTGCTTCAATGGCACGAAAGAGAGTCTCTTTTGCATTCAATTGTGACTGGCGATGAAAAGTGGGTTTATTTTGAGAATCCCAAACACACAAAATCATAGGTTGATCCAGGTCAACCATCAACATTGACTACAAGGCCAAATCGCTTGGGAAAGAAGGCAATGCCCTGCGTTTGGTGAGATCAGGAAGGTGTGGTGTATTGTGAGCTGCTAAAATTATATGAAACCGTTAATACTGATCATTACCAACAACAAATAATCCATTTGAAACACGCTTTGATTGTGCAATGACCAGAATGGGCCAGAAGACACGGCAAAGTAATTTTGCTTTATGATGATGCACCAGTTAAAGACACATTAAAACTTGACTGGGAAGTATTAACCCACCCGCCGTATTCACCAGACCTTGCTCCTTCAGATGACCACTTGTTCTGTGTTCCTATTGATGGCACGTGCAGTTTCTGAGCAGCACTTCAAAACATACGAAGAAGTGGAAAATTGGGTCTCAATGGTTTGCCTCAAAACAAGAAAAGTTCTATTGGGACGGTATTCACAAATTACCTGAAAGATGGAGGAAATGTGGAGTCAGCGATGGACATTACTTTGAATAAAGTACTTTTGATGTTTCTCCTGAAATTATCGTGTTTTCTGTGATTATAAAATCCGCATTATTAACTGGTACACCTGGTATAATTATTGTATGGTGCTGAAGTTTGCTAACTGATTAGGAATCTGTATTTTTAATAGACACCCTTTTAATAAAGCCTGCCCCACACATTTAGGAATTACTGATCAATAGCAGCCTAATTCTTGTTCCCCTTTGAGGTATCATCTATATACCATTTTAGAACTCGAAATAAACCAATACTTCTTTATTGTTTTCAAGAATCAATATTCTATATAAGTAATCCTAGATCTGAAATTTTAAAATATGTCTGTATTTGACTCAGAATTATATCAGTCAATAATTACTTCAAATGTTAGAATCAACTTTTTCTACCATAGAAGTGTACATTTTTTAACAGAAAGGGCATATGTAAAAATTTTAGACTTTGACACATTTATAGGAAACTATAATCTGAATGATCTCTTATAAAGATAGGATTTGAAAAAGATTTTTTCATGGGTTAAGAATGATTAATGAGTTTATAAAGTAATATACTATTTCAGACCTATAGAAAAAATTGAAAGAAAATGCAGTATATTGGAAACAAAATTATTATTTTTTGTTTAAAGTACATTTTTAAGATAATACATAATGACGGTTTATCTAAGATATGGGAAACAATTGGACCTAACCTACTACTTTCTACCAAATGAATGGGTATTCAGAATTTGGCAGTACTTGTCCTTTGTTGTTGTTGATGATAGCCATTCTGACAGGTGTGAGATGGTACCACATTGTTGTTTTGATTTGCATCTCTCGGACTATCTCTATTCTTACTATCCGTGTGACTTTGAACAAATTATTTAACTTTTCTAAATCTCAATTTTCTCTTCTTATAAAATAACTAGAGGCCCAGTGCTCGGATTTGTGCACCGGTGGTGTCCCTCAGCCTGGCCTGTGCCCTCACAATCCGGGTCCCTTCAGGGGATGTCGCACTTCTAGTTTTGGCCCAATTCCTGAGGCCAGGCCAAGGGACCCCACTGGTGCATGAATTCATGCACCAGACCTCTAGTATGCATATAAAATCTTTGATTAATCTATTCCTGCCCTCCTCCCCCCCTTCCCTCTGAGACTCATCAGTCTGTTTCATATTTCCATGCCTGTGCATTGAACATCTGTTCCCTGGTGATAGTGTGCATCATAGCTACCAGTTGAATGATCTCTTAGGCTTTTATACATATAGATAGTATTTACCTCTCAGAGTTGTAGGAACATCAAGTAAGATAATGTCTAAAGTTCAGATTATAGTGATGAGAAACATGAAGCTGAAACAGTCAATGTAGGCAACTTTTTTAAGAACTATGAGAAGGAAGAACAAGATCATGTGCTATCTAATAATAGATATAACTGCAAGGCAGATTTTTATTTTAAAAAGGAAACCAGAGTCAGTAAAAGGGACCTGAAGAGAGAGGAAAAGCCCAAATGAAAGTGTGAGAAGGAATGAATTGTAACTGTGGTTGGTTCCTTAATGTTTTTTTAATATCTTTTTGTACTTTTATTTCCTGGTTCCAACATGAATTGTAATTTTGCTCTTATTTACCATAAGAGTGCAGGTGAGCTACCAGCTAAGAATTAATCATTATCCTGTTGAAGGTAATAATTATACCAATACAATAATAACCTGCAAATAAATCATTCTAGAATTTTTTCTCGCTTCACATATAGCCAATAATCAAGTCCTACGAATTCCTGCTTCCAAAATTTAAAATTGTGCCTTTTCTTCACCACATCACCATGGCCCTATCTTGCACTCTTCATCACTCACTCGAATTATCATTTGCCTTATCACTGGTTCCATATCACTGGTTTCTGGCCTGGCATTTCACTTCCTTCTGGTTGCATTTCTCTCTTATTTAAAATTCTCCCCCCTCCCAGTTTTATTGAAATACAGTTGACATATAACTTTGTATTAGTTTAAGATGTACAGCATGATTTGATATATGTGTATATTATGAAATTATTACCATAGTAAGTTTAGGAAACATATCACAGTCATAAATTTTTGTGTGACTTGTGATGAGGACTACTAAGCTTTACTGTTTTAGCAAGTTTCAAATACACAATACAGTGTCGTTGACTATAGTTTCATCCCCAGAACTCATCCATTTAAGTCTCATATTTTTCACTTTTTTGGGGGCATTAATTTGAAGCTATCCTAGTGCCATTTGTTGTTAGTGATGAACATGACATTGTTTTTATTACTATATTGATTTTAGAGGGAGAGGAAGATAGAGGGAGAGAGAGAGAGAAATGTCAATGAGAGAGAAATATTCATGGGCTGCCTCCTGCACCCCCTCACACCCCAATATTGGGGATTAAGCCTGAAACCCTGGCATGTGCCCTAACCAGAACTGAGCTAGTGACTTCTTGGTACACAGGATGACAGTCAACCAGATTAGCCACACCTGCCAGGCAGTGACACACATTTTTAAATTCCTGCCCTATAAAAGCTGGCCTTCATGTAAAACGTTGACTCCTTGCATGTCATACAAGGCCTCCTGTGACCTTTGTAGATGACCATCTCTCTGCTTCCCCTGGCGGTACTCTGTGCATTCCAGACAGGATCTTATCACTGCATATTCTCATTTTTCTGTGATATCCCCCTCCCTAGACTGTACCCTACCGCCTTTTTTCACTATGTTTTACTAACTGGCTGTCATCATTCAAATCTCACCTTTTCTCTAGAGCATCCTTTACACTTCAGTAAACATAAGCAGTTCTTCCTTTCTATTCACGTGGTATCCAGTGCTACGTTCCATATTAGCTTTTTAACTGTGATCATATTCCAACAATATTTTAAGGTAAGGAACTGTGTCCACTCTCTTCAAATCCTAGAACCTAGGAAAATGCCTGGACTATAATAATTCCCTGTAGTGATCCTTAGTTGAGAAATTACTATGTTTCAAGATTTTGCTAAGAGGTAACATGCATTTACCCACTTAATTCTCAACAATAGAGGTAGCTATTATAATATCCCTGTTTTCTAGGCAAGGAAATGAAGGCCAAACAAGAGCAGGTAATTTGCCCAGTGTAATAGGTTAACAGTGGAATAACATTTAAAGTCTTGGGTTGTATGATTTCAAACTTTATGCTTTTATCACTTCCAAGTTGTTCCACATTCGTAAATAATCATTGAAAAGTTCTGAGTTTTGCCGAAACCGGTTTGGCTCAATGGATAGAGCGTCGGCTTGGGGACTGAAAGGTCCCGGGTTCGATTCCGGTCAAGGGCATGTATCTTGATTGCGGGCATATCCCCAGTAGGGGGTGTGCAAGAGGCAGCTGATTGATGACTCTCTCTCATCGATGTTTCTAACTCACTCTCTCCCTTCCTCTCTGTACAAAATCAATAAAAATGTATTTATAAAAAAAAAGAAAGAAAAGTTCTGAGTTTTTTATGTTTTATCTAAGATAGAATTTTCCTGATTAGCAGTTAGCATGGTTTATGAGTAACATAGTACTTTGGGATCATGTCCTTCCATCTGTTGAACCAGATTAGAAAATGTGGGTGGTCTGTACTTCTACCTCTGATCCGGGTCAGGAAATGAAAAACTCATTTTCATTTTAGACATTTGTATTTCATGTGCATGTGGTAAATATCAATGAGTGTGTATATATATAAATGAATGATTTTATAAGTACTAAATACAGTTATATGAACTTACTTTTCCCCATGAAAAATAACCTTGAACCTAAGTAATAAGTGATACAACTTGCTTTGAAGCACATTAACTAAATATTAATTTGTGTGAGACTCAAATTCAGTTTTTGTGTTGAAAATGTCCTGGGTTTTGTGATAATTAGCATCTTTGGTTGAACATTCAAGTGATATAAAATGGCATAAAGCTTATCATGGCAATCTTAGCTTGTCCCTACACTGCTCATGATTTAGCCTTTTGACCCAAATTGAAAAAATGTAAAAAAATCTTACTGTGTACTCTTTTCCTTTGAAACAGCAAACTCATTATTACATTGGGTAAGAAACAAAAAAGAAAGAATGAGTCTTCAGACGAAATATCTGATGCAGAGCAGATGCCACAGCATGCATGCAAAGAGGAAGACTCTCAAGTGAGTATTAAATTGTTTTCTGAGACATGAAGCACTGGTAGAATTGTGTAGATAGCATAATGTTGCTTTGCGGATATTTATACTGTAGCTTAGTGGTAAAAATACATTTTATTGTATAGTAGAACTTAACTGACAGCATAACTGCAGTATGCTCCTAGCAGTATTGCCATAGAATGTTAGTCCCGGGGGGAAACTTACATGTCCTCTCAAACCCCTCATTTTTCAGATAATGAAACTGAAGCCCAGAGAGGTTGAGTAATAATCCAAAGTTCCTGCTGGTTTTGAGCCTGGAGAAGTATCTAGTGATATTCTTTACTTTCAAAGTCCTTTTGAATTAACTTAATGATGGAGATATTAATTTTTAAAATCACCTACAAAATGGATGTAATCATTCCTAGATATAATTTCTTTGCTCTGCTTCTGTCAAAGAAAAAGATAAACATTTATATTAAAAAAAAAAAAATCCCCTGATGTAGACAAAAATGCTGTGCTTTTTGCCCTTTTTTGGGGGAATAAGTGGATATTTAAAATAACCTTGTGAAGTTAACAAATATATAGTGAAGGTCATAATAATTCAGGCCACCCTCTGCTCTCTAATAATTAACGTATAACTCTAGGCCGTAGGGGTGGTGGCAGTTGTTGAATTATGGGGCCAGAAAGCCCCTGAATGGCCTTTCTTCTTCCTTATGCAGCTTCTTATCCAATGGGAGAGTAGTGGCTCAAGGCTCCTGGGCTGCTGCAAGAGTTGAGGTAAGGGCAGTGACTGAAGCTCCTAATATTACATGGCCTGGCTTTTTCTTCATATGTTATCTTGAACTTAGGTAAACTTATAATTAACTTACTCAACACGAGAAAATTTTACTTTAATTTTTACGAGAATAATGCTGGCCATTTTTTCCATTATGTAATTACCAAGCATTGAAATGATAGATTAGGTTTATACACACATTTCTTCCATACCTTTCGCTATAATGATAGTTTGCATTGGTACGTGGTACTTTAATACAAAAATATTAAGTGGGAAAGGAAGGAAATATTTTCTAATAAACACAAATCTATATTATTGATATATGTAAAGATATCATTTTATAAATGATGGAGAAGTCCATGTAGCTTTCAACCACAATGGATTTGAAGGCTTAAAAAATAATTTAAGTTTAGAGTTTGGGGTCAGGTGGAAATCTAAAAATATAAATATGATATTTAGTTTTGTGTTTTTAATCTTAATAGAGAGTACTGCAGTAGTCTGACTATATTTAGATTTAACTTTTTAAAAAGCCCTGAGTAGATTTTATTAGGATTATGATAGGAAACAAGTAATATGATATCATAATGAAGTATTAGTTGTTTAAAAGCATAATGTCCCTGGACTTCTTATGTAAATGCTATAGACTGATCTGTTATAGCCCTTAAAATATAAGAAGAAAAAAAACTAGGAAAAAGAAATCTAAATAAAGAATTTGTCACTACTTCAAATTATGGTTTAAAAACCATTGTGGAGGAAGAAAGCCAGAAAAATCACATTAGCAAAAAATGTAGACATCAAATTAGTTTTTATATTTTAAAAGTAGTATAGATATTGTATGACTGAGAAAGATAATTGAGACTTTGGATTTGCCTAATGTGGAACTATATAATCTAGTATAGTACAATTTATGATAAAATCAGCTATAATCTTGTAATTCACACAAAATCTTTTAAACTAACAAAGTCTTCATGGGATTAGAGAGCACTTGACAATAAGTGGTCCTCATTCTGTCTTGGGAAGAATTACCTGAATGTGTACTTTTGTTAGGGTTCTTTCATGTCACTCATTCACTGTTTATTAAAGACTAAAAATGAGGCATTTCAAAGTACTAATAGATGCATAAGTGACTAGAAAGGAAACTAATTCTGAAAATATCTAACAGAACCTTCTAAAAGTATACTGAATTATTCTCAAACTTCGTTATTTAGAAGATTTGTGCCTAGTGAGACATACATTGATAGTACATGTTATTGTTAGAATAATAGATGTTGCTGTTGGTTATTAATTTAAACTATTCTTGAACATTAAGAACTGTGTCACGCCCATAATAGAAATCATAACATTCCTTTAGCCTACTAATAAATTAGAGATCCTAGGAATTCTCCCCCCCCCCCCCACAGCCAGGGAATAATACTTTTTATTTTTCACAACAGCATGTGGGATAATTGGGGTTTTAGAAGTTCTTTTATAATTTTTATGTGCCACCTTCCTGTCTCTGATATTAGCAAAAGAGGCACCCTGAGTTTTGAAATGTAAATGTCCTCTTGTCCAGGAGATGGTGGCCCATCCTAAATGAGGCATGGAATTGTCCACTGTGTTTGGCTGAGCTAAATCAACCTGCTAGTTGCTCTTTCTCTAAATATAGCACTAGTCTTAAGAGAAAGAGGCAGGGGCACGTTCAAGGCCACTGCAGCCTTCTGGATGTAGATAAGTTTGTCCCTACACTGCTCATGATTCAGCCTTTTTTGTCATGGTTATGGGAATATTCAAGACCTACTAAATTGAAGACATTGTCAGGAATCAAAGGAAAAACACATTGGGTTATTTGCTGGTTAGCTTTAAGAGAGGATATCATGGGAGTTACCCAATATGCAAAAGAAAATGGAATAGAAAAAGGAAGAATGGATAAATTTACCAAATATTGAGCACTAGAGCAGTTAGCTGAGATACCTCCACCCATGAGATTTTAGGGAGGTGAAAAAAAAAAATCTAAGTCCTTTGGGATTTTCTTGTCATTGTGAGAATTTGTTTTTATAGTGGGATCACCAGATATTAGATATTTAGGGAGGTAAGTAAAGCTGTGTGTGATATTTAAAATTACTTAGATTACTTAAAAATTATGATATTAACATGTAATACTTTTTTAAAGGTTTATTTCGGTTTTTATGATAGTGATGTTATTTATTTTTAAGGAAAGGTAGTAAAATTAGTAAAACACTGGTTCTTCCTCCATTTATACATTTAATTATTTCATAGATTTACTACTTTATTTTGTATATTTCTTATCAAATATTTTGTATTATTTTGTTTTCTGTTTTAAATGCAACTTCATTAGTTTCATAGCAAATATTAATTACTTAATTTCTTCTAGTTTTATATCCTTGATTAGTTATTTAATATAGCATCTGATACACTTTTTAAGTTTTGGGCAAGTCTATGAAGGTATTAGTAGTTTAAAATATGTGTTGCCCGAGGTGTGAAATAGTTACATAAATCAGATACCTTTTACTCTTCTTACTAGTTTCTAGAGAAAAGTAATAACGTAATTACTAATTACTAATAAAACGTATTTTGCCTGAACTGTGACTACTAACTAAAACAAAATCTTTTCATTTTTAACAACCTCTAAAGAAAATAAATAAAGGTCTTACTAATCTTTGTTATTTGAAACTTTAGGACGTAAATCTGAAGGTTGTAAGCCTGTGTCAAAGGGCAAGTGATAAAAAATATGAAATGAGGAAAAATGAATATAACGTACATTTTGAAAATGTAATGTACCAAACTGCCACACTGGAGTAATTGTTTTAAAATCTTTTCTTTAAAATGAGTTATATAAATATGACCCTTATGGTTCATTACAGAAAAGAAGATCAAATCGACAAATTAAAAGGAAAAAGTATGCAGAAGATGGAGAGGGGAAACAATCTGAGGAAGAGGTTAAAGGTTCTATGAAAATAAAAAAGAATTCAGCTCCTTTACCTGGGGAACAGCCTTTACAGTTATTTGTGGTAAGACACATTTAGGATTATGACTACAAGATACTTTAAACCAACAGAAATTCTTTAAAATACTTTCATTTGTTTTCTCCTAAAACCTGCTCCAACTTCTCCTGGATTCTTTATTGTAGTTAATAGGACCTTTAATCGTTCAAATTTGGGACTCATGCACCTCCCAAATATATATTCTTTATATTTATAGACACACAAACATATATATACATAAAATTTTTTTATTATTATTGAATTCAGAGAGGACAGGAGAGAGAGATAGAAACATCAATAATTAGAATCATCGATTGGCTGTCTCCTGCACGCCCCCTACTGGGGATCGAGCCCACAACGCGGGCATGTGCCCTCAACTGGAATTAAAACTGAGACTTTTAAGTCTGCAGGCCCACACTAGACCCAAATACTAATATATATTCTAGACCCAAATACTAATATATATTCTTGAAACCTCTCTAAACTCTGTCTTTTCTGTAGAATATTTCTAAGTAAGAAGCCTAGGGATACTACATTTCTATTGAAAATTCTAGTAGTTTCACAGTTTTAAAAAAATATGCCTCCTCAACACATCAAGTGAAATGCTTTATATGGGTTCTTTGGCCTTCCTTTGCCACTACTTTGGAAGCAGTCTGTCCACTAGATTTATGAACATAGTGCCCAAAGGCTCTGCTTGACACATCTGTCATTTCATATGAATTTTTCTTTTGGATTAATTTTTTAATCTCTGCTCTGGAGTATGAGCAACCACGATCTGCTAGCTCACTGATATCTAGCAATGTGGGCAAGTGCTCACCTCTCTGCCCGAGCTTCCTAACCTGTAAAGCAGAGATGATAATAGTGTCTACCTCACAGTGTAATTGGAAGGATTAAATTAATATATGCAGAGTGCTTAAAATAATGCCTATTACAGTAAAAAGCACAATATGTTCACTTTGATATTATAGATGAGGTTGAGGACATTAACAACGATTTATGTTTCTATTTTATTAGTTCTGACACTTGATGCCTAGCATAGGTGTTGCATAAATATTTGTTGAACTTTTATGTGTTCATAAACATACAAGGTAAAATCTAAAGGAATTTTCAGAATGTGCAATTATATTTTTCCTCCTTTCTACAGGAGAATCCAAGTGAAGAAGATGCAGCAATTGTGGATAAGATATTATCTTCGAGAATTGTGAAAAAGGAAGTAAGTGATAGCACATAACATTTTATACTTTATATTCAATGGTCTGATAATAGAAGTCATAGTTACCGATTTTGTTTTTGTAGATATCACCGGGAGTGATGATTGATACAGAAGAATTTTTTGTAAAATACAAGAATTAGTAAGTATTTCAGTTAGAAAAATAAAGAAACGATGTTTATTAATATATTTATATTAAGTTCAGTTTATCTGCATTTTAAATGTTTTATTATTTTATGAAGTTAAACATCATTAAAAATGAGAAGACAACCTTTCATGTTAAAATTGAATTTTTCAGAACATCAAAACGCAGGAATCTAAAATAGGCTTTTACAAATTATAGAACATTATTTGTTATATTTGAACTTTTCAAACTTTTATTCAGCTTTTTCCTATTCTTTGGTGAAATAAAATTATTTTAATAAAGTTACATTAATTTTAAAACAAATTAGCTTTCTGATCATGGCAAAATTATTACAATGAAGAAATAAATGATAAATCATATCTTGCTACCCCATGATTTAGTGTACCATTCTGTTAATAGCATATTGCAAACCTTAGACTACAGTCTCTTTAGGATAAAGTGATCCCATGGCTCTTGACATTTAATGAAACGGTGAATGAACTACCTATTTGTAAAGTGGAAGATAATATTTTGCATTGAATACTATGATTAAAAATAAGTTTTAAACAAAACAAAGCATTGTTTTCTATATTGTTCTAATATGTTGCTTTTATAAATATTGTAGCTCCTATCTTCACTGTGAATGGGCCACAGAACAGCAGCTTTTGAAAGATAAAAGGATCCAGCAGAAAATCAAACGATTCAAACTGAGACAAGCACAAAGAGCACATTTTTTTGCAGATGTAAGAAAAATAATAATAAATGAGACTATTATGTGTTGAATTCTGAACATGCAGCATTTTTTTATCAAAATTTTAAGTATTATTCATATTATTTCTTTGGTCTTAAACTTTGATGTTGACTACAAATGTTATCCATATATATTAATAGTATTTTTCTTTCCCCAAATTTAGCTTGGAAACTAGTTGAAGCAGGAACACTGATAATTCATAACATAGATTAATTCTTTATTGTTAAATTAGCATGCATTTCAATACTTAGAGTTGAAAGTGATTGTGTTAATATCTCAGAATTTAACAAGTTAGTCAGGTAATGGAAATGGTATTATAGCAAATAAATAGAAAATAAGATTTTTCATGAAAGGTATTTAATATTTTTTATACCAGCTTCCTACTTGTGAACAGATAATTGGAAAAATTTATTTACCTTCCTAGATTTTACTAAATAGTCTGATGTCCTTTCTTGCTCTAAATTGTTTTTCTTTTAATAGACTTTTTTCCAGAACAGTTTTAAATTCACGTAATTTTTTTTAGGCCCTTCCAGTAGCTCAGATGTTCAGAGTGCCATCCTGATATACCACTGCTAGCTCTCCAGTCAGGACATATATAAGAAGCACTCAACACATAAATAAGTGGAATAACAAACCATCTCTCTCTCTCTCTCTCTCTCTCTCTCTCTCTCTCTCTCTCTCTCTCTCTCAGATCAATAAATAAATTTAATTTTTTAAAACTTTTTTAGACTTTTTATTTTGAGCAATGAAAATGAAGTTGGAAAAATTATAAAGTATTTTTATTGATTTCAGAGAAGAACGGAGAGAGAGTGAGAGAGAGAGAAATATGAATGATGAGGATTACTAAGTGGCTGCCTCCTACATGCCCCCCAAAAGGATGGTCTTTAACTGTTAGACCTGAGGAAAGTGGCGAAAAGAGGTACAGAGGCTGCTCTAAAGGAATCTTTCAGGAGCATGTGTTTTGGAGTAACTTCCTGGTCTGGAATACCTTACTTATTAGTGCTATTTGGTTAATTTTATGATATAGATTATGCTGATTTCATAATATAGACAAATTTTCTACATATCTGTTGGAAATTAAATGGAAGTATTCCAGGAATTGGAAATTTAATTGAAATCAAACATGTGTTTATTCTATACTGAATAGCTAGTATATTTGTCTTTATTTCACTTTTTTCTTTCTAGTTTGTTTAAACCCCCCCCCCCCCCAAATATTGTTACTTTTACATTTTAGATGGAAGAAGAACCATTTAACCCAGACTATGTTGAAGTAGACAGAGTGTTAGAAGTCTCTTTTTGTGAAGATAAAGATACTGGCGAGGTAAATATTTGGCAAAAAGTTTTTATTGATGTTGGTTGATATATTAAACTATCCTTTTTCAAAATGGTAAAATAAAATTTTTTTTCTTACAGCCTGTTATTTACTACTTAGTAAAGTGGTGCTCATTACCATATGAAGATAGTACCTGGGAACTAAAAGAAGATGTAGATCTTACAAAAATAGTAGAGTTTGAACAATTGCAATCTTCAAGACCTGACACAAGACATTTGGTAAGAATATATATTACACAACTTCATCAACTCTTAGCATATCTGTCTTCAGGTGGTTTAATGTTATTTTTGAAATTTTAACTTAGTCTTTGGTATACAATTAATACTATATTTAAAAATACTCATAGTACTATATATGTATGTTAATTTAGTTATTCCTCCATTAGTGGATATTTGAGTGTTTGCTATTATAAACAGTGATACATTGAACAGTGAGCCCCTGTACAAGTTCATTAAGACAAACCAAAATTGTAATTGTTTGGCCAGAGCATATGTGTATTTAACATTTAGATGAGTATTTCCTTCCACATTTATTTATTAAAAAGTTTTGAATGTGTCTACCTCATTTGTGAATTTTAAATCTTCACACTATACTTTCTTTCAGGTCATTTATAAAAATACTTGTGGGCCAGTGCACACAATTCATGCACAGAAGGAGGTGGGGGGTTGTCCCTCAGCCTGGCTTGCACCCTCTCCAATCTGCGACCCTCTCACAATCCAGGACAGCTCACAAACCACTCACCTGCCTGCCTGATTGTCCCTAATTGCTTCTGTCTGCCAGCTTGATCGCCCCTTAACCACTCCCCTGCCAGCCTGATTGATGCCTAACTGCTCCCTTGCCGGCACAGTTGCCCCATCTGCCGTCCCCTGCTGGCCCAGTCGACTCCAACTACCCTACCCTGCTGGCCTGCTTGCTCCCAACTGCCCTCCCCTGGTGGCCTGGTCACACTCAACTGCCCTCCCCTGCAGGCCTGGTCACCCCCAACTGCCCTTTCCTGCTGGCCAAGTCACCTCTAACTTCCCTCCCCTGCAAGCCTGGTCCCTCCCAACTGCCCTCCCCACTTGACCAACTTGTGGCGGTCATCTTGTGATGACGTTGCATCAGCCATCATGCCACCTAGGTTTTTATTATATAGGATTATGAATACCAGTTTCAGTTCTAAGCGGAGTTACTGATTCTCTACTGTTGTTTATGAGATGTAGGGAAATGAAAAAATCTGAAATACATCATCCATTCTTTGTTTTTTCACTAAGGAACGTCCTCCCTCTAATATTTGGAAAAAAATAGATCAATCCAGGGAATATAAAAATGGTAATCAACTCAGGGAATATCAACTGGAAGGACTCAACTGGCTTTTGTTCAATTGGTACAATAGGTATGTAGTATATCTTAGCACAAAAAAGTTAAATGTTATTTTTTTACATGTGTGAAAATATGTTAAGTAAAATTGGTACTGATGTTTTATTATTATTATGGAGTCTTTGTTATTGAAAGTAAAATTATATCAAGATGATAATTTATAATTTAGGATTTTGCCTACAATTGCTTTAAATGTATATCAGTCAGAGTAGAATACAGTTGCTATGTTGTTTATTAATCAAATTTAAAATACATTTCATAACAAAACATCTGTTAGGGAATGTTTTACAACTTACCAGCTTATACTACTATTGAAGTTGTTCTATATGTTTTATTGAACATTATCTCATTTTTTAAATGGAGATGAAAAGATAAGTAAAATTGTACCATGATTGAGAGAAATGTATAATAGTGTATACAGAGGAGTAGATGAAAGCATTATTATTAGCAGTAACAGTATCAAAATGAGATTCAGAATTATTTTTTTTTGTGCTTTTACTTCTCACATGATTCTTCTGAGAAGTTACACTTGCTAATGGTGAGTCAGAAGACTCAATTGATGAAGATAGGTTTGCCATGCAGTGCTCTTTTTCCCCTGGTTTATGTTTTGTACATATTTATCATATTCCTCAAGAGAACCTTCCAGATAAAATAATAATCAAAATATGTTCTTTAATATTCTTCCCTTGTCCAGACCCTTTCCCATGTTCTAAATTGCTTGTTTTAAACACTCACCACTTAAAACCTCTATCACAGCCCTGCCCCCTTTACTCTCTATATGTGACTGCTTCATAGACAAGTGTAGGGCTGGCCAGTAAGGGAATCATTTCAATCCTCATTTGTCATGTGAGCCTACACATGTACCTCCATCCATGGCTATTCTTATGTCTGCCTGCATGTATGAGAAGTTACCAGGTCCTGCCCCAGGACCCAGACTAATGTAATGCTACCACCTCCGCTCTTGACATGCATTTCATCCAGGCTTCTCAGACCTCCCCTCACTCTTCTGTCTTCAAGCCATCGCTGAGATCAGTGTCAGTCCTTCCGTCTGTGAATCAGTTTGGGCTTAACCTATAAAGAAAAGAATAAAACTTCTCTTGGCTCTGTTTCTTCTTTTAGCTACCTGAGAAGCTGTGCAAGCTCTTCCCATGTCTTCCTTTCCGGTTCTCCTGGAACCTGCTCTCTGGGTTTTGATTCTGTATCATCTCTGAAACGCTTTTCCAGCCCACAGCATACATCTCAGCCTTACTTTGCTGCCTTTGCTGCATTAGAAAGTAGTTGCTGCTTTCCCCCATTCTCATTGACTCTCTGCTAGACCCTCAGCACCTCTCTGACCATCCCTTTCAGTAGTTTTTGCTGTTTGTTTTTTCATCTGCCTGCCCTTTCAGTGTTGATTTTTCTTGCCCAAAACTCTGTCTTTTTCTCTCTTCTCTTCTTCCATATTTGTCCCCCCTAAGCCATATTCTGCACCCCTGTCTGCCTTCACATATCAATAACACTAATGATCTCACACTTATCTATAAGTAAGGCCTTGAGTCCCAAACCCATATTTCTTTTTACTTCTTGCTACCTTAATGTCTATCTCAATGAGTGTTTAAACTCAACACATTCAAAATTAAACTTATTTCCTGTTTCCTCCATACCAGATGTATTCTCCCATATTTTATATCTCAGTTGAGAATAATAAAATTCATTTAGTCACCCAAATTGAAAAATCTGGCTGTAATTCTTTACCCTGTGGTCCAAATCATTCTAACTCATAATTAATGTTGGAATCAGTTCTCTTCTTAGTCCTTCTTCCCTAGTCCAAGTGTCCTCCCATTCTTTCCTGCATTATTGCAAACTTCTAGTCATCTCATTTCTAATATCCACACTGGCTTTGGAGCAAACTTCAAAATAAAAACCTGACCTCATTTAAATTTTTTTTGTCAGATCATTGGAATAATGTCTAACTTACTTTATATATACTCTTGCTTATCTTAATAATATCCCCTATCTCTCAAAACTACAGTTATATAACTTGTGGTCCCACAATGGATCATGTGCTTTCCACTGTGCTCCTTGGCTAAACACTGCCCTCCCCACTCACAGCAGTCTTCACTGCGCGAATCTTCTAGCTGGAGGTGGACATTTACTCCTTTGAGCTTTCCTAGTAAGCTTAATACTGACGATTCTTAACCAGTCATGTATCATAATCATCTGTGGAGTTTATTTAAAAATTATAGCTGCTTTTATTCTGTTCCATACACCTTGACTCACAGAACGTGTAGGGGAGGGCCCTGGGTGTCTGGGTTTCTTTCAAACATTGTAGGCTCTCTTAATGTACAGCCAAAGTTGAAAACCGGTGCTATATTTGTTCTTCTATGATAGCACATTGCATGACTACTTATTTGTTTATTTGCATGTCTGCTTCTCTAATAGATACAAGCCCCTGGAAGGCAGAGAACATGTTCTATTTCTTTTGTATCCCATCTTCTCATACTGTCCCTGAGATATAGAAGGTATTTAAAAAATGCTTCCTGAATAAAATATTCAGTCTGCCTTGTGCTTGCCATTTCACTCTTTAAAAACAAACAAACATCTGTCGGGTGGTGTCTTTATTTTGGAGCTACAAAATATGTGTCCTCATTGCAGGGTTATAATGAAATTCTAATCTCCAGCCTGCTCTGCACTTCAGCAACTTTTACATTTTTATAAATGTGAGCATTTTAACTTGGTCATGGATTACTTTTGTATATTTATCTTTAAAACTGTTATAGTATTCAGAAAAACCCAATGTCTACTTGGATAATATATTTGTTTATTTCAGACGAAACTGCATTTTAGCAGATGAAATGGGTCTTGGCAAAACAATTCAATCAATTACATTCCTCTACGAAATCCTTCTGACGGGTATAAGAGGACCTTTCCTGATTATTGCTCCACTTTCTACTATTGCAAACTGGGAGAGAGAATTTCGTACGTGGACTGATATTAATGTTGTGGTTTATCATGGGAGCCTGATTAGCAGACAGATGATACAGCGGTATGAGATGTACTTCAGGGACTCACAGGTGTGTTACTGGTCATTTGGTTTGTTTGAATGCTCAGTTTGGAACATGATAAGCATTGCATATTCATTACATTTAAATTGAGGATAGATTTTAATTGCCTATTTAGATCTTCAATCTCATTATTCATCATATATTTTATAATAAATATTACTAGTAGCTAAAGAGAACAATGACTAAAGTAGTTTTGTTCATGCTCTAATTTATTATAAAGAAGTATTCTTATTTATACAAATGTACAAATCTATATCTAAGTTTTAAACTAAATAATGTTTTACTAAATGTTTAAAATACACATTAAATTTAGAATTATAAAGGTCTCTTTGATATTCCTACAGTGTGTTTTTTTCTTCTTCTCATTTAAAAAAATTAGATCTTAAGTGAAATACCATGAATTTAAAAGCTTATTGAGGTGAAATTTCAAGTAGGTTCTTTTTTGTGTTCATTGGATTTTGATTTAGACTTTTTTTTTTTTTTTTAAATTTGGTTTGTTGACCCTGGCCAGGTAGGTCATTTGTTTTGAATGTCATCCCAATATGCTATGGTTGTTGATCTCTGGTCAGGGTACATAGAAGAATCAACCAATGAGTGCATAAATAGGTGGAACAAATCAATGTCTGTCTCTCTTTCACGCTCTGTTCCTCCCTTCTCTCTTCCCCCCTCTTCTTTCTCTCTCAAATCAGTTTTTAACAATTTTGGTTTTATATACAGATTAAGCATACCTTTATAAGTTTCCCCCTTTTGGATTTGTTACTCTACAGTGTTTCCCAAGCTTTTGACATATGTGTACCCCTTCTATAATTTTCATAACTCTGAGTACCCCTCGTACTCATGAGAACGTAGAATTAGGCGCAGCTAAGCACGGTGCAGTGCATATCCCCACCAAACTCCGGTGCAATGCGTACCCCCACCAAACTCTTCCCGTACCCCTGGGGGGACGCACACCACACTTTGGGAAACACTGCATACTCTGGGGGTTTTATGGCTTTCTTCTCCCCTCCATCTACGGGCACATTTTCCATTTTATTTTGGCTACATGCGTAAGTCATCAAAGTAAGAGATGACATTATAAGAAAGAATTTCCTAGCAGAAAATTAAGACTTGAAAATACAAAGTACCAAGTTGAAGTTTTGAGTAGTAATACAATTATTTTTAGATAAAAACTTTATGAAGAAATAAGGAACAAAATGAAAAAAACATCAACACACATTTCACATGAAATTGTACTTTTTAACTGGAATTTGCCTGGCATTCTAGCGCTACTTCAACAGTATCATGATACTTTATTTTTCTTTCACTGATTCTTCCCTTTTTATAAGGATCATTATAATTTATGGCCAGGTCATGTGATGTGATTCATGATAAAGTAAGGTATTATATAAAACCTTGTGTTTTTACCTCTCAATTATAACTGATTTTTTACTTTTTGAAGCTGAAAATTAATTAATTATTGTTGTTCCTTTTACCTCATTTCCCTTCACTCCACATTTCTATGAAATTAAGCATCTACAAAATCTTTCATTATTCAATTCTATGGAAAACTTAACTTTGTACCTTTGGAGCCTATGACATTTTAGCAAGGTTATAGTTTGATTTTCTTCTGTCATGTTTTATAATTCTTAATCTTACATTTGTAGAATTTTAGTGCATCATAGAAATTAGTTCAATTGAATTTTCTTAGAGAAGGTGCAATTAACATTTTGATTGTAAGATATTTTTAACAAAGTCACAATTTTAATGTCTCAGGAGTTTGGTATTAATATGATAGCCCAAGAGCTGAAAGATTCTTCATGCATTATAAACATGACATTATGTATTAAATGTTATATTTTTATGATAATGTTATATATTCTGGAAAAATATTATCTGAAGGGTTTTAAATTTCAAAAGATAAAGATTTCTCATGTAATGAGATAAATAGATTTTTACTTTAAATATAGAAACAACTTTTTTTTTTTTTTTGGCTGGACCACAGCGTTTATTTTTGTATTTTGTACCTGGGCCTGCACACTCCAGCCCAAAGGACCCGAGGCCCAGCAGGCAGGGCCAGGCCTCGGCCCTGTCCCCCTACTCATCCACTGGGCAGCGTGCACTGAGTGTCACTTTGCTGCAGCTTGTTTGTAGAAACAACTTTTGTTGTCACTTTTAAATATATATATTAATATAAATTAATTGAATATTTAACTTCTGCTTTTTTAAGTTATTAAATAGCTTGAAGTCACAGTAATAATAAAATTATGCTCAAATTTTCTAAATTGCCATGAGAAGAATAATCACAAACACTTATTGAGTATTTAATCATGTGCCAGGCATTATGTTAAACCATTTACATATAATATTATATCTTACTTAATCCTTGCATTGACAACCTTTAAATATATAATAATATTATTGTTCCCCTTACTGCAGAATTTTATAAATGAGCAAAGTGAGGTATAAATAAGGTACTTAGTTTCCCCCAAAAGTCATAGAGCAAACTGGGAATAACATACTTGAGAGCCCTTACTCTTAAGCAATACATACAACATATTTCAGGTTTTTGAGCTGTATAAATACTATAGACATATACTTTATACTTACTTTTTATTGGAACTGTTGTTCAACTTAATGGTCAGTGAATGTAGTTAATATGAATTAATCTAAGTGAATAGGCATTAAAATCCTGTCAGAACACATGTTTCTTAAGCCTTTATTTCTCTCTAATTCCTAAGAGTTTATAGTTTTTCAATCCCACTTACACATTTTTCCCACTTGGATTGTATTCCTATAGCATCACCTGTTCCTTCAGAAGCCCCCTTTACTGGTTTCTTCTCATCTTCTCTGTCTCACCGTGAGGCAACCCAGGGCTCCATCTTCTCATGCTTTTATGCCATACTTCATTAGATTTCATGCAGCTGCACAATTTAATGCCATCTATACAACTGGAAATTTCCAAAACTATGTCACTAATTCTAACCTCTTTTCTAAATTCTAGAGTCATATCCAAATGCCTGTTCAACTATTCTGCTTGGATATCTACTAGGTGTCTCAAGCAAAACATATGCAAAACAAAAATCTGGAATTTCCTCATTGTAGTAAATAGCAATACCAACTTTTACGTTTAAGCTAAGAATTTTTAGAGTCAAACTGAATCCTTTGTATTATTGCACAACTGCCCTGTAGCATATCCTGTAGCTCTGTTTTCACAACACATCTAAAATTAAGCACTTCTCCTGACTTCCAATGAGTATCTCTTGCTTCAGTTATATCACAGCCTCTTAACTGGTCTGTATAATCCTTTCCTTGGGTTGTTTTACTCTTTTTACCATGACAGCCAAAAGCGAGTCTTGTAAAATGATGTCAAATCATGGAAGTTCTTGTCTCAAAATTCTCCAGTAGCTCTTTGGTCACAGTAAGAGCCAAAGCCCTTACTGCAGAATTCAAAGGCCCTGTGTAGCCTTATTCCCTCCACACTGGATGTCAGCCACTCCTGCTTTCTTGCTATTGTTAGAGTACTCCCAAGGTCCTGCGTCAGGGCCTCCACACTTGCTACTTTTGACAAAAACTCTTTTTCCCTTCGAGACCTCTAGGTATCAACATGGCTTCCGCCCTCATCTTCAGGACTTTGCTTGAATGTCACTTCTCAGTAATGGCCTCTCAGGCACACTGTTTTAAAAATTACAACGGTCATCTCTGACCCTCAGCCCTTATCATATTCTAACTTAGTATTTTTACTAAGTTAATGTTTATTGTTGTGTTGTGTTGTTTCTTTGTTCCTTATGGCTGTGTCTTATATTTGGAAAGTAAGATGTTAAATTCCATGGGGACAATTATTTGTATGTGTTGTGTTTACTGCTATATCTCGAGCAACTAGAACAGCATCTGGTACATAGACACTCAATAAATATTTGCTGACTAAATGACTTGGTAATTTTGATATTAACTTTACCTTTTTGTTGTCCTCTGTGTGGACTCATGGATGTAAGTAATCCACATTAATGCTGAAATTTCAGTGGCCAGCTTGTGTACTGGTCTCTTCATACATGTCCTGAAATCATTATTATAACTTAAAAATTATAAAACATTTTATGGAGGAATGCTTATGTGGTGTAATTAAAATTATGTAATTTATTATGTAAATTATGAGAGGAAGGGAGAGTGAGAGATAAATAGAAACAGCAAAGATGAAAGAAAATCATACTGGGGAGCCAGCCTGCAGTACGGGCATGTGCCCTTGACCGAAATTGAACCCTAAACCCTTCAGTCCACAGGCCAACACTCTATCCACTAAGTCAAACCAGCAGGGGCTATTACCAGTTTTAATGCTAAAACTCCTCATTTAAGGGAGTGTCTATGAATATATGTATATAAAAATTTCAGTGGAAAATAGTTTATACCAGATGTCATTAGATGTATTTTTATGCTACTTGGCAGGAATTAAAATTTATGGTCAAGATATTCTACCAAATTACTGTATTTGATAATAAATTTCTAGGGGCGTATCATTCGAGGAGCTTACAGATTCCAAGCCATCATCACCACTTTTGAAATGATTCTTGGAGGTTGTGCAGAGCTTAATGCAATTGAATGGCGGTGTGTGATCATTGATGAAGCACATAGGTTAAAAAATAAAAATTGTAAACTTCTAGAAGGTCTGAAACTCATGAATCTGGTAAGTAGCATCTTTACTATGATTTAATTCAGTTTCTTGGCTACATAGCAAAAGGTCAGATAGAGTCCGAGAACTAATCCTATAAAGTTTTTACATTTTAGAGTACGTTAATAACTGGTTTCTATCTGTGCTGATGTGTTTTGTTTTGTTGCTTTATATTATTAGGGGAAAAATCTCATCTGTTTACTAAGACTCAAAATTTTTTAGCCTTTTCATCAAAATGCTTTAAAAATTAACTTCTAGAATTAAAAAAAAAAAAAAAAAAAGCAACCTCTGTAGAATGTGCTGTTGAATAGAAAATACTATCATAGTTTCAAGCCATAAATTTCTTTTAAAAGCCCTTTTACCAAAGTTGTAATATTATACAGGGATAAAGTGCCTACATGGTTCTACATGCTAAATATATATAGGTTATAATTAATAAATAGGATTTTTCAAAGTTTTCTTAGTGTGTATACTTCAAATCAAAGTGGTTTGCTTTTAAATTTTTTTTTATTTAATTAGGATCACATAATTAGTACATGAGCACTTAAAGAAATAATATATATATTATAGAACTGCATACAGAAAACAAAGTGCTCCATTATGCTCCTCCCTCCATGCCCACTCCCATTTCTCACCCAGAATTCCAAGCTGGATGTATATCTCTCTATGCTACTCACCAGTGCATACTGTAAATGTGCAGGTGCATATACAAGTAGGTAGCTAAGGAATTTAGAGGTATTGTCAAGTCAAATTTTAAATAATTTGTACTATTACCATTAAAACGGTTTCCTTCTATTACTATTGTGTTTCATTTGTAATGCATTTCCAATTTAGAATCATATTCCAAATGGCACTTTGCACTGTTGGAGTTCAGCCTTCATTATTTGAGAATCTGTTCCTTTGTTAAGTCAAATGATCAGCCAAATTTCAAAGAATATGCACAGTTTTGTATACAAATTACTATTGCACGAATGATTCAATACAAAAGAAACAAATACTCTCTCTTCTTAAAAAACCCGTTTCATTGAGGAAATGTAAAATGTGTTTCTTAATTGTTTAGATCTTTTCTTTTAAAGGCATGAATAAGTAAAAACAGCATGCCAAGCGAGGTATTATGAGAATGATAGGGTTTTTAAAAAGTGATTGAGTTGTTAATTAATGGATATTTGGGAGTAGAGATATATTTTGATAATGTTAGTCAGAAAAATATTGCTTTTCAATCACTGAATATTTGGTAACCTATATCAACTTTATATAATTTTTGTATTGCGATAGTTGATGTGAATTATTCTTGCTTCATATAGGAACACAAGGTGCTTTTGACAGGCACACCTCTCCAAAACACAGTTGAAGAATTATTCAGTCTTCTTCACTTTCTAGAACCTTTAAGGTTTCCTTCTGAATCAACATTTATGCAAGAATTTGGGGATCTGAAAACAGAGGAACAGGTAAACATTTGGTCTTTGTGAATAAGTACATCAGATCTTTTATCATTGCAGTTTTGTGTGTATATGTGTAATTAACTATATACATGTGTTATATATCTTTTTTTTATGTAGGTGCAGAAACTTCAGGCTATACTGAAACCGATGATGCTGAGACGATTGAAGGAAGATGTGGAGAAGAAGTTGGCACCAAAAGAAGAAACCATCATTGAAGTGGAACTTACTAACATTCAAAAGAAATACTATCGGGCTATTTTGGAGAAGAACTTTTCATTTTTATCCAAAGGAGCAGGACAGACTAATGTACCTAACTTGGTCAATACCATGATGGAGCTCAGGAAGTGCTGTAACCATCCATATCTTATCAAAGGTAGCTAAAAAGGATGACACACAAGTTCTTGTTTCTTCCAAGAAATGCTCATGAATAAAAACACAGCGTGCTGCCGCTGCACTGGCAGTTTCAAGGAAAGACATGGATCCAGCACCTTCACTCTGGTCTCCTGTGGGATTAAGAGTGGTTCAGAGTCAGGGGCACTACTTCAGGTCGTGGTCCCAAGTTACCACTTAGGTTGTAATAGAAGGTCTTGTGTTCAGTCTCACCCGGACTGGAATTTCTCCTTCAATTTAATCATCCTTAGGTACAAACACTGCAACACCCATCTGTAGCCTCCACATTTATATTTTTTTCTGGTATCTTTCTATTACGGGTAGTGTGTATAAATTTTTGTGCTCTCATGTTACTTTTCAAGGTCTTACACTCTATCTAAACAACATTTGGATCTTTACACTTACAGTATTTCTGGGAATATACTCCCTATTATTCTTTCTCCAAGACAAGTCATTTCTTAGCCTGCAATCCTCGTACTCCATTGATGACTATACAGGCTGAGGGAAGGCAGAGAGCCTTTAATGCAGATACAGACTCTCTGAAGAAAGTATTCATCAATGTCTTATACTTTTCCTTGTTTCTCTATTTTGATGGCCATCAGAATCCCATAGGTATAACCAGATTAAATATGATCACCTTTCAGTGATGGATCACTGTTATATTGGTGTTTAACTTTTAGAAGTGTGTTTCAAAAGATGTGATTTTCATCTAGGACAGACTATATTTTCATTAATTCTTTTCCTAATAACATTATTAAACATAATGAGCATAAATTTATATAAGACATTTGTCCGGGGAGATAAAACGATACTTAATTAATTGTCCATATCCTCAATACAATTTCAGTCCTGTGTGGATTGGGGATTTAGTCACAAACAAATAATTCTAATAAATGTACTGGTAATTCACCTCCCATTCCAAGAAGTCTTAGTGTGTTACAGAAACAGAGGTGCGCTGATTCTGATTTTTGGAACAATGAAAGCAATTGGGTGTTACCTTCATTTGTGCATTGATGCTCTCAAATTTCTTTGACAGGTGCTGAGGAAAAAATACTTGGAGAATTTAGAGATACATATAATCCTGCTGCTTCTGATTTTCATCTCCAAGCAATGATCCAGTCTGCTGGTAAACTGGTCCTTATTGATAAATTGCTTCCCAAAATGAAAGCAGGAGGTCATAAAGTGCTCATCTTCTCTCAGATGGTACGGTGCCTTGACATCCTAGAGGACTATCTTATACATAAAAGGTAAGGCATGGACTTCATCCTATGAATTATGAATATATGTCACTAAGGTTTTGTAACCCACCTTCACTCACATCTATTATAGATAAGAATCTATTCCTATGAGTTCAGATTGCTTAGGGTGGGGTGTCAGGTGTTTTCCTAACCTACTTATGTTGTAATAGTAGGTGGGGCTAAGGAGACTAAGAAAACTTTGCAAACTGACAGGTAGTTGTCAACCTAGGAATGGGTTCATTAATGTACGTTTTATTTAATTTGTAAAATTTGCAGTATGGCATTTCAAATAGATTTATAACTATTTTCAAAATGGAAAACAAAATTTTTTTCAAGCTTTTCTTCCAATCTCTGTCATTGTTGGAATTAGAGCCTGAACCTTTTCTTAATTTCTTTAATGTCAGAAGTAATATTAGAAACTATACCGCCATTTTACAGGCACTAGAGAGAACCTGCTGCTGAGACGCTAGTCAATAGTTTGTGCAAAGAAGTTTCTTAAACAGGGAAGGTCAAGTGTGACATGTGTTCCTCCTCTTGTCTCTAAATTTTTATGTATTTTTATTGAAGTCTACAGTTTTTGAGTTTTATGTTAAATTAGAGGCCTGATGCATGAAATTTGTGCAAGAGTAGCCTCGCTTCCCCCGGCTGCGGGCACCCACCGGCTTCCCTCTGGCACCCAGGACTCGGGCTTCCCTCGCAGCCTTTGGTTCATCTGGAAGGTCATCCAGAAGGACCTCTCGTCTAATTAGCATATTATGCTTTTGTTATTATAGATGAAGGATAAAGGAAGTTAAAAGTCATTAGCTTATAAGTACTGCCTATGAGGAAACAGCATTCTAGATTACACTTGCTAGATTTATAGTTTAGAGACTAACACAGTTGACACAGAAAAATATTTCTTCTATAAAGTTATATGAACATATTTGCTTCATGTACAAAAAAGTCATTTGTTATAATGAGATCAGCAAAGTAGGCTTCATGGACTATTTTTCCATTTCAACGTCTAAAAATGATATTCTTTATAATGATATGTTACCTATAAATCAGGAAAGCAGGTATTTTTCTATCTGTATATTACTTTGCATTTCATTCTTAGTTTCAGTACAGAAGTATAAAACTCCCAACTAGGGTAGTAATTGCTTGTTAAGTTGCAGGAAAACAGACTTGACATGTGTCTTCATTATATACCACTATTTAAATGTATTGCCTCTCATTTGATAGATATTTATATGAGCGAATTGACGGCAGAGTCAGAGGGAATCTTCGACAAGCTGCTATAGATCGATTCAGTAAACCTGACTCAGATCGATTTGTTTTCCTACTGTGTACCCGAGCTGGTGGGCTGGGCATCAACTTAACTGCTGCTGATACGTGTATAATTTTTGACTCTGATTGGAATCCTCAAAATGACCTTCAGGTAAATAAATTCTTCTTCTAAGAGAATTAAATTTATTTTTCAAATCTAGCGATTCACATGCTTTTATCTAGACAAGCTAACATGTATATTTCCCTAAGTAATATCAATGCTAAATTAAACACATTATTTAATTAAATTTGATGACAATAACTTCTTACTAGCTTCTTAAAAGCTTTTCCTATTTGAATAAAGTATTTAATTGTTTAAAATATATATATTGAGAGACACCTAAGATTTTTAAATAACTTATTTATAACAAATTTTTCACAATTTTATTTTCTTAAAAATAAATACTTGCTTTTCTTAATTTCAACTTCTCAATCATTAAATAATGAAGTATGTCTTTATGAAATATTATAGAAATTTAAGGTATTCTGCTAAGTTTAAGACTGCTTGGATTTTGTAGGAACAGGAATATCAATTAGAGTGACGATAGGGTCAAAGTTTGCAGAGATAACCTATGGAGGAAAGATGATAAGATATACTATAAGAAAAATTAATCTTTTGTTGTCCTTGGTAGTCAATTGTGTTGTAATTAATATTATTTTAAATTAAAAAATCAAATAAAAGTAAATTATTACAAAATGTATACCTGTCTCAATATAAAGTATCGGTTAAACCTCTCATTTGTGTGACTTTAGGTAATCTAGTTCCAAATATCAAAGGTTTATCCAAAATTAATAGATTAAATCAGGGATAAACTATAAAAAGTCAGTTAGTAAATATTTTAGGTATTGTGGGCTACATAAAGTCTGTGTCCCACATTTTGTGTTTATTAGCTTTAACCATTACTTTAAAAATGTAACACTTATTCTTAGATGCAGGCCATTCCCTAGGTTAAACCCAAATCATCATAATTTGCCTTGAAAATGTATATTTATTCTTAAAACTGACCACTGTGCATATGATGTTTTCCAAGTTAATCTAAAATAAAATAATCAAACTGTATTTGAGAACTGGAAAAACTTTCAGGTTCCCTAATTCTCCCTCTCACTTGGTTTTTCCTATTTACTTCTAATGTGAACCTATTATAGACTTAAAAAAAAGAAATTGACCTTTTATACTTTTCACTGGACCTGGAATAATGTTGTTCATTTGCAGTTTTGACTTCCTGTGGGCACAAAGTATTATGGATAGACTAAACAAAAGATGGCTGCAAAGGGTATAGCATCAAAGCTATGTAAAAATTGTAAAGCCACAATTTATATTTTAATTTTCTGAAGATAATACAAAGTTGAATAATAATTTGGGAGAAAGACCATTGGTACTACAGAAACTTTAAAATCAAAATTTATCATGTAAATTTTAAGTATAGCAAGAACTCAAGGTAAAATTTTCAGTGTCTACACATGAGATAATTAGTTGTCTTTGTTTAAATAAAATTTAGTTTTCCATAGTTACTTACCTTAGTTTCTTATATACCTTCTCAGTTATCCAGTTTAATTAAAATATGTTGAAAAAATTGTTGATCGTTTTAAAGGATGAGTTGCCAACAGCCAAAAAAAAAAAAATTCATAGAGTTGACGTTACTGTCTAAAGTTATATATTAATTATATAATTATCTTTAAAAAACTAATTCTTTGATGATTTATAGTCTCTGAAATATAAGATTAAATTTTAGCTTGTAGCTCACTTCATATTTTAGTAAGCTCTGCCTTCATTATTAGAAAATGGTTATAGCTTATTCAGTAGCAAAAGTGTCTAAAAATTTTTACATATTCCATCAAGATATTTTACTCTTTTTAAATGTCTTTTATATGCTCTTTTGTGCCATTTTGTAAAATAAGTTGAATCTATGACTTTTTATTTTTTATAGGCCCAAGCTCGTTGTCACAGAATTGGTCAAAATAAAGCAGTTAAAGTCTACAGATTAGTAACTCGTAACTCATACGAGAGGGAGATGTTTGACCGAGCCAGTCTGAAACTGGGTCTAGACAAGGCCGTGTTACAGAGCATGAGTGGAAGAGAAAGTAATGTTGGTGGTGTATGTATATTTTCTTTCTCACTTGGAGTTTTTATTTGCATTTACTTTTATCCTCAAGCAAGGTATTATTTAATTTTGACCTATACTGAACACTAAATAGCTGATTTTATGTATGGAGGCATTTCAGAACAATGTAACATTTAGTTAGCACTTTTTATCTTGTTCTCTTTGTATAGCTCCAGGGCTTGTGAATTCTAATAGCTTGTTTTCAAGGTGGAAATGTTTTGTTCTGACTTTAGAACCATTGTATCATGGCATAGCAAAATAGAATTTGTGAGTTTTTCTATGCACAGTTTTTCAGAATTGTTTTCAGTGTTGAACGATTGGCATTGACTTGGTCTTGTAGTACATGATGTTTTTGCCATTGCCTCCATAGAGATTGCTTTGTTATATCTTGTGCTTGTAACAACTATAGAATCCTGTAACTAAGAAAAAAATACCTTGATAGCTCACTTGCCCTCGCATGCTTTGTTTTAACTTAAGATATTTTAGGCAAATGGCAAGTCACATTTAAAGATAGTAAAGAAGAGTCAACAAGTTTAATGTATTCTTTCAGAGAATTATCTTTTATGTACATATTTAAATATGCCCTCTGTGTTTGACATTCTTTAGGAACTTAAAAAAATTTTTTTTACCAAAGTTATTTTCTCTTTAGATTCAGCAGCTTTCCAAAAAGGAAATAGAAGATCTGCTTCGAAGAGGTGCTTATGGTGCAATTATGGATGAAGAAGATGAAGGCTCTAAGTTCTGTGAAGAGGACATTGATCAGATTTTACTGCGACGTACAAAAACTATTACAATTGAGTCAGAAGGACGTGGGTCAACATTTGCTAAGGTAACAGGGAGTGCTGTTTTTTATATGTGCCCGTAACATTCACTACTGAAAAAATTTAAGTGTCACTGGGACCAGTTTGGCTCAGTGGATAGAGCGTCAGCCTGTGGACTGAATCGTCCTGGGTTCGATTCCGGTCAAGGGCGTGTGCCTTGGTTGCGGGCGCGTCCCCAGTGGGAGGGGTGCGGGAAGCAGCTGGTCCATGATTCTCTCTCATCGATGTTTCTAGCTCTCTGTCCCTCTTTTCCTCTCTGTGAAAAACCAATGGAATATATTGAAAATAAATAAATAAATAAATAAATAAATAAATAAATAAATAAATAAATAAATAAATAATTTAAGTGTCTCTTACTCTACTGATTATCTGCAGAGCATCTACCTAATGCTTAACTAAACTGAAACATTGGAATGTGATGAGATAATGTTTTAAATGTGCTTTGATAGATTTTTTTCCTCTAGCTTCAAGACATTTTGAAAAACTGCCATTCTGTATTTCAGGCGAGTTTTGTGGCATCTGGAAATCGGACAGATATTTCCTTAGATGACCCCAACTTCTGGCAAAAATGGGCTAAAAAGGCAGAAATAGATATAGACACCATCAGTGGTAGAGTAAGTATTTCTTTCTTTTTAAAAATATTGTTTCTTGGGATGATTTGGTAATATTGTTATATTTTAAGGTATTGAACTATGCACTTACCAAAATAAATTTATCTGCATCAATATATTGATATAGGGTAGTAGAAGGATGACATTTTGAGGCAGACACTGCTTCAATTTCATACTTAGGATATTCATGATAGGTTGTAATTCAAGGAAAGCTTAACTTAGGATATTACTTATATATTTTGAAATTATAATGTGTTTCTTTTTTTTATTTTCTGTCTTTAAATCACATGTACTTTTTGTGTATCTTTGTTGACTTGGTGTCAGATCCCAGTCATGATGATCCATTCAGTTGTACTCTTCTTGTGTCATAAGATATTCCATGCTGAGTAGCTCTTGTTTGTTTCCACATTAGTCTGACCCTCAAGACTACAGATTTTTAATGAGCAAAAGACTACATGTATATATCTATGTCCACAGTCCATAACATAGTGCTTAACTTAGAGAAATTTCTCAGTAAAAGTAAAAGGCATGTAAACTTAGATTGATTTTGAATTAATTAAACTAAACTGAAGGTAGTGAATTTACGCACTTCTTGCCTTGCTTTTTGTGTGTTAGAGTAAGTTTTGGAAAGCCCTGAAACCTGTTTACATAAATATTTACATCCTTTGATCAATATTTCTGTTCTTAATTATTTCCCTTATTTTGAATTTTTAGAATAAATGTAGATCACAAAGATTTATTTTAGCACAACCTACATTGAATTGTGAATTAGGTGAAAATCATGATTCAGAAATTTAGCTTAAAATCATTTTTTATGGTTATTGCAGATGCAAATACAATAACCTTCATATTATTTACAAAGCCAAAATCCAGATTCTTTTTAATTATATTACTGTCCTATCATAAAATTATAAATATATGAAAATAAGGATTTTAAAGGAGTATAAAAGCTTTTAAGTTGATTTGGTATGTTGGTGAAATTATTAGTAATTTTTTTTTCTCACTTTCTATAATTATTTTTTATACAATTGAAAGATGATAATGTAAGGCAGTGTTATAAGCCAAATAGAAAAAGGACGTTCAAGTAATAGCTGTTAAATCTTACAGAACAGCTTGGTTATTGACACTCCAAGAATTAGGAAGCAAACAAGACCCTTTAGTGCCACAAAAGATGAATTGGCTGAATTGTCTGAAGCCGAAAGTGAAGGAGAAGAAAAGCCCAAACTCCGGAGGCCCTGTGACCGTTCCAGTGGCTATGGAAGAACTGAGTGCTTTAGGGTAGAGAAAAACCTGCTGGTCTATGGGTAAATGTCGTTTTTAACATCTACTGTTAGTAGTCTGCTCTGTAAAGTTACTGAAAACCAACACTATAATATATTCTAATATATTTTTACCTTGTTAAATCAATAGAACATATTTTAAAAGTACCCTGCATTTATATGTTTAACATATATTTAATAACAGAATGATGGGACCTTCTTATGTTTTAAATTATAAATGTATCACTAAAGTCAAATCCCTTGTTCTCAGATTTGCATATTTACTAATACAAAATGAATAATGTTATCCATTAAGGAATAAAATACACTAGAAATTACTATACCATGGCTCTGCCTTTTACTCATGGGGGAAACGCTTCATTAGGTAAATCCTATTAGTGACAAAATGTGTGTTTTGCAGTTTTCATGTCATTTATCCAGGAGCAGTGTTTTTCTTTAAAATTTGACTGAGGAATAATGTAAATGTACATTTTTTTACCAGGTGGGGCCGATGGAGAGAGATTCTATCTCATGGTCGCTTTAAGAGACAGTTAAATGAGCATGATGTGGAAATAATTTGCCGAGCCCTCTTAGCATATTGCCTCATTCACTACCGAGGAGACGAGAAAATTAAAGGCTTCATTTGGGACCTCATTACTCCAACCGAAGACGGACAGACTCGAGAGCTTCAGAATCATCTAGGCAAGAACCTTCTTTCATTTTCTTTTTAAATTTATTTTTACTTATCTAATTAGTACTTACTTATCACAGTACCCTATAAAATATTGTGGCATTACAATGTTACAGAACCTTTAACCTTCACCCTCAATTCAAGTTTCAACTTAGAAAACCAATGTTATTCTTTTGGGGGGGGGGCGGTTACATATTGGGCAAACAACCAGGATTAGGAAAGTCTCCCATATAGAGACAAAGTGTAAAAAGAAACTCATAAATTGAACTTGAAGTCAAGGACTATAAAAGGAGAGCACAGCTTAAAAAAAAACCCACATCGTTAATGTCTTCAAAGATTTTTTTTTTTTTTTTTTTTAATATTTTATTGATTTTTCACAGAGAGGAAGAGAGAGGGATAGAGAGTTAGAAACATCGATGAGAAACATCGATCAGCTGCCTCTTGCACACTCCCTACTGGGGATGTGCTGCAACCAGGGTATATGCCCTTGACCGGAATCGAACCCAGAACCTTTCAGTCCGCAGGCCGACGCTCCATCCACTGAGCCAAACCGGTTTTGGCTTCAAAGATATTTCAAATATATTTTGATTTTGAAAGATTAGTAAGGTGTGGTAGAAACATTCAAAGCACAAGCAGACCTCTTTTAAATTATGAGTATAAATAAAACAGTAAATAGGATTAAATGATGAATGTGCGATAATTTTGTTAGAGAAAAGTTCAAAAATATAGAACATTGCTGGTTTTAAGTATGTGTCTTTAAATATGCACTGTTTAGTTTCCAAACCAGCAAAGGTGAAGAGGACTGGAATGCAAAACGATGTTAACATAGAACAAAATACAATTTGAGGTGGAAGGCATTGATTGGTATTTTTAAAGGACATTACATAATAGAAAAGACCAATTCATAAAAGAAGTATGAACTTGTATGCACTGAACAAAATAGTCTCAAAACATAAAGACAACATCCGCCAAAATTTTAAGGAGAAATGGACAAATCTGCATAGGGCTTGTATTCACAATTGTGATGGAACTTCTAGCTGGTAGAATACAGCAAGGAAAAGATCAACGAGGTAAGAATTGAAAGGAGAGGGGACACATGTAATACTTTAAACAATAAAGATATAAAATTGTTTTTTTAAAAATTGAAAGGAGGAATCCAAACTGCTCGAGTAGTGATTGTGAAAAATTGTAAATGAAACAATTCAAACATCATTGAAGATTAATACAAGGTGTATGATCTTACAGTAGATTTTACACAGCAATTAAAATGGATGAAATAGTCTCACCAAATATAAATCTCAAAAAAATGTCAAGAATAGTCAATACATTTCTGAATTACATGTATAAAATAATGTCTGAATATTTAATACTAAATTTTTATCCAACATCGGACTATAAATATGCATGTAATGCAAAAGCAAATTCAGGATAGAGATTCTCTCTGGAGAGGAAGGAGTGAAGTGAACTTCAGCCATGTATTATTTCCTTCAGTAAAAACGACCAAAGAGAAGATATGTTCACATTAAGAATGGGAATCTTTTATTGTATTTTTGTAATATTTCACAACAAAAATGACAAAGAAATAAAATGAATGTAGCTCTCTTCAATAGGGATCCAGCATGGCTGTGCATAATCCATGTTATTAGTAAAATCAGTTTTGAAAATCCAGGTCAAATCTTACTATTCTATAAGGGAGCAAAAGTAAAGCAAAGGGAAAGGTTTGATCTTTTAGTTTTACATTTGAAAAAGAAAATGTGTTTTGGAACAAAAAGGAAAGGAGACTCATTTGAGATAGAATGATTATTGGGGGAAGCTGTCTTAATGTGTGTGTAACGTTGACCCATCTTCTTGTGATTGAATCAGTATTGTTACCATTGTCATTTTAAAGGTCTTTGTATAGCCAGTAAGGACCTCTGAAATTCAGTCTCCAGAAGTTCATCACATTGGAAAAAATCTTTCAAATTGGCAGGTTTGTATACAAATTATCCCTGATTTCACATTGTCCGTCTCATTTCTACAGGCCTTTCAGCCCCCGTACCCAGGGGCCGAAAAGGGAAGAAAGTAAAGACCCAGACAAGCTCATTTGACATACAGAAAGCAGAATGGCTTCGAAAATATAATCCTGAGCAGCTACTTCAAGATGAAGGCTACAAAAAACACATAAAGCACCATTGTAACAAGTATGTCGTGGGGTATTTTTAACACAGCTCATTATAAGTTTATTTTTCTAAATTAACTAACAACCTTTAAGCATGCTGATCTTGAGTACAGAGACAGTGTGGTCTAGGACTAGTCCTAATGTAATCTTTCAGAGTATACATCTACAAGTCATGGTCCTCTTGTGTCCCTTTCTATCAACAGAGAAATAAATCTATCCATTGTATCTTTCTTGGATATTAAATAATGATGATTGTGAAGATTTTGGAGAAATCTATTTGATATATATGGTAGTAATGAGATTTATTTAATCAAAATTAATTATTTCATTATAAAAATTCCACGTACAAATTCTTTTCTAATCTAAACCCCATGGATGGCTTTTCTTTAGTGATTAATACTTTTGTATCTTTTGACTTTTTCCTCATTGTTAGGGTTTTGCTTCGTGTACGAATGCTATATTATCTAAAGCAAGAAGTCATTGGAAATGAGTGCCAGAAAGTATTTGATGGAGTTGATGCAAGGTAAGTGGAATAACTTGTTTATATTTTTCAGTAACATGATTAGGCAAAAAACTGTGTAACTGTCTGTATAAGTGGCTCATTTGTCAATAAAATTCACAAGAAGAAAAATTCACCAAGCTTAGAGCATTAACCCTTGCTAATTTGTTACCTTCTATTTATTTATTTTTTTAAGTGACATTGATGTTTGGGTCCCAGAACCAGACCACTCAGAAGTTCCTGCTGACTGGTGGGATTTTGATGCTGATAAGTCACTCCTTATTGGAGTTTTTAAACATGGTAAGTGAAAAGTAAAGTTGGTGGACTCTAGTTCTCCTCATTGATTTCCACTGGCTGCTTTATGCCAGTCACATTCATGTTGCTATGTATGTCATATAAAGCATTTACATCCACGGTGTCTTTCATCACTGCATTTCATAGTGAAGAATTGGGGGCTATGTCCACTGTGCCCTGCACGTGGCCGCACACAGCTCCCCTCTCGGGAAGACTTCTTACGGGAAGCGTGCTGTGTGTTTGATCAGTTTTTTCCCTTTTTCATTCTAACAGATAAATTCAGTCTAAACTTTCAAATATACATAGTACCAGGTCATGTACTATTTGTGATAATTTTAGAAACCATGTATGTATCATTTTAATATCCAGTCCCTTTAGTCTAGGAATGTCATTCTTCATACATATGAGGGTGCTGGTATGCACACATCTTCCTTTTATCTTCTTGACTTTGACCATTGGTGACCTCCAGGCTATGAGAAATATAACACCATCCGAGCAGACCCGGCACTGTGCTTCTTGGAGAGAGTGGGGAAGCCCGACGAAAAAGCTGTGGCTGCGGAGCAGAGGGCCAATGACTACATGGACGGGTAAGGGCACCTCCAGGGCAGGAATTCCCTGCCTCTCGCCAGCGTCGGCGTATTCTATGTCACAAATAACGTAGTCACAGCAGAACTGGAGTTTATGGTCTAGAAGAGCTAATGGTAAGAGCGCTAGGAAGTTAGCACTAGTTCAACAGAGTAGGATCAAGGAAGAGGTGCACCTGCCCCACTCGCTTTTCTTTGATGAGTCCTTTAATTTCCCATTCCTCATAGTCATGGTCATTCAGGCCATAAAATGTTAGGGGTATTGGAGGGAAGAACGCTACAACTGAAGAGAAATAAAATGTTCCTTATACCACTCATAAGGCCCTTTTATTATCTTACCAAAAGAAGAAAGTAAGAGACTTTATGTTAAGGTTAATAATTCCACATTTAAAAGTGAACATGGGAGAATGAGTAAATTAAAACTAGATTTCTTCTGACTTTGCATATAACAGTGTTTATGCTAAGGCTTGGTTTCCCCTGGCCAAAGAACAGAGACTTCAGTCTCACTTTTAAAACACCAAAGAGTCCTTCCCACAAGATTCCATCTGTTTGTTTTATCAAGAGAAATGTAAGTCCAGTCAAATTATTATTAAATTTGTTGGTGTTTTAATAGGGATGTGGAAGATCCAGAATACAAACCTGCCCCAGCTTTCTTTAAAGATGACATAGAGGTATGCTTTAGATCATATTTTTAAATCCTCAATTTTAATTGTTCTGTGGTTTCATTTGGGTGCTTTTCCTATCACATAATCTGTGGAGTGGGGGAGAAATGGTAAAAGAGATTAGGAATTTCCATATTCTATATGAGAGCATGCTAAAGACTAGATGATGCTATAGCTGTCAGGTAGGATTTGCTGGTCTTGGGTGCCACGGGGCTACCAACGGGGATGTTTCTAGCGAAGGCTGCTGGCCAGCAGGTGCTAAAGTAGCTGCCTGATCTACAGGAAGTGGCGCTGGGAGAGCCATGTGTGCCATGGGAGCTGAGCAGTGGGGAAACTCCAGAATCGGGAAGTCAAATCCTTCTTCTCCTACAGTGTCTCTCAAGCAGAACTTATCATGCTGTCTAAGAAAAAAAGATTTAAAGAGCCCACATCCGTTTTCTTAGAGCTAACAAGAGGCATTGAGAGAGGCGGTATATTTAGAGCTGAGGCAATAAATCAATAACCAGCACAGTGGAATACATAATAAAATTTTTTAGTGACAAAGACAATAGTATGATAATATCTTTACAGTATGCGAAATAGGCATTCCAGGAGAGACCAGAAAGTATAAGAGAGAAGAATTTTTCCAAATTTGATGAAAGACATGAATTCTCAGATTCAAACAATAACGTGAATGTTGTCAAGATAAATAAAATTAAATCTACTTTATTCCTGCTGGAACTATAGCTATACCAAAGAGATGTTAAAAATTAACAAGATAAAAAAAAGACCCACCTACAAAGGGATGATAAATCTAACTAAGCTTTTTTAAAACAATACAAACTGCCGAGACTGGTTTGGCTCAATGGATAGAGCATCGGCTTGGGGACTGAAGGGTCCCGGGTTCGATTCCGGTCAAGGGCATGTACCTTGGTTGCGGGAATGTCCCCAGTGGGGGGTGTGCAAGATGCAACTGATTGATGACACTCTCTCATCGATGTTTCTAACTCTCCGTCTCTCTCTCTTCCTCTCTGTACAAAATCAATAAAATATATTTAAAAAAAACACACAAAACAATACAAACTAATAGACATTTGGAATAAAACCAAAGTTATAAATATGTTAAGTTTATAATAATGTTACGATACCTGATTGAAAATGCTCTCTTGACAGATAAAAATTATGTATACAGCACAAGCAAATTGTTTAGGATTAAACAGAAAAGATTTGAATGTTTTCTAATAACCAAATATCAGAATGAGTAAATTATGTGAGAGTTGGTATAAAAAAAACACACAACAGTTGTAAATAAAACCTGAAGCGTTTTTACAATTAGAGAAAGGGTGGAGGAAAAGAAACCAATTTAAATATAATCATAGAAAAAAAATAACTTTAATAATGATTGGTTTAAATATCAGTCTATAGAGAAATACAAAGGGGTGAGAATAACAGATTATACTTTTTAGTGCTAAATAGATCATTTAACAAAGTTTGATTTGCTTTTCTTCTTATCTGTATTTTGACCCAATGACCCTGTGACAATTTCTATTTTCTTTTAAAAGGATGATGTTTCCTCACCAGGAGATCTTGTTATAGCAGATGGAGGTAAATTGCACTTAATTATTTAATATTATTGTAAATTACTATCCTCATGAGATCAAAAATTAATAAATTTTTGTAATGCTTCAAATGTATGTGAAATTTTTGTTGAAGACAATTGCAGTGACTATTGGACATACTCGTTGACTGAGAATTTAACAATATTTTTAGCTGCAGATCTTCACTCAGTGACTCAGTGAATTGTTAGAGAACGGAAGCTGATTTTTTTATGTCTCGATTATTAAACTTATATATAAGATTTTATCATTAAAATGTTTAATTCAATAATTCATTCAGCATGTTATTAGTTCCATATGCACATTAGGGAACATTCCACACAGCTTTGCTGTGTGATACCCAGATAGGAAAGCACTGTCCTCAGAGTACACTCATGTCCTCCTGTGAACCCAGGGGAGTCTGCCTCACCCATGCATAATTCACTCAGAAGTGGAGAGGAGATTTGCTTAGCCTGAATGATTCCTGCTTGGTGGTGGTATATTTAAGTATAATATCACAAGATCCTGCGCTGTATTGGGTGTACACAAACTTAAAGATTGTAGCATTATTCTATTGAAACATAAGTTCCCCCCAATGGCTTATAAAATGTTTTAATTTTAATTGAGAAAAATTTAATACAGAATAGATCGATTAGAAAAGTTTACAGTATTCAACTTCTCATGGATTTCAATTTGACTTTATTGAAGGCATTGAGTACTCACCAGCCAGTAAGATAGATTAGACCTGTTGATACAAGATTGTATTTTTTGTGCAAGTAGAGTTCTCTTTAAATATATAACATGTGGTTCTTCATTCCTCTGTGATTACTTATTTTGAGTTGCTCTTAAAGCTTGTTGTGATGTTTTTAGAGCTATAGCTAGAACTATTTAATGATGAGAGATTTGGTTTGATTTTTCACATAATCAGGTTGAAAGAAAATTTTGTTTTTGAATAGGGAACTTTTGTTACTTTTGTAAACTTCATCACAGTGTTTGGTTTGGTTTTTTAGTCTTTTTCAATTGACATGAGTTTCTTTAAATATAGATGGTCAACTGATGGAGGGTGATAAAGTTTATTGGCCTACTCAGTCAGCTTTAACCACACGTTTGAGGCGTCTCATCACTGCATATCAGCGCACTAATAAAAATAGACAAGTCCAGCAAATCCAACCTACTTTCTCAGTGCCTGCCAGCATCATGCAGCCTCTTTATGAAGAAGCCACTCTTAATCCTAAAATGGCAGCCAAGATAGAAAGACAGCAAAGGTAAGATAAAAATCACACTGTACTGTATAGTATCTAAATATAATTGGTCATTCTGAAGGCCATTAGGGTGTGTTATTCACTTTGTGAAAAGCATCTATGGGTAGAGAAATTGGTCAAAACAAAACATATACACATATGTATAAATACATACCCAAATATGGTAAAACTAGTAAATATTATTGCAGCTTATGGTTACTAGGCATATGTGTCAGTTCTTCATTCTTTTGTCATGTTTATGACCAGTTTGATGTGAAAAATAGGAAAATGCAGAGCAAGCTCAAGAATTATCAGTGAAACTTTTAAATTACATAAAATAAATTCCATTCTCTTTAAATTGTTTCTTCTATGAAATATTAGAATATATGAAAGACAAACCCATCTATGCTTTATACACAGGAAGAATCCTTGGAACTATTATGTCAAAGGGGCACAAATTATGGTAGAACTTCTTACAAGAGACTCTCTTAAGAAAACAGGCAAACTTATTGCATCCCAAAAACTTAACTTCTTAAAAATGATAGAGTACACAGAAAAGAATAGGAATGTTTAGCCATAACCTGGCCCCCTTATTAAATGTGATCCTTGGATATTCTCTGGGAGTTGAATCAAGGGTGGTTGGGGGTTTCTTTGGTGTTAGTTTTTTTGTTTTGTTTTGTTTTGCGTTTTGGTGTGTGTGTTTTTCCCCCCCCATTTGCAGTTCATCATTGTAACCAGAGCTTACTTAGTTTGAAACTTTAGATTTTAGCGATTCTAGACATAATTTTCAAATAGTACTAATTCTATTATAACTAAAACAACATCAGCTTTTTATTTCTCACATTTAATTATGTTGATCAGGTAGTTGTGCTTCTCATGGAATTTACTGGAAGGTCTGAAGTGGCCTCATTCCCATGGCTGACTGGCTGCCAGTGGGGGCTCAAATCTAAGAGGGAGCCTTCCTAGTGGCAGAGACAGAAGCTGCAGGTTTCTTTTGGGCAGCCTCGGGATTCCAAAGTGCCACTTCTGTCACCAACTGCTGGTCAACAAACGTCAACAGGGCCAACCAAGATTTAGCAGAAAGAGAAAAATTATACAAATAATTTGTGGCCATCTTTACTCCACCACATACATTTTCCTCAATATGTGGGATCTGCATTAGTTTTCCTAAGATACAAGTTTTATTGTGATACTCAGTGACTCCTTATTTATTATAGGTGTAAAGTCAACTTCAATTTAGGTATCATTGTGCATTTCTAATTTTATCCACTATTGTTCTCTCAGCCAGAATGACCTCCTCATTATTGATTCAACATTTTATCGCCTGTAATTATACTCCTTTTCCTACTCTCTAGTCCATACCTACTCCATCCTTCAGAGCTCAACACATGTCCAAGCCTTTATTATAGTACTAATTTTTTTCTCAACCAGTTCAGCTTCCAGTACTCTCTCTGTTTTCTGCACTCTTATAGCACTCATTTAAATAAATGATTCATTTGTCACAGTAATATAAGATGTTATAATGACATTTATTTTTCCCTTTCTGTGACTGCCTAAGTTGTCAATTCTTTGAAGGTAGGCACTGTGTTATGTTATGTTTTGTTTTGTTTTGTTTTGTTTTGTTTTATCTTCTCTCTATGCACTCTTCCAGTTCATCCTATTTTGCCATTCTTTTATCACTGTTACAAGGTTCATATGACTTGATTGGTTTCCCATACTCAGTTTTACAACATCATTACCTTAGTCTTCTTAATGCATCACTATAAAAAAAAGAAGTCACCTGTTAATGTCCTTCAAAGGACTTTCTCATGTGCTTTTTCTAATTTACACAACAGTTGTGTGAGTTAAATATTACCCTCTATTGAATAGTCTAGAAATGATTTTTAGGCAGTCATTTAGAGTGTTCCCTAATCTGTCCCCAGTGTAAAACATCTCCTTGTCAATCTGGGATACTATCCCCCCAAAATGTAGATTTCTTCCTATTTTGCTTATTTGGTGCCCTCTTTCTTACATGTCCTGCCAATCTTAGCTTGTTCCATCTTAAATACCACTCTGTAATACTTTATCTCATCATGCAAGTCTAAATTGACCTTTCTGTGCTCTCCTAATAGTCTTTGGTTTCTACTTTATACAATAAACATTTTAAATGTTTTATCTTTTTCCTGAAGGTAGGGTCATATCTTATAATCTCGTATTGTGGGTATCGCTCACATAAATATGCAAAAAACTATTAAAGTGTTAGATACTTGCAGTGTTTTAAGTGTTTATTCTGGTCAATATATTCAGCATTTTAATAAATGTTAATTTCAGTAACCAGTATGACTTTTTCTTTCATCTGATTCAAAATAGATGGACAAGAAGAGAAGAAGCTGACTTTTACAGAGTGGTGTCTACATTTGGAGTGGTATTTGATCCTGACAGAGGTCAATTTGATTGGACAAAATTTAGAGCTATGGCTAGGCTGCATAAGAAAACTGACGATAGCTTGGAGAAATATTTGTATGCATTTATGTCTATGTGTCGGAGGGTTTGCCGTCTTCCTTCCAAAGAAGGTATGTATAACCCCCCCCCCCCTCCCCGTTTTGGTCAAAGAAGCAAAATCATTAACATTACAAAACATTTTATTTTATTTTTTATTGAATTTATTGGGGTGACATTAGTTAATAAAATCAGAAATTTTCAATATTATCTAATTCAACAAGTCAGCACTTTTCCAGAATTGTAAATAAAATATGCCAAAAGATTCCCCAATTTCTTCTTCCTATTAAAATGAGATCTAGCCGGGACCGGTTTGGCTCAATGGATAGAGCATCGGCTTGGGGACTGAAGGGTCCGGGATTCGATTCCAGTCAAGGGCATGTACCTTGGTTGCGGGCATATCCCCAGTAGGGGGTGTGCAAGAGGCAGCTGATCGATGACTCTCTCTCATTGATGTTTCTAACTCTGTCTCTTTCCCTTCCTCTCTGTATAAAATCAATAAAATATATATTTTTAAAAAGGAATTCTTTAAATGAGATCTAAAGAGAATAAAGGTACACATTGCATTTTGAGAAAATAGCTAGTGTTTTATTAGATTTATGATTCAGGGAGGTAGCAGATGAAGGATAGCTTTTAGTAAATAGCAGTAACTTACATTTTTAGCCCATAAGAACTGAGAGGAGCAATGCTAGAGGGCGTATTTACATGCATTATTTTGCAGGCAATGAGGCCTTCACTCAAAGGACATTTTAAAGAGTTTTAGTAAGATGAAATCACCCAGGGCCTTCAAGAAAGACAGCTCCCCCCCAGGTGCTAATGCTCATTTCAGGGACTGTTCTGGGATGTGCTTCATGGTTTTGACGCTGTCAGCAGTTCCACTTACCATTGCTATGTTGTGAGCTGCTGTCTTCATTCTTGTTGATTAAGAGTTCTGGCTCCTAAGCCATCGGCTTCCTACTCCCATTTCACAGTGAGTGTGTTATAAAAGGACTTGAATTCTATGACGTGGTTTCCTTCCTCCCTCACCCCCCAACAGATTTGTTGTCAGCTCACTAAATAGAGTAGCCAATCACTTGATTCCCCAAATAACATAATTCAGAGTAGATTTTAGTCTTAGTTAAGGTCTGTTGTAAGCATAAGTGGGGTTGAAAAGATGGATAATGCATAGTACTGGGCCTCCCATTATTGATGGTTGCCAAGAGGCCCTCATTTCCTTTTTTTCTCTTCTTGATTCTGACCAGCAATGTAAAGCTGTGTAGATAAGTTCATCACATTGATTCAAGTTTTAAAAGAAAGGGAGAGGTTAGTTACTAAATGATGATTGCAAAGATGTTAGACTTGTGAGTGAGGTTTTATTTACTTAACTCAGTTTCCCAAACTTCCTCAGTTCACAGTGCCCTTAATGTCTCTGAGTTTTTCACAGCACCAGAGGCCTAATAGTTCTGTTTAATAAATAATTCGGTTCAAAAGACTTAAAAAATTTCTGTGTCCTGCCCTAACTGGTTTGGCTCAATGGATAGAGCGTCAGCTTGCAGACTGAAGGGTCCCGAGTTTGTTTCCAGTCAAGAGCATGTACCTTGGTTGTGTACCAGTAGGGGGTGTACAGGAGGTAGCTGATCGATGTTTCTCTCTCATTAATTTTTTTACTTTTTTTTTTTAATATATTTTATTGATTTTGTACAGAGAGGAAAAAAGAGAGAGTTAGAAACATCGACGAGAGAGAGATCAGCTGCCTCCTGCACACCCCCTACTGGGCAACCAAGGTACATGCCCTTGACCATAATCGAACCCAGGACCCTTCAGTCCTCAAGCCGACACTCTATCCATTGAGCCAATCCGGTCCCGGCAATTTTTTACTCTTTTAGAGAGTTTCTAACTCTCCATCTCCCTTCTCTGTAAAAAAGCAATAAATTATAAAACATTAATTTTTTTTTTAAAGTTTCTGTGTTCTAATAGTCTAGAAATTGCTTGGAAATATAGAATAAATTGAGTGAAAAAATAATATTATTTCTTATATAACCCTAGTTACTTACTGAAGGGATGTGTGCACCTGTTGGGCACTGTACACCTGCTCAAATCTTGGAAGTACAATGGATACTCCCACACTTTTATTTGCCGTTCCATATTGATTTTTGCATAGTCCATTTATTTTATTTTTTTTACCCTTTTATTTTGAACGACTTTCAGAAAAGTTGCAAAAACCAATCATGGAGTTCTATAGATCCTTGCTTTGCCAGAATGCTGACAAAAATATGACATCATCAAAAAGAATAAAAATAGCCTGTTAAAATTGACTTATCTGGAGCTAGTAGTTCATACAGTGTTTGATAAATATCCCTGTGTTTCCTTTAAATTGTAAGAGAGCCTTTGGTGAGTTCTCTGCAATTGCCCGAGTGTCCTCATGGCACTAGGGACATATGGACTTACATTTGTTTATGGGGCACTTAACAGTTTTAATTTATATTTAGAAGTGGGGTAACTAAGTTTTACTCTTTGTTTAAGGTACAGAATAGTAAGACATGATTCATGAAGGATTTCTTAAAAGTAAATTCCTGTTTATATTAACGTACTTCCAAAAATTCATAGTTTTACTTTCTGTGTAGATCCAATATTCATATATTTTATGGTAAATAATTTTTGGAACTTCTCTTTAAACCTTATATTCTCATTTAAAAAAGAAATTATGGAAACTCAGTGTAATGAAGTAGAGGTACACTTTAGAAGTTGCATTATTTGTTTTAAATCTGTAATAAAGTATTTTTGATGTTAATATCTTCGCTCTGTTTTAATGTAGAATTGGTGGATCCAAATATTTTTATTCAGCCAATCACAGAAGAACGTGCTTCTAGGACTTTGTATCGCATTGAACTTCTAAGGAAAGTAAGGGAACAGGCACTCCGCCATCCGCAATTGTGTGAACGCTTGAAGCTTTGCCATCCAAATCCAGACTTGCCAGTCTGGTGGGAATGTGGCCCTCATGATAGGGACTTGCTTATTGGGGCCGCTAAACATGGGGTGAGCCGAACGGACTATCACATCCTTCGTGATCCTGAGCTCTCATTTATGGCAGCACAGAGGAGCTACAGCCAGAACAGGATGGCGCATTCGAGGACCTCCACGCCACTCTTACAGCAATATCAAGCAGCACTTTCTGCCTCTCCTCTTACCTCTCTCCCTAGGATCCTAGATGCTAAAGAGACTGCTCTAGAGGACCTGAAAGCTAAAAATGAAAACCTTAAAGAGGAACCTCAGTCTTCTGAAGAAGAATCCATGTCTTCTGAGGAAACCAGGACACTAATAAAGTCTGAGCCTGTCAGTCCAAAGAATGGGGTTTTACCACAGGCTGCTGGAGAGCAGAAATCTGGCGGAAAGGGGGAAGCAGATAGACGCATGGTTGCCGCCAGAACAGAACCCCTGACTCCAAACCCTGCGTCTACCAAACAGCGCCTCCGCAAAAGAGGGTCAGCATCTAGTTCGGATTCTGACTCTGATTCCGAGAGGTCCTCCTGTTCTTCCAGATCGTCTTCTTCCTCATCTTCCTCCTCCTCTTGTTCCCACTCTCGTTCAGGCTCCAGTTCTTCTTCTTCCTCCTCTTGTTCTTCGGCATCGTCTTCGTCCTCATCGTCTTCCTCCTCTTCCTCCTCCTCTTCGTCGTCATCAGAAGAAAGTGACAGTGAAGAAGAGGAAGTCCAAAAGCGAGGTATATGTATAAATTGCTGTTGATATTTTATGACAGGATTACAGATGAAAAGGAAAAAAAATGGTTTTGATAACTTAAGGGTGTTTAAAATTGTTATGTCTACAGATATTCTTAGAGAATCACTATTGCAAAGGAAACTAGAATTACTTTAATTTTCAGGGTATTGCCAACTGAGTTTGTCAAACAAAGATATTAGTGATGTGACACAGTGATTTTATTTCCTTGTGATTGCCTTAAATTTAGTGTTAGAGTTTTACTGGAACCAGTTATCAGTGAACAAACGAAGATAATGTTCTATAACAGCCACCAGGATTCTTGAGTAAGCAGTCAGACCAATAAGAGTGTCCTAGGCCCTACTTGGCAGCTGTCCACTCAGGAAGATGCAGGATAGGAACTATCAGCAGAGAAGTGGGCAGTGGTCCTCTTGTGCAGGCACCCTGGCAGCAGTCCAGTTCGACTACAAGTAAGTGAGTTCCCATCATGTGGGCGCAGCGGACACTCGGGTTTAAAGAACCTCCAGGCCTCCCAGAGGCTGGGATCTCCCATAGCAGCTGCATAGGCGTACATTCCAGGGCTGCCCCATGGGCGCCACCCCTTTCCTCCAGAGATACAGTATCCTCATCAGATATTGATGATCCTCTCAGGCCAAAAATAGGCTATCAGCCTGTTGTTTACCTGTATTGGGGAAACAGATCTAGACAGTTAAATGAGGGTCAGATTCTTACGCATTAAAGGATGTTCTGTTAACCCTCTGTCCTCAAATTTCTTAGCATCATTTATTTTACTTTTGTGCTAATTTTTAAAATGAGTATTGTATTCTACTTGAATTTTCCCTTTTTTTTTTTTTGCTTCTAACTCTTTCAGATGTATCTGAATAATTATATGAGACTTGAAGTTTGTGTACAACAGACTTATGCAGTCTGACTTAGACAGTTTCAATTGTTGTTAGCAGGAGGTACCCCTCACATGAAAGCCTACGATGAAGAAAGCGTAGCATCACTGAGCACTACCCAGGATGAGACCCAGGATAGCTTCCAGATGAACAATGGGATGCCAGAGTCTGCCTACATCTTGCACAGTGGATACATACTGGCAGCTTCCTATTGGCCAAAGGTACATTAATACTTCCTTGTTGGAACAGTTCTCCTTTTTTTGTATTTTTCTATATTGCTTTATGAAGTAGAAAAATAGGTCACTCAAAATGTAGGATAACGTTTTCGTGTCAGTATTAAAAATATCAAGTACTACTATCAAATAAATGAGATCTACTGAAATGTATATGTTTCTCAACATAACCTTATAATGTCTAGAGTAAAAGAAAATGAATTATTTTGTTCATAAAGAAATTAATATTCAAGTGCTTCCTTATTAAGTGAGTGCTTTCAACTGAGCCTCCTTGGAGAAATTAATCATTGCAAGTTCTGACCTAAGGAGGAAAAGGGTCATTTAAGTGTACGTATATTCAGTGGTATGAGTTTCGATTAAATTAATACAGTTCTTCTAGAATATGACTAAACTAGTACAAGACTATTTACCTTTGGAAGTGAGGAGGAATAGAGAACTCTCTACTCCTTTATACACTTCTATGTTGGAATTTTTTTACAGGGGACTTGTATTATTTTTGTCATTATAAAAACAAAAGTATAGAAAAGTATCTTTATGATATAGTAATTTTTCACTTTACCAGTGGGAGTTTGTGTTTGAATAACTTCATATAGAATTGTGATACGTGTCTGAGAATATGCATACCAAATACACATCTGTTGTTAGTGTTAGATGCATCCAGGCTTGGAGCCATTTGACATCCAAAGGTCTGGCCTAATTGTTAAAATTAAACTTGGGTGTGGTATGCTCTTCCAGGATCGTGTGATGATCAACCGGCTGGACAGTATTTGTCAGACGGTTCTGAAAGGGAGGTGGCCTTCAGCTAGAAGGAGTTACGATGCCAACACGGTGGCCTCTTACTATACCACCAAGCTGCTGGACAGCCCTGGCGCAGCCACAGAGCTTCGAGAGCCCAGTGTGCCCACTCCTCCCCGTGCCGCTGTGAAGGAAGAACATGACCAGTCATCACAGATGTCAGAGGTGAAGAAGCATGTACGAGAAAAGGAGTTTACAGTGAAAATCAAAGACGTATGTGTATTTTTATTGCCGTAGGGCCTGGTTGCGATTGTGGTGTGCAGCATGCTTTTCCTGCAAATGGCTGCCTGCTCTAACTTACTTCCTTCACATACTTGTTTTCTGGTATTTGGATTATTTTCCTTTTGATATCCAGGTTATTAAACTTGAATACTCTACTAGAGGGATCATCATTAAATATGTTTCTCTACCTATACTTCTGAAAATAGTCCTTCTGCTGATCAAGATGCTTTCTTAAACAGTCTGACAGTTTCTAATGTTTCGGTTCTTCTATATAATCTTTCAATGGTATGTCAGTGCACTTTCTGTTTTAAACATTTAGCATGCCCTGTTTTCAGTAACCTTTTATTTTTTTTCTGTGTGATTTTTGAAGCACAATTTACTACTCAGTGTCTTACACTCTCTAAAATGTCCTTTGAATAACGTAGATAGAGATGTATGTCCATAGCTGAAAGTTACAATGTACTGGTCATGTGAAAAACTTTGTTTTGCTCATAAAAGTATGTATAGTGCCTGGATATTTTCTTTCCTCTTCAGATAGACATTGATTTAATGTTTTCTCCGATTGATTTGTGAGCAAAAGAGTGATAACTTAACGTTTCAGGGTTACTTCCCTTTTTCTAAGTAAAACGTTTCTCTAGGTATCCTGTATGAGATTATGTAAATGGATCCTTACTTAATAATGGTGATTGTTTCCCAGGAAGGTGGTTTGAAGCTGACATTTCAGAAGCAAGGATTTGCTCAGAAAAGGCCCCCCGACTCTGAGGACGGCGGGCTGGGCCGGCAGCAGCACCTCCCTCGGCTGCGGGAGCTTCAGGTTGCCTCTGAGACCAGCCTCGCCAGTGTTGCCAAGGGTTCGCCCGTGTCAGGTGAATATCCCGGGGTAACCACCTTAGTGTGAAGTATTTCCTGTCATTTCCAAAGCCTCTTTCTTTTATCTGCTCTCTCAATAAAAATTCATCTGTCCTTTAATGTGAAAGCATAGAGGCCAATGTAGTTTTGGGAGCTTATATATTTGGGTGAAAATATCGTTTTATCAAGTACCTTTATTCAGATAAGAGTTCAAATAGTATTTCAACATGAGAATAAATTGTAAATTTAAAGAAAAACACCTAAGTCACACATGAATGGTGTTTGGTAGAGCAAGTTAAAGTGAGAAGCTTTGGGAAGGTTATAGAGACCGTGTAGTGAAGGTAGCCACAAGATACAGGAATAATTTATGTCTCGTCCCTGAAAGAATGGTCTTTTATTCTCACGGGACCCGGGCAGGAAAACGATTGATACCGGTGAGAGATTTGTGTCAGATCAGAGCCTGCTTAGGAAGATGAATCTTGGTTATGGGCAACATAAAAAACTGAGCTAGAGTCCTAGCTGGTTTGGCTCAGTGAGTAGAGCACATGCCCAGGTTTCGAGGTCGATCCCCAGTTGGGTGTGTGCAGGAGGCAGCCGATCAATGATTCTCTTTTATCACTGATGTTTCTGTCTCTCTCTCTCTCTCTCCCTTTCTCTTTGAAATCAATAAAAATATATATATTTTATAAAAAGCTGAGCTGGGGAGAGATTGGTTTTAATGTTCATGCAAAAATAGGGATTAATGTAAGACATTTCATTTACATTAGAATAGGAAGCCATGAAAAGTTCTTATAAAAAAGAATAGTATTTTTTAAAGTGGCACATTAAATTAAGAAAGTTTATTATAGGTAGAATATAGTGAAAGAATTTTAAAATCCTATAATAATTTATTAATATGCTTATAATAAAATTTACTGTGTGGCCATAATAAAAGCATTTATATGCAAAAATGATGTTTACCGGTAATTGTTATAATTAGTTATTCTTTACCCTATGATGTTGAATTTTTGAAACTGAGAAGTAGGAAGGTAGTTAATTTTTATAAGATTGCACAGCCAACCACAGGACTTGCTCAAAATATTTTCCCTGAATGATTGAAACTATATTTCATACTAGGGCAGTGAACCATTTAAAACAAAGATCTGATCCTTAATAATATTTCTTTTAGTAAGAGCGATCTAGATTGTGTAATACTCTTTAAGGAAAGGAACTGATTACTTAACTCTTCTTTCAACTATCATAGTACCTTGTACGTAGGAATTTGATAAATATCTACTTATTGGAATGACTGACTGCATGAAACTGTTTCATTTATATATCTTTCAAACAGTTTTTGTGTGATCAAGCGCCTACTGAAATAAGGAATGAGTGTAATTTTGTAACTGAACGGTTAGTGGTGATCTTAAAGAAAATACCTCACCTAGGTTGGAGCAGAATGGACTATGGGAAATTCAGGAATGAGTTCATTGCAATAAAGAGGAACACAATAGAGACAAACCTTTTAAACATGTTAAAAATTGTAAAAAAGGCAGAAGTTCATTTTTCATTTGTTTGCGTTAGGCCATTTTTTTAAAGTTCAGAAGAATTTAATGTAGAAAAAGACATTGTGGCACAAGAAACCAAAGCTATGTTATACAACAAGCTGCTGGCAAAAGCAGGAATCAATGGGTTCAAAGAAGGGAGAGGTTTATCTTGTGCACAAGAAAAGCATGCTTCTCCCTCTAAAAGGGCAAGTATCCTATATAATAAAAGGCTAATATCGGGACATCAGAACCACCACTCGCTATGAACATCTGCCCCCTGGTGGTCAGTGTGCTCCCCCTGTGGGGGCTCAGCCAGAATGCCTCCCCAGCAGCACTAATGATGTCCAACTGCCGCCTTAGGCCTGCTCCTTAAGCCAGCAGTTGGACATCTCCCAAGACCTCCAGGCCTGCCAGAGGGTGCAGGCCAGGCTGAGGGACTCCCCCCAGTTCACGAATTTCATGTACTGGGCCTCTGGTAAGAAGATAAGTGAATATCTGAGTAGGGAGGTGAGTAAATAAGTCAAGGTTAAAAGAGGCCTAAATTTATAATGCTCCAAATTTTTAAATGACAAATTGTTGGTGTTTTTAGTCATAAGAATTGCTTGATTTAGGACATAAACCAGAACTAACACTTCTGTGTATTTTAAAAAGTGATTGCTTTTAATATGTTTAAGAACAAGATTTTTATCACTATTTTTCATTTTAAATTTGATTAGGTACTTCCAATCAATCTGCCGCTGGTGCCAATGGAGTTATATTAGACAGCCAGCCTATAGTCAGAAAAAGGCGGGGAAGGAGGAAGAATGTAGAAGGTGCTGACATCCTCTTTTTTAACAAAAGTAAACCACCTAATCATGTAAGTAAAACCATACTTGAAAACTAATGACCCCTGAGTGCAAAATTCAACCAAAGAAAGTTATATATTACTGTTTTGTGAATGTTTTGTAGACTAAGTAAATTAGAAGTACACTACATAGTTTTAGATTGTATCTCAGTAGAATTCCACCCTGGCCAAGATTCATGAAAACCTTAAACAGTTTATTTCTTATTGTTCCAAAGGAAATCTTTTAGTAGGACAAAATTAGAATAATAAAACATGGAAACAAAATTTTCTTTTGGTGTTTTCTCCAGGTTACTTTGGGCTTACCCACCTCACAAATTACTCCAGGGATAAACCCAGCACTGTCCTATCCCCAGCCTCAAGGCATTCCTGATACAGAAAGTCCAGTCCCAGTGATTCACCTGAAAGATGGAACAAGACTTGCTGGTGATGACGCGCCCAAGAGAAAGGATTTGGAAAAATGGCTTAAGGAGCACCCAGGTTATGTGGAAGATTTAGGAGCTTTCATTCCTGTAGGTGATCATTTACAAATCTTGGTTTATGTTGTTTCTATGATTTACCAAACCTCTAATGATAAAGCTTAAATTCTTACCCACTTTTAATTCAATTAAAAAAAATGAGAATTGTTAGTTTAGCGCTGTAAATTTACAGGTTACAAAATAATATGTTTTGTCAGTAAATTATTTTTTTTTAAATATATTTTATTGATTTTTCACAGAGAGGAAGGGAGAGAGCCAGAAACATCAATGAGAGATACACATTGACCAGCTGCCTCCTTCACCGCCCCAACTGGGGACGTGCCCGCAACCAATGTACATGCCCTTGATCAGAATCAAACCCGGGACCCTCGGTCCGCAGGCCGACACTCTCGGCAGTAAATTATTATTACAACTATTGTGTGCTGGTTGCTCTTTTAAAAGATTTTCTTATTGCAGCAAAGGAATCTTTATTAATTGTTTAAACTTGTATCCATTTATTATTTTTGTTTATTTTTCACTGCAAATGAACTTTATATTGTAATTTTGGTATAATTTTGTTAAGATTTTAATAACACTTTTAAAAGCAGCTTTTATTACAATAAAGAATATGAACTAATAGCTAGTTTTACTTTCCTAGGATACTTGAACAATTTCTTGATCACATGTGCTATTGTGGTATATATATAGCTAAATAATTACAACATGGTGTATATATATATATTGTAACAGGGGTATGTATAAAATATCATGGTTGCAAATAAAAGAATGATTACTCTGTGTAGGCAGAGTAAAGTATCTGGGGAAAGGCAGAAGGAAAACAGAGTTGACATGTAATTGACGGATCATAAACGATTTACTGGGCATTTGACCACGTTATTATAGAGGAGCATATTCTAGGCGTTACAAAACAATTCTGAAGAGAGTCAAATGAAGATAGGAGTGTAAGGCATATACATAAAACAATGACCAGTCTGATATTACAAATTTGTGGGGGAATAGTAACTGGATGAAAGGTTGAATTAGATCCTGGCTGTGATGGAATTGGTATGCCACGCTGAAGAGTTTGAGCATTAGTCCCTTTAAGTGTTCTGATTGGCTGGAAGGAGCTACAAACATCCAGCCCTGTTTTGTTGACAGCTGCAAAACGAAGCAGCATGGAAAGAGTTGTTTTGTTTCATTTTTTATAGCAAAGGTGGAGATTTATTGAAGAACAAGTATAGGCTCCCACATGGGAAGGGGGAAAGGGTTCCGAAAAAGTTTTTATTGCAAGATTTTGCCTCTCACAGGCTGCAGGATCTTGAGGGAGATGAACTCTGAGCCTGGAGTCTCATTTGTAAATAAGAAGAATGTCTTTGAGAATTGTGATGATTATGTGAGAAGAGAGAAGAAAGTCTGTCTCTGAGATGACAAGAAGTGAAAGCCACTAGTCCATGTAGCACACATATGAATTGAGTCAGAACCCAGAGAAAAATCTGATGTTTCAGGTGAAATTTAGCAGGAAAAGAAGGGAAACTCTACAATTTAGAGGAAGCTACGCCAGCATTACTGGTAACTTTAAGCAGTGCTGTAGGCACACAGTGGTCTTTGAAGGCATTAAAGAAGGAACCAGCCATGTCTTTATGCCGGGAGCCTACTCTCATCCAGGATGAGCATGATGCATTATCCTTCTGATGGCCGAGAATAATGTTTAAATTTATCATTAGAGGAAAAGATTGGTGCAATAATTTTTAAAGTCTTATTTAATATTGTTATATTAAATATAAAGATATTTAAAGATTACACATTTTTAGAGTTTAACTACTGAGTTTAATTCTCCTATATGAAATATTAAAGATATAACATGGAAGATATGTTATATAATAAATGACATATCTTCATTATTACCAGATTAAATTACTTCCACCAGCCCGTTCGCACTGTTTGCACACGTGAAGATTTTAAGGCTCTTTCTGCGTCTTTTGTTGTAGAGAACGCAGCTCCATGAAGGGAGGCCCAAACAAAAGAGGCATCGCTGCCGAAACCCCAACAAGCTAGACGTCAACAGTCTCACTGGGGAGGAGCGTGTCCAGCTGATCAACAGAAGAAATGCCAGGAAGGTAGTTACATCTCTCAAACTCTGTTGGTTATGCGGTATCTTCTAGCACGTCCGGAAATGGGTTGAACCTAGCAGATTTGTGGGGAAAGGTGTGGACTGTAAATTTATATCTTTGGTTAAGCTGCTGAATGGAATAAAGAAGGCACTTTTCCTAGCTGTGCCTGAGCTTTGGCACTGCCCAGAACATTCCGCCCAAGGCAGCGGTTCTCCACAGGGGCAGTTTTGTCCTCCAGGTACTTGGTAATGTCTGGAGACATTTTTGATAGCCACCCAAGAGTGGTGAGGTGGGTGTTGGGCGGTAGCAGGGGGAGGATGCTTTTGACCTCCAGTGGTAGAGGCTGGTGATGCTGATAAACTGTGTACAGCACATAGGGCCACCCTCCACACCACAATTCTGAAACGTCTCTCCTGCGAAGGTGGAGAAACCATGATGAAATAGGACAGATCTCTCTTCACAACCGTGACAGCCTTATGTTTTTATCACTGTGAGTAGTGAGGTATAGTGAGAACTAAAATTATATACTTCAAGTCCTTAGCACAATACCTGGCACATAATAATAATATATATTTATGTGCCAGAGGCCCTATGCTAAAGCACTTAACTTGTATCTTTTTATCTTCATAAAACCCTATGGGAGAAGTGTTATTCCCATTTTATAGATAAGAAAACTGAGGCTCAGAGAGATCTATTGATTGGCTTAAGTTTCCTCTTAACTAGGCTATACTACCTATCCAGCACAGTTAAGTACACAGTAAATGGTAATTATTTATTTTCCTACTCTAGTTATTTTACTTAAAACATTAATAATTTAAATTTCCTCATGTTTATACAGGGGTGGGCAAAAGTAGTTGATAGTTGTGAATACACAGAACAGTTTATTCGTGTATTATTATTTATTAATAATGTATTATTTTTCATATGAACAATACCCTGAATAGTATTTTAATAGTCCTTATGAGTTGTGGTAGTCCTTTTTAATATAATAAAGATTGCCAAAGGTTCAAAGAATACATGTTTTAAAGAAATATACTGTATAAATTCTGAACAAAAGCAAGACGTGTCTCCATATGTAAGTGTTTTACATGTGTAACAGTCCTTTTGTTTACAGGTTGGAGGTGCATTTGCTCCTCCTCTGAAAGATTTATGTAGATTCCTGAAAGAAAATTCAGAATATGGAGTCGCTCCTGAATGGGGAGACGTTGTTAAACAATCTGTGAGTATTTCATAAACACTAACTCAGTTATCATTTAAAAAGTTAGATGCCATTTAGTTTTATCCCTGAACAGTGCCACAAAGAATAATCACAGATGTGGGGAAAGAACTACATAAAAGTCATAATATAGTATTAAAAAATTGGGAATATGCTAATAGTTTACCCATATGTTATAAAACCATGCAAATATTTGAAAAAATTGTATCTTAGAGGCACATTAATGAGAAGGCAGAGACGTTCACAGGCTGTTAAAGGGGATAGTGGTTTATCTCTTGGAATAGCCAGGCCTAACCACGAGGTCAGTGCTGAGTGAATAATAGCTATTATTTCTGTAGGTGTCCAGTGAAAAGTACGGTTATAGTGGGGAGCGGTCTGGGTGTGACAAGGTCCCCAGGAGACTGTTGTACAAGGCGGGCTGTCTGGCACCCGCTCCCTGGCCCCTGAGGCTTGCCAGTTCGCAGACAGAGCAGGATACTATGAGACAGACAAAAGATGGGATCGGGAGGGCAAACAGTTCAAGATTGCAGCCCAGAATTTATTTCTCTCAGCATATTTATGCAGTTATAATTACATAAGTATCAGGTGAGCATAAGCGATTTTATTATTAGATCTGCACCCTTTTTCTTGCTAGCCTTTACAGACTTGCCAGCTTCCCTCTGACCTGCCTCGTGGCTATAGCCAGCTTCCTTGTTTTCACAGTCATCCGGCTTACTTCCCTTTTGTCACACTCTGTCTGTCTCATAGGATCTTGCTTTGTCTGCAAACTGGCAAGCCTCAGGGGGCCAAGGGAGTGGGTGCCAGACAGCCCGCCTTGTGCAACACTGTCTCCTCCGGACCTTGTCACACCGAGACCGAGACCGCTCCCCACAGTTACACAACTGTGTGCAGTGTGATTCCATTTTCTTTTAGAACTGTAGAATCTGTGTTTATGTACAAAAGAAAAACGGAGGCACACATTCTGACACATTTGCTGTGGCTGTCTCTGAATGGTGAAGTTGCATACTTTTGTTGTTTTGTTTTTTGCTGTGGAACCTAGTGCTTATATAAAAAGGACAAATAAGTTGTTCCATTCAAAACACAATTTAAAAACAATCCTATGAGATAACTTTAAACCATTGTCTAGAACTGAGCGGTCACAGCTGGTAGCTTGTAGGCCCGTGTGGCTATGGAGCATTTGAAATATGACTTGTCTGAATTAAAATGTGTTGTAAGAGTGAAACACTGGCTTTGGATTTTGAAGACTTGGTTTAGAAAAAAGAAAATAAGGTATCTCAGTAATTTTCACAGATTACATATTAAACTGATAATATTTTCCTTATATTATTATGTTAAATAGATTATATTACAAAAACTAATGTTATCTATTTCTATTTTACCTTTTAATGTTGCTACTAGAAAATTTTAAAATTGCTTATGTAACTTAAATTATCTTTTTGTTGGACAATGCTTGTCTGAAGGTACTAAACTCCTAAAAGTTCTAGGATTTTTGAGTCCGAGAAAGTCAGGAGAATAATAAGAAAGTATAGATTGTTCTCTATTGTCCTGGACTTGATGCTTTCCAGTCTGTAGGTGCTGCTGCAGTTCTGAGCCAAGGGATTTTTCCCTTGTTGAGTGTCTTTTTCAGTTTTGCTATGTTCCTGATTTCCAAAGTGATAGTCAAAAGATTCATATGAAGCCTCTCATTTTAACCTTACCCACCCACTCACTTCTGTCCTTTCCTTGTTGTTATTTCAGCTTAGAAGAGGGGCACTAATTGAGTCTTCCAGAACAGTTCATGATACAAAACAAGTAAGGGTGTAGGGAGTAACCCTCAAGAAACAATTGCTTTGGACTTCCCATTTTCTAAAATTATTCTACAGATGGGTGTGTCCCCTTTCGGAGGAAAGCTAATAGGCTCTCTGCTCTCTTATAGCATAAAATGAGGAGGAAGAGCTGTTTCAAACCACTAAAAATAATAAGAAATTAGAGTATCTCTTGCATGATTGATTATGCTGTGCATACAGAGCTTATTAATAATTATTTTTTTTTAATATTAAAATATATTTTATTGATTTTTTACAGAGAGGAAAGGAGAGAGATAGAGAGCTAGAAACGTCAATGAGAGAGAAACATCGACCAGCCGCCTCTTGCACACCCCCCACCGGGGATGTGCCCGCAACCAACGTACATGCCCTTGACCGGAATCGAACCCGGGACCTTTCAGTCCGCAGACCGACGCTCTACCACTGAGCCAAACCGGTTTCGGCAAATTATCTATTTTTTTAAAATATTTTTTATTGATTTTTTTTTACAGAGAGGAGAGGGAGAGAGAGTTAGAAACATTGATGAGAGAGAAACATCTATCACCTGCCTCCTGCACACGCCCTAGCAGGGATGTGCCCGCAACCAAGGTACGTGCCCATGACCGGAATCGAACCTGAGACCCTTGAGTCCACAGGCCAACGCTCTATATCCACTGAGCCAAATCAGTTAGGGCAATAATTATCTACTTTTAATAGGTTACTTGCATCATAAGATAATAGCTATTGATTTTAATATAGCTGTTATTAATGATCTTCTTTTTCAGGGGTTTCTTCCAGAAAGTATGTATGAACGGATTCTCACTGGCCCTATTGTGCGAGAGGAAGTAAGCAGGCGAGGGAGACGGCCTAAAAGTGGGATTGCGAAGGCCACCGCTGCGGCGGCGTCTGCCAATGCCACCAGTGTTGCAGGCAGTCCTTTGTTAGCCAATGGATTACTTCCAGGTATGGATCTCACAACTCTTCAGGCCTTACAACAAAACCTACAAAACTTGCAGTCACTGCAAGTGACTGCAGGGCTGATGGGAATGCCTGCCGGCCTTTCTTCTGGAGGAGAAGCTAAAAACATGGCCGCCATGTTCCCCATGCTGCTGTCAGGAATGCCTGGATTACCAAATCTGTTGGGCATGGGCGGACTCTTGACAAAGCCTGCAGAATCTGGAACAGAAGAGAAAAAGGGCAATGACTGTAAGGAGCTAGAAGGCAAAAAAGAAAGGACAGAAAGCCAAAAGTCAGAGAATGGTGGAGAAAACTCTGTGTCAAGTTCTCCTTCAACATCCTCTACCGCTGCACTAAATGCGGCCGCAGCTGCCAACTCCCTAGCTCTTAACCCGCTGCTACTCTCTAATATACTCTATCCAGGGCTTCTCACGCCAGGCCTTAATCTTCATATGCCAGCTTTGTCCCAGCCCAATACTTTTGATGTACAGAAAAGCAAGAGCAGTGGCTTAGGCTCGTCCAAATCTGTGGAAGTAAAGGAAGAAGATTCCAGAGTTAGCGATCAGGAAGACAAAGGGGGCACTGAGCCGAGTCCTCTCAATGAAAACAGCACAGACGAGGGTTCAGAGAAAGCCGATGCTTCCTCTGGATCTGACAGTACCTCGTCGTCATCCGAGGACTCAGATTCTAGTAACGAAGACTGATTCCCAGACTGTGCTTAAATTATGAACTGGCTTTGGATTTTTTTTCCTTTAATTATCATTGTAAATACCCCCGTGTGGAGTGCATCCATAATTTACTGACCGAACATTTCAGTTATTTGTTTAGAAGTGCACACTGCTTTCAAAGACATTTTGCATGTAATATTTCTTAAGGTTCATAAGTTTTTGAACTCGTATGTACTATCAACTACATAAAGGTGTAAAATTACAACAAAAGGCATTATAATTTTGTTGGGGGTTAATTTTATGAAAATTATGCTCAATAAGAGTTGTATATTTAATATATTTGCAGTGAACACAAAATACTTTATGCATATTACTGATTTAATTTGAATATAGTTTTACAGCCTCCTTGACACCTATAATTTACAGATCAAAACTCAGCAATAATTTGGGCAGCTAATGAATGTCATGAAAGCTGTAGAATCTACATCACCATTCATTGCTTTAATTACATGAACATGCTCTAGTGTTTTGATGCACTGCTGATGTTTCCAATTCAGGTACAAGTATGTTTGGAAAAAGAAATAAGTTTCCCAATCAGCCAATTTAACTGGCTACCTGTTACCTCAGCTGAGTTAGTTTAGGAAGTTTACATTCGTTTCTAATTCTATACTTGTTTTCAGGGGTTTTTTAAACACATCCTCTATATCATGTTAATCTGGCAAGAAATATGACTTGCTTTTCGCTGAACTTAATTCTGGTATTAGTGAAGTCGAGTCATAACATAATCCTGTGTCATGTGACTTTGGCACCTGCTAGACACACCAAGTTTTCACTTCACGAAGTCTGGCCTCCCATTACAAATATTATAGCTCAGATAAGTACTGTCTGCTTCCCAGGGTTCTGAAAAGGCAAACTCATGAAATGCCACTGAAAAGAACTTCAGCACAGCATACTTCCTGTAAAAGGATTGTTCGTTCGCTTTCTTTGTGTAGATTCCTAGTTGTGTTTTATGTTACGGTCATATTCCACAATGAACAGAGAACAGCGGTAAAGTGATGTGCAAACAGTCTAAATTCATCTTGAGTTTTTTCTAGGTGTAAGTAGACTACATGTTGCCCAGAATCAGTGTTGGGTGTTCAGTTTATATTAAATATACTGAGTCGCCCATTTTGAAAATGCACTTTGAATAATCTCAAAAAATATACGAGTTATACCTGTAAACCACAAAACGAAGCCCAAGGCTTCGGATCATTTTCTTAGAGCTCTTTACTTACCATGTAAAATTTGTCTGATCTTTGATTTGTGATACAGTTCCTCCTTCTAAAGCTGCTATTATTCAGACAAGGTAGAAGTCCAGGTTTATCTGCAAATACATATAAAACAAAGAACTGAATGGGATGTAAAATACCACTTATATTTTAAGGAGAGATAGATGTTAGTGTTCTTCTGGTACTTGAATAAGTCAGTGATAAAGTTTGCAAGGGGATTCAGTTAGGGTGGAAAACGTACTCCACTTGTCTTTCACAGGAAATAGAAACCACTTTCAGTATGTTTTGATTATAGAAATCTATTGCTTTGTCATGAATTAAGCAATTATATTGGATTTTGCAAGACATTTACCAGTAAATTATGTTTCGGTATGTAAAATAACTAGCCCCTTATTAGAGAGACAGTGTTATATGTATTTACAAAAGCTATGTAAGTTCCATTGGGATAGTATTGATTTTTGTATTTTTCCAAAGTAGTACATTGAATTGCTAGCCCTTTATGCACTGTCTTAGCAGTAATCACCCTACGGCCCCTCCAGAAGTGCGTAGTAATTTTTCATCATGAAAACAAGAAGTTATACACTTAGTCTCTTCCCTTTGCAGTATTGCACTTTTGTTTAACCAGAGCACACCTTTGAGATAGCCAAAGTTTTTCACACACAGTACACTAGGTTGCCGATGAAGTATGTCATCACTATCCAGAGCTCCCTTCCCTCCCTCTACTTCTACCCACATGATCTTTATTACTTTCCCCAATTAAAAAATAAAAAGAAAAGAAAAAGGGGGAAAAAGCCCTAGATCTAATTTATATCAAATTTATGAGATAAAGTATTTTCCTAATTAATACTCAAGTGAATTTGGTTAACATCTTAGTTATTCCCTTTCTATGTAATAAGGTAATTGCTATTTTAAAAGTATTAAGGCTGATATTAACTTTAAACATTCTCTTGAGTTTTGAGACACTTCTATTATTGGTTAGGGGAAAGTTATCCAGCTATCAGGTTTTTTGTTTTTTTTTTTAATTAAAAAAAACATGCAAATATGGTTGTAGAGAGTTAAGGGTTATAAGGAAAAAAATCAGTAGAATTACTTGATACTAAAGTTGCATTTGAAAGGATATCCAAGTATGTGTTGGTAGTTACTAAAAGAATTATAGCTGTTATTGCCTTGTATTTATAGTCCTTGTTTCAGATTTCATGATACAAGTCTTGGTCCAACTTTTCTTTTGGACATTTGCAATATTTACCAGTTGTGTTTTGTGTAGTCTGAATTTGCTTTCTGTAGTTGAGCAAACGTCTTAAAAAGTCATTTGTAATTTATTAAATTACTTTCTATGATGTTCTATAGAGCAAATGGAAGTTTAATTATTTTTTATTAAACATATTCTTTGACTACCCACGATGTCAGCCTCTGTACATGACAAGATTTCTTTTTTTTATTGAATTTTATATAGCTCATTTATCTTCAAAGTTATGAAAGCACCCATAGGCCTAAATCTTTAAAAGGAAAGTATACTTGGGAAGCATTTTTAAAAGGAAGAATTTGGTAATAATTATATCCACAACATTATTATTTCCTTAAGTTTTCTTCCCCGGGATCCTGAAAAATAATCCAGAAGGACTCAGATATGCCTAACCTTGAAAGGGGGTTCATTGGAAATCAGTAATTATTTTTTTATCTAGTCTTATGGCTCTCAATTCATGGCCAGTATTGGTAGTGTTTTTTGTAAAGATGAAAAGACTTGTTTTTTCTAAAGTAAAACAATGGAGTCTCGTGATAACACTCATTTAACTTGAACACTTTCAACTATGCTTTGTGCTTAGAAAACTTCTTTTTCTTTTCTCGTACAATATAGCATGTAAACACAAGCCAACTACTTCATCTAGCGCTAACCCAGAAGACCGGTAATCCACTCTGATGCTGGAGGAAGACGTGGCCGTGTCGGTGCTTTTGAGAGAAGATACATTATACACTTATGTGTTCTGTATTTTGTGAGCTGTAGGAGGGAAAAGAGTGATATTTGACTACAGGTAATCTTCACCTTATACAATAAATTGAGACCTTAATCCCTACATAATTGTAACTACAGTACATAAGCTATTTATTTTTAAGTGCAGAAAAAAAACACAAAGAAAAATATTTAAGTCATTCATTAAATCCTCCACGGGATTAAAAATACTGTTGATACAGATTTTCAGTCTTTTTTATATGTATGTTCTGTACAGGTAGTGGGCTGACGGGTGCCCTACAAAAATTTATGTCAACGAAAAACCTCAGAACGTGACCTTTGAAAATAGTCTTGAGAGATGTAATTAGTTAAGATGCTATCTTGATAGATTAGGGTGGGCCCTTAATCCAGTGACTGGCATTCTCCAAGTGAAGACACAGGGGGACAAGGCTACGAGACAACCCCCAGTGACTGGAGTGATGTGGCTACAAGCCAAGGAACGCCAAGGCTTGCCAGCAGCCACCAGATGCTAGGAGAGGCGTGGAATGGATCATCTTTCAGAGCCTCCAGAAGCAGCTACCCTGCCAGCACCTTGATTTTTGGACTCCTAGCCTCCAGAATAAGTTTCTGTTTTAAGCCACCCAGTTTGTGGTCATATGTCATGGTAGCCCTAGGAAACTAATACACTTTCATATTAAATCAGTATTACATGGGGCATATTATTTACTCTTCTGCCCTTGATAATACTGACCTATGTCAATGAGTATCCTGCAATGTGATTTTTTAATATGAATAATTTAGTATTGGCGCATACTGATGTAGTAACTTATTTAACCATGTACTTAAAAATAGACATTTGGGTTTATATATGCATTTTTTTTTTTTTTTTTTGCATTTACCCCTAATGATTTTCTTAATCCCTAAAAGTGAAAATACTGTGTTTTGAAGAGTTTTGTTTTGCCGAGTTTATATTGATGCTGTTAGTAGCAATTTATACTACCATTAGCAGGGTACATTTTGTGAATGTTGATTTACCCCAAATCCTTACCAATACTGTGTATTGTCCTTTGAAATAACATTTGCCAACTTATTAGGCAAAAATAACATCTTGATGAATTTTTAAATTCTTTTTCTTAGTGAAAAGCAAGACGTGTGTATTACAGAAAATCTGGGGAAGGGGAAGGGAAGTAGGGAAAGCACAAAGTAAACAACCTCCCCCCCCCCACCCCATAATGCTGAACACTCAGATAATTGTTAAATGTTGGGTCATTTTTCTTTGCAGATACATATTATATATTAATAAGAATGGAGTTATACTGTACATACCATTTTGTAACCTTTTTTTTCATTTACTATACCATGATTTTCTTTCCATGTCATTAAAAAATCTTCCAAAACATTTTTAAGTACTTTCTTATTCTAATATATAGATGCAGTATAATTTATTTAAGACCAAATTATTGAGCTCCTCAACACACACACCACCACAGAAGTTTAAGGTCTCTTGAGATGCACTCATATAGCTCCCTGAATTTCTTTTTTATGTTTACACTTGACAATTATTTGCTCTAGGTCTGCTTTACCCATGGGGTCATAAGCTCTGAGGGCAGAGGCCATGCTTGTCTTATTCATGACTGTACACTCAGTGCTGGTCACTGTACTTGACATACAGTCAATACTGACTAAACATTTGTTGAATATTTGGATGGATGGCAGACTTTGACTGAGTGAGTGATTGTGTGATTGCATAATCAGAACCCAAGAACCAAACTTCCTAATGACCAATACTGAGTTTTAATTGTTATGTAATTGACATTGTACAACATTCTGTGTAATAAAAGCCTAATATGCAAATCAGCTGAACAGCAGAATGAGTGGTCACTATGACACTACTGACCACACTCAATGTAGGAGCTGCCCCCTAGTGGTCAGTGCACTCCTATGGGGAGCGCTACTCAGCCAGAAACCAGGCTCCAGGCTGGCAAGTGCAGCTGTGGTAGCTGGAGCCTCTCCCACCTCCACTGCAGCACTAAGGATGTCCGACTGATGGCTTAGGCCCACCATCCGGCAGACATCCCCCGAAGGGCTCCCGGACTGCAAGAGGGCACTGGCTGGGCTGAGGCTCCCCACCCCCAGAGTGCAGAATATATATATATATCCATATCTCAAATCGTGTGTGTGTGTGTATAGTGAAACAATTACCATAAGTTTAGTTAACATCCATCACCATACAGAGATACAAAATTTTTTTTGGGGGGATGAGATTTTTAAGTTCTCTCTTAGCAACTTTCAATACAGCCCTGTTCAGTATAGTCAGTATGCTGTCCATTACATCCCCAGGACATATAAGTTGGGAAGTTTGTATCTTTTGACCATCTTCCTATTCCTCTCCCTCAATCTCCCGGGAACCACCAATCTGTTCTCTGTACCTATGTGTGTGTGTTGTTTTTTTATTTTTAGATTCCACAAGTGAGATCATACAGTATTTGTCTTCCTGTCTTGATTATTTCACGTATATATAATGCATGCAAGGTCCATCCATGTTACAAGTGGCAGGATTTTCATTTATATGGCTGAGTGATAATATTTTTATCCATCTGTTGAAAAACACGGGTTTGCATGCTGTTTGTAAATAATGGCACCATGAATAGACAGTACAGGTGCAGACATTTTTTCCAAGATAGTGATTTTGTTTCCTCCAGGAGTGGAATTGCTGGATCATGTGAAAACTTGTGTCACCCAAAAAACATGCACATGGAAGTTAGTAGCAGTTATGCTCATTATCACCAAAGGCAACAACCTGGATGTTTTCAGGATAAATAAATGTTGGGACACAGATGAGAGACTTGGCAATAAAAAGGAACCAATGACTGGCACATGCAACAACACGAGTGAATCTGAAAGGCATTATGCTAAGTTGAAAGAAGCCCGATCAAGGTTATATAATGTATGATTACATGTATATGACATTTTGGAAAATAGGGAACTATGGGACAGAAAACTGGCCAGTGGTTTCCCGGGGCTGTGTGAGTAGGGATCACTACACAGGGGTACTAGGAAAACTTTGAATGATGGAAATGGTTAATGTCTTGATTAGGGTGGACATGACTATTTTTCACACTTCATAGGACTGTATACTTGAAAGTGAATTTCACTACATGCAAATTATACCTCAATGAATCTGACCTAAAAGAATAAACAGAAGGATACCTAAAAATTAATTTGCACACTTTTTCTTTATTTTTATCCTCACCCACGGGTATGCTTTTGTTACAGAGAGAGACTGCCTAGAGATGTGCACTAGCCTGGAATTGAACCCTCAGCCTTTCAGTGTATGGATTGATGCTCTAACCCACTGAGCCACCCAGCCAGGGAAGTACATATATTTTTGATGACAGGAAATATGGAAGATTCAAGAACAGACTTTCAAGCACAAAACAATAAGATAAAATTTTATTGATATATTATAGTAGGATGGGACTACTAGGTAAAGGAGAAACAGGGATGATATAAAATGACTAGTTAAAAGTTTTGTAAATGTACTATTAAAATGGATGATAGTATTAAATTACTATACTATTTAGAATCCACTGGCTTTGAAAATATGGGTATTAACAAGCAAAGCATTTTTATAAAACATTTGATGGTTTATTACCATTAATTTTATTTCATTCAACTTTACTAAAAATGGTAAACAAACTTTACCTCTAAGCAAATCAAAGTTTTGTTCTAGTAAAACTTTTGCTGGTGTACAAAATAATATCATTTTTCTAAAATGTAGTATCCCCAGCCTAAATATAAGGAAACTACTAGAATTTCTTATGAACTTACAAATACTTATAAAGCAGTTGTACTTGACCTCTGTTCTTTCCCCTTTTCACCTTATCTCAACCATGAAAAAGAAAAATCCAGAAATTGTCCCTGAGTGTCCTGTTATCTTTCTCCAGATCCTCCTCTCCTTTGCCAGGCATCCTCACTGTCTCCTGTTCCTGCTAAAGTTACCTGAAACTCGGGTTTTTGCCCCAGTGTTTCTTTTCCTCCGTTCACATTGGTTTCAGGCCCCTCAAGCATGGAAATGTACACACTATACTCATTTATATACCAAAGCGTTTTGGAAATAAAGTGATTCAAGCCTATAGATAGGAAAAGAGAAAGCAAAATAAAAAGTATTAATAAAAAGGCATAAAGTTAACTGGGTGACCGAGGGTAGGGGCAGAGGAAGGAACTGCTTTCCAAAAATCCAATCGTTATTTAAAAGGCTCAAATACAATGCAAACTTAGGGAAAAGCTAGAAATTAGGAGCGAGGCCGGAAAATGAACTTGGCAGACAAGCCCTTGCTGTTCTTATTTTTAACATTAGGGACACCGAGCTGTTGAGTCTTCTTTCTGGGAACAGCTTGGCTATGAAACCTTCTCATGTCAATGCTCCTTGGATGCTTTCTTTTCGAGAGCGCCCTGCTGTGTGGCTCTCGCGATGGGGGGGCATGTCTACCACGTAGAGAAATCGCTTTAATTTCAGCCCAGGCGAGACTGCGCGAACTGGTTATCGTGAAATGCTTTTTGACCCGCGTGGGCCGCCGGCGCGGACTACATTTCCCTGCAGGCCCTCCTCGGCGCTACGGGTGCCGACGTGAGGTCACGCGCCGTCGGCCGCGGCGCAGTCGCCGTGCGAGCGGCGGAGACGGGCGGGCGCTTCGCGGTTTGAATGGCTGCGGGCCCGGGCCTGCAGCTCACCTGAGGACTGGCCGCCCAGGGGTGCGCCATGCCATCCGGAGGCGACCAGTCGCCGCCGCCCCCGCCACCCGCTCCGGCGGCGGCGGCGGCCGGCTCCGAGGAGGAGGAGGAGGAGGAGGACGAGGAGGAGGAAGAAGAGGAGGACGACGACGGGGAGGCGGAGGACTCGGCGCAGCCGACCCGGACGCCGACCCCTCAGACCCAGCAGCGCTTCGACGAGCTGTGCTGCCGCCTCAACATGGACGAGGCGGCGCGGGCGGAGGCCTGGGACAGCTACCGGAGCATGAGCGAGAGCTACACGCTGGAGGTGCGCCCCGGGGAGGGCGCGGCGCGGTGCTGCGGGCCAGTGGGCACGCCCGCCGCGGGAGCGGACCTGTCTGCCCCCCCTCCCCATCCCCCTCCTCATCCCCCTCCCCATGGGCCGGGCGCCCCGCGGGGACCCCCGCTGCGCGCGTTGGCCCTGGACGCCTGGCTTTTGCAAAGGTCCCAGCGGCTCCGGAGGCGGGCGCCGTCGTGCTGCCCTTCCCTTTGGGGTTCCCAACGGGGAACACCTGTTGCCCTAAGGCAGCCCCCGGGAGGGAGGCCGAGGTCGCGCCGGGGTCGTGACTGCACATTGACAGCCACCTGGGCGGCGGCGGGAGCAGGTGCGGCGGCGGAGGCCGCGCGGGGAACGGGAGGGACTTGCCCGTGTGGGCGCCGCGATTCGCCCGAGGTTGGTTTGTTGGTTTTTTTTTTTGTTTGTTTTTTTTTGGGGGGGGGGGTCCCTGGTCTCCTCCTTCCGTTCCTTTTCTGCGGCACCAGATCGCCTGGGTCCGGGCATGGCATGGCATCTGTTTGGGTCGGCGCGTGAGGTGTCAGGGGCTGGGGGAGTCCCTCCCGGCGGCAGTGGAAAGGGGCCCCCGGCCCCTTTGACGTTAGGAAGCCAGGGCTGCGACGACCTAAAACCCTTTTCGGCCACCTCTCCACCTCCCCTCCCCACCCCCACCCGGCCCTGGGCTCCTACAGCCCCTGTGGTTTAGGCTCGTGGGGGTGCCCCTGCCTGCGGGCGGAAGGGGCCTGCGGCTGAGAAAGACGCTCTTTGTAGCCAATGAGGATCGAGGCTGGCAAGCCCCGCCCCTCCGCGGGCCAATGGGAAGCGATGCGGAAGTGCGGGTTGTTTATCAGCTGTTTCCTCGCCCGCGGACCGTGCAGCCCGCAGCCGGGAAGCCACGTGACTTCCACAAGTGGTTTGACAGGTTTTGGAAAGAGGAGGAAGGCTGGTGAGGTAGGCCCGGGGCGGAAAAGCCTCGCCAGGGATTGGAGTACGCCGAGAGTATTTTTTGCAAGGTGATTTTTGAAGTTGTTTTTGCATTAGTAGGATTGTTTTTAAAATATATTTTATTGATTTTTTTTTTTTTTTACAAAGAGGAAGAGAGAGAGGGATAGAGAGTTAGAAACATCACTGAGAGTTAGAAACATCAACCAGCTGCCTCCTGCATACTCCCTATTGGGGATGTGCCCTGCAACCAAGGTACATGCCCTTGACCGGAATCGAACCTGGGACCCTTCAATCTGCAGGCCGACTCTCTATTCACTGAGCCACACCGGTTTGGGCGCACTAATAGGATTTTAATTACATTCCCCCCCCCCCCCCTGCCCTTCCCATTGTTTTGTGGACAGGAAAAAAGAAAAGCCAGTGCTAGAAAGGCTTTAGTATTGGACAGATCTAGGAAATCTTGGACAACTTAACCACTCCAAAATCAGTTTTGTGATATGTGCAATTGAGATATTTGTATCTAAGTCACAGAGCTGTTCTGGAAGTTAAATGAGGTAGGAATAGGTAGTTTCTGGCACATCCAGCACCCGCAGGGACAGTGCTGTAGAGTTGACGAAGATACTTAGATGATCTGATTGACCAGGCCATGTTTCTGTTTGCTGCCCAGTGGTTTCTGGGGTCAGGCAAAGAGCAGGGTTCTTTTGGTGCTGAGCTTATGTGCCTCCAAATAAGCTCTTATTTTACCCTTTTGAGAATCCTGTAAATTACATAGAATAAGCATTATCACCATGCAATCAGGGTCTTTAAATTCATAGAGAGGAAGTCCGGTGTTATACAAGCAAGTGACAAAATACAGATGGTTAGTAAGTTATTTTTGAAAATGAGCGATTCCTTAATTTTTTATGACTTTAGTCTCAGAGTCATAGCTCAGCATAGCCAATAGATTAGTATTTATTCATGTATTAAATATTTTTTTGACCATCTGTTCTTTGCCAGGCACTATTGTAGGTGCTGGTATTAATACAAAACTTAAACGCCCCTGGCTTGTGGAGCTTGTAGTCAGGTAAGCTACCAGGTATAAGAGAATGCAGTACTTACTACAGAATACTGGCTGCCGAGTTTTATCTTTTGATTTTTTGTATTTTCCTGTACTTCATACTTGTAGCTCATTCCATTCTCGCAGCCCTCAGATAAGAAAACTGAGCCTCTGTGATGGTTAAGTCATTTGCCCAAGGGGTTCTGCTCCCATGCTGGGCCTCCCCAGGCGCAGGTCCTGACAGAGCCAGGGGAATCTGTATTGCCTTTTATGCCCTTGAAAGCTCAAAGTGAGGGAACACAGACCCCTCCTCTCAGCGGAAGAATGCCTTTATAAGAAGAGCACATGTCCCTGGCCAGTTTCCCCAGTGGTTAGAGCGTTGGCCCATGCTCCAAAAGGGTTGTGGGTTCGATTCCCAGTCAAGGGCACGTACCTTGGTTGCAGACTCCATCTACATCGTGGTCTGGGTGGGAACCAGAGGCAGCCAATTGATGTGTCTCTCTCACGTGGATGTCCCCCCTCCATTCTCTCTAAGGAAGTCAATGGAAAAAATATCCTCAGGTGAGGATAAAAACAAAGACGAGCACACACACGAGGGCCATCACTGAAAGTACCCACAAACACATAAATATAAATAACACTTTGAGATTAAACCTAAGAATTTTTATATTGAAAAAAAAAAAAATATATATATATATATACTAGTAGCCCTGCGCATGAGTCCGTGCCCCAGTAGCTCCCTCTGCCCCCCCCCCCATAGCTTGTCGCCCTGCCCCCTCCTGCTGATCCGTGATCCTGATCCCATCATTATGCGGCCTGTCATTATGCTTCACAGCATAACGGCCATTTGCATATTGCATCTTTATTATATAGGATAACTCATTAAGTAACAATTTTCATTTGTTTCTCTAGGGAAATGATCTTCATTGGTTGGCATGTGCCTTATATGTGGCTTGCAGAAAATCTGTGCCGACTGTAAGCAAAGGGACAGCTGAAGGAAACTATGTGTCTTTAACTAGACTCCTGCGATGTTCAGAGCAGAGGTAACTACGCTTGAACTTGAAAAATAGTGTGACTAATACAGCAGGCACTTGCATGAAGAGTTTACTGTTAGGAGGTGATCTCATTCTGTCATACTGAAGAATTCTAAATAAGGATATTGAGAAACCTTCGGAAATACTCCAGATTGAAAAGTTAAATAAAATATTACATGCTGTTACACTGCAAACTACATGCACAGGACTTATATAGTAACATATACGGAATGTGTTAATGTTTCTAAGTTTCTGTTTGTTATATAAGCAGCACTATTATAATCAGTTATAAAAAGAGTCAGATAATGCTTTCAAGAAGAGGCAGAAATGCTTTTCCTATTAGTTGTGTAATTGATTTATTATACTTAATATTGTCTTGTGGGTGAATTTTTTTCTATTGCTTTTTGAAAATAAGTGGGAAAAGGATGTTTGGCATTTTGGAGGGTAAATATTCCTTGTCATAACTTATGGACCTAGCGATTTAAAAAAAATCACTATTAAAATAATTACCAAGAAATGTAATATTTAGCTGTAGTCTATTTACTGACTTTGAACTGACTCCATTCTGAGTAATATTTGGGCCTAAGAACAAGTGGCAGTGCATAAAGAGCTGAAGTCAAAGTAAAAAACAAAAAACAAACAAACCAAGCATTTCATACTCATTAGATTGGAGAAATTTGAAGTCTGATAATACCAATATTGGTCATTATATAGAGAGAAAGAGAAACTATATTACTGGTGTGCATTGCTGAGAGAATAAATTGACGGATCACTTCAGTGGGAAATTTGGCACATTTCTCTGACTCAATTCTACTTCTGGGTAGCCGGTAAAGAAATGCTTATGTACAAGAATGTGTTCATTACAGTATTTTTGGTTATAATAAAAGTTAGGAACCTCAATTTCAATTGATTGGGGAATGCAAAAATTCATGGTAGTTCATATGAAGGAATACGTCTAGCAGTTAAAATGAATGAATTAGATCTACATGTATCAACATTAACTCGGCAACAGTATTGAATGAAAAAGCAAGTTGCAAAATGCTACTTATTATATAAAATTATAATCACTCATACAAAAGATACTGCTTACTGTTTTTGGATACAAGTATATCCAAATAGTAACTCTAGTAAGTGGTGGATGGGAAAGAGTCAGACTAACTTTAGAATGATGTTTTGGGAGAGAAGAGTGGGGAATGAGATTGAGGGAGAGTCCAAATGGGAACTTTGGCTGTTTCTATAGAGCAAGCAGACGCGGCCGAATTTATTCACTATGTTAATATTTGTGATATCTGGCAGTGGATACATGAATATTCGTTGCGTTACTCTGGTTAATTATTTGTTTTTTTAATCAATTTTGCAAATAAAACCTAGGGTACTATGAGGATAAAAGTTGATTTGGAAGATCAGAGAAATCATTGAATAGGAGATTAAGCTAGTCAGAGGCAGGAGTTTTGATTTTACTGTCTAAAATTAATGTAATCCAATGAATTAATTTTGATTTCATTGCATTTGTATACTTGGGTTAATTGAGAAAATATCTTTTATTTTTAATATTAGCCTAATTGAATTTTTTAACAAGATGAAGAAATGGGAAGAGATGGCAAATCTACCCCAAGATTTCAGAGAACGGACTGAGAGACTAGAAAGAAACTTCACCGTCTCTGCTGTCATTTTTAAGAAATACGAGCCCATTTTTCAGGACATTTTTAAATATCCTCAGGAGGAGCAGCCTCGTCAACAAAGAGGAAGAAAGCAGCGGTATGCTTTTCTCTCTGCTGGCTCAGGATGTGCGTGTGTCTGTCTGCCACCGTTTTGATCCCTTGAATTTTGTCCTGCAGTTTATTTTTCTTAGTCTTAAAAAACAAATGTGACTTCATAAAGAACATTTTACTCCTATAGCTTTCTTTTAATAATAATTTCTTGCTTTTCATTGCATGTTAACCATGAACAGTTTGGCTACTTTTATATTGGAAAATGTATGAAACCCCTTTTCATACGTTTTCATAAACTTTCACTTTTCACGTAAGCAACCAAATATGCAAAAGTCAGAACACAGATATTTTCACCAAAATATTTAACTTGGGTATAGAATTTGACTGCTTGATTTTCTATTACTGACAATATTTACTATGTCATTTTCTCTATTATAATATATACCGACAATTCCTGTTATTTTACTTTTATGTCAAATTGAATACTAAATAATCCCCATGAAGGGGCTTCTCTGTGTATTTTGATATTTACGACCAATCGAGTCCAGAAGATGGATTGGGGGCATCAGTGGGGAGCAGAAACTTACAAACTCATGCTTTCTGATCATGTCTGAAAGCCTGCACACTTAACTTTGACCCAATATTTTTCACTTTTCCAGATAGATAAGCACAATTCTGAGAAAATAGTCCCCTCCTTATCCCGTTTCCCTTCCTTTAGTTTCAGTTACGGTCAACTGTGGTCTGAAAATAGTAAAATTTCTAGGAAATTTCAGAAATAAAGAATTGCTCAGTTTAAATTGTGCCATTTTGAGTGGCATGGTGAAATCACCTCTGTCCCGAGGGATGTGAGTCACCCCTGCGGCCAGTTTCCCCACCCTGCCCAGCTAGTTTCTGGTTATCACATGACTGGCTTGGGATCACCTCAACCCTATTTTATATAATAATGGCCCAAAGGACTAAGTTAATCACGCAAGCAATTCAGATATGCCTAGAGAAGCCATAAAAAATGCTTCCATTAAGTGAGAAGGTATGTATGTATGTACATGTAGGAAAAAAGCATAGCATGTGTAGGATTCTGTACTGTGACAGTTTCAAGACTCCCCCGGAGGTCTCGGAGGAACCCTGTGCCCATAAGGGGACCACTACAGCGAGGATCAAACCCCCTAAGCAGTTTGCTCTCAGGTCCTCACCTTATAGAGCCGGTATTTATTTATTTATTTATTTATTTATTTATTTATTTATTTATTTAATATATTTTATTAATTTTTTACAGAGAGGAAGAGAGAGGGATAGAGAGTTAGAAACATCAATGAGAGAGAATCATCAATCAGCTGCCTCCTGCACACCCCCTACTGGGGATGTGCCCGCAACCAAGGTACATGCCCTTGACCGGAATCGAACCGGGACCTTTCAGTCCGCAGGCCGATGCCCTATCCACTGAGCCAAACCGGTTTCGGCTAGAGCCAGTTTTTAGAGCGCCTTGCATGTTAAACTAAAAAGTCTGCCTCTTCTCTTGGCAGCCATCAAAACTGGATCGTTACTCACCTGCCTGAGGTCGGGAAGCTGCTTTTTAAGGCAGGGCGCTGGCAGTTAGTCCTTGCTGGGGCTGGTGAATCAAGTCGGCAGTGCCAGAGCGGGAGCCAAGCCTCAGACTCCCAGTGCTTCCCATCAGAGGGCTTTACTAGAAAGCGTGTACTGGGATGTGGATTCAACCGCTGTCTTATCCACACCTGAGCGGGCTTTGAGCAGGAAGGCCAAGCTCAAAACAGGTCTGAACCTCCAAGCAGACAGCTTGGCAAAAGACAACAGGTCCTCCTAATAACAGGAGTACAAGGGATGACAGGAAGCCCAGACTTTACGTTAAGAAGGCCCATTGTGACTTGACATAGCGGGGAATGTTTTTAGCCACGGAGGGTTTACATCCCATCAGCAATGGCAGCGGGAAAACATTGGGGACATAGCTGACCAAACACGTGGGTCTTAAAGCAGCGTTCGCCCTGCTGGTGCCACTGAGGGAACTGTTGGTCCTCGTTGGTTTTCTGCGCTGCCTTCTTGGCCTCCAGAAGCTTTTGTGGTTATCTAGAACCTTCTTTCTGAGCTGGGCTCTTCCCTGGCTCCCAGCTCATTCTTACCATATGGGTTAGAGTAGAACTTCTTACACGCTTTCCCTATGAAGCGAGTCTGCTCTCACAGCGTCTAACGGGGGTTTGTGTCTCACCTGAGTTAGTCATTTGTGGTGTCTCACGAATTCTTCTGTTATCATCTGATTTCTCTCTCCCCACAGGCGTCAGCCTTGCACCGTGTCTGAAATTTTCCACTTTTGTTGGGTGCTTTTTATATATGCCAAAGGTAAGAAAAGTAATAATTATTTAGATACTACTTTATTTAAATGTTTGGACACTACTTTTGTCAACCTATAATGTATACCAGGAAAAGGTTCTCGCTGAAAATGTCTTAATGGTTTTATTCACAGGTTCTTTTTTTTTTTAAGTATTGCCTTTTCATAAAAGTCTTGGATTTCTTTATAAGATCCAAAACTCCTCTTATTAAATGGAAAAGTTTAAAGTTTTAAGAACAGTGTCTTTTCTAGCCAAACCTATTCTTCTGAATTATGGACTGAAAACACATTAGTGTGTGTGTCTGCATTTTTCATCAGACAAGTCTTATTTAGTTGAGTGGGACTGAGTATCCTCAGTAGTTCAGATTGCTTTCTGCATCTTATTCAGATAAATATGCCTGACCAATACCTTTACATACAATTATTTCCTCTCCCTTTTTTCTCATTTTACTTGACCTACCCGAGGTCTGCATTCAGTAAAAAAAAAAAAAAGATTTGATTTGTTTTGTCCTGTCTGTGTTTCTCTGAAGAAATGATTCTTATTAATCTAAACCGGTTTCGGCTCTATTTCTTTAGAGGAGACAGGGGGGATACGATCACAGCAGGAAGTAAGAGGCTTAGAGCCTGCAGATGGCTGTATGCTGGCTGCAGCCCTGGCTGCCCCGTTGGCTTGCTGTGCGTATCTTACTGTGCTGCTTATCTGGTCACTTGTGGGCAGGTATGTCTGACTTCCGGGTTTTTGTTTGCTTCAGTCTTTTATGGCAGAGTGTAATTGAGAGTCAGCGTGCTATCTAAATCATTTGTAAAGAATCGTATTGCCCTTGTGTGGATTTTGGTCTCACCTGATCCACGAGGGTGGCATATGTTTTGTCTCTGCAGCTGGGTTTGATCTTCTTCATTCAGTCTGCAAGTGCTTGATCTGAACAGCCTTTGCTCCCTCACAACCAGGACTGTGGTCTTTGTGATTCTCTAGGATCTTTCCCATGAGAGCAGTGCATACCGGTTCCTGATGTCCGTATTTGGGGGAGATGTAGCCACCTTCCTCAGGCCCTTCTCTGCACCATGCGGCACCCCGGATGGTCTCCTCCTTGCTCAGTAAGCCCACTTACTGTGTGGCTGTGTTGACTTCCTGTGGTGAGCACACACCAGGGACATGCCTGGGCTCGTCTCCCGAGGGGCTGTGTGGTGGCCCTCATCTTCTCTTCCCTGTAAATAAGCCACTGCTGGAGGTTATGCAGGTTGTTTTGTTGATTGAAAGGTGAACTATCACACAGTGAGATTTACCCTCCGGAGTTGGGATTTGAAATGTGAAGCATGTCACGTCCGGACAGTCCAGGAGTTTCACTTAGATCCTAATCTTCAAGGCCAGGTCAGCAGGGCGAGAGGTCGCTGGGGGCTTCTCCTCCCGCGGCAAGTGCCGCCAGCTGCCAGTCCCGGCTCCCAGGGCGGTTGCTCTGTAGCTGGAAACCATAGAGGCTACCACTTCCTGTTTCACTTCCGAGGAACTGAGTACACTCAGTGTTAGACGTATCTAGAGCAGAGCCAAGCCAGTTAGTGTGGTTATAGCAATTTTTTACCTATTAATCATCATTTGCCTGTCTCGCAACAGAAAAATTTTTTTTTTCTTATTAATTTATTTAAGTTGATTTGTTGAATGTTTCCATCTGTACAAAATAGAATTCCTCACGTGTGATGGGGCGGTAAGTGGTAAGTTTACTTGGTGGGGAGGAGAGAAAAGGCCTGAAACAAAGCAGACTGAGTGAGCGTGTGCGTGTGTGTGTGTGTGTGTGTGTGCGCGCGCGCGTGCATACATTGTAGGCATGAAGTGGGAAACGGTTGAGGGTTAGAAATATTTCGATGTCTGCCAGATATTTAAATTGAATTCATTTGACGTTATAAGAAAGTAAAATCAACATGAAGCATATACCGTATATGCAGTGTTTAATGAAAAAAGGGATATGCTCAAAGTCACAAGTCTACAACTACTCCTTAATTTCTAAGAATAACAAAGCTGGTTACTGGCTGGAAAAATTGTTTTCAATGTCAGAGTTAAACCAGCACTGCAGAAATGACATTGTTTCAGTTTTTTCCCTTTGCTATCAAGCATCAACAGTTTGTGGGATATCGGCTCTTGATCTTAAATATCTTTCATTGTGATCCTGTCGCATTCATTTGTATGAGTTTGTGTTCATATGCAGAAAAATATTTTAACACCTACTGTTAGGAGTCTGATTATAGGTTATGGTCTTTATAAAATACATACATGAAAAAAAATTACATGAATAATTTTTTAGCTGTTCACATGTAAGTGATTCTATTGATTTTCTTGACAGAAAAATATTTTCATATAAAACAATTATTTACAGTTTGAGATCATTTATAAAGTTGTTGGTGTTCTGAGTTTTCAAAAGACAGACCAATGATTATAAAATGTTGGGCAGCTAATGGGCATTAAATAAATGCTTGTTTAATGAATACTAAGTGAACAAATGGCATTTTTAGTAAAGTTTTAATTTTCACTAAACTCTAAGAAACTCATTAAACTGTAAGTAATATTTCAGGATGTAAATTTGCCAAAACACTTTGTGTACCTCTTGATTCTGTTTCGTACAGGGTTGTGTGACGTCATTTTCACTGAAGGAAGGGATTATTTTCAGCACACTGTAAAGTTGAAGCATTTTAACACTTTCTTTATAATAAAGTTGATGCATTATAACACTCTCTTTATAATTGTACAGGCAATTTCCCCATGATTAGCGATGACTTGGTCAACTCTTACCATCTGCTGCTGTGTGCTCTGGACCTAGTCTATGGAAATGCCCTTCAGTGTTCCAACCGCAAGGAGCTTGTGAACCCCAATTTTAAAGGTAAGCTTGTCCACCGGACACTCGGACAGCCCACATGTCTCCATCGTGTGCCCTCTGGGGAGCTTGTACACAGCGCAGGTGCCCAGCCGGGGCTCCCACTGCGCAGTTTGGTTCATTACACGCCACCTGCACCTCCGCTCTGTGGCTCTGTTCCTCGCAGGCCTGTCGGAAGATTTCCACGCCAAGGACTCCAAGCCTTCCTCCGACCCGCCCTGCGTCATCGAGAAACTCTGCTCCTTGCACGACGGCCTGGTTCTGGAGGCCAAGGGGATAAAGGAGCACTTCTGGAAGCCCTACATCAGAAAGCTCTACGAGAAGAAGGTTGGTGAGCAGCCCTGGGGCCGTGTTTTCTGGGGAAGAGTTGGCTTACTAGGGCGACTGAAGGCTCTTTTCTTTCTTCGTAGCTCCTTAAGGGGAAAGAAGAAAACCTTACAGGCTTCCTGGAGCCTGGGAACTTCGGAGAGAATTTGTGAGTACTTTAGTTAGAAAACCGTCTTCATATTCATAGGTGGTGTAAAACCTCCACGTTTACTGCGGTGATCAGCTGTTACTCCAAGAACGTTCTTGAATTTATTAAAAATTGTACTGCTGCTCTTGAGAGCTTTCATAGTTCGGCTTTCGGAATTTCATAATTTTTGAAGCACATTCTTTTGGAATGTACAGGGGGCACGTGGGAGTGCTGGGACCTGGGAAGGTGCTGGGGCAGTGAGGAGAGGTAGTGAAGCTTCTTGTCGAAGCTGGACTGAGCAGGCAGAACACGCTGTGTGTGCGAGGGCCGAGCACAGAGCTGAGCTCCTCAGCTCTGCAGCCAGAGCTTGGAGGAAACAAAAATCGTTACGTGGACGAAAGCAGGAGCAGACATGCCTTCCCCCCTTCCTACAGGAAAGCCATCAGCAAGGCCTACGAGGAGCACGTGCTGACGGCCGGGAACCTGGATGAGCGGGTGTTCCTCGGGGAGGATGCCGACGAGGACCTCGGGCCGCTCTCCAGGTCCCTGAGCGCCGGGGCGGGAGCGGAGAGTGCGGAGAGGGCGCAGGTGAGGAACGTCCTGCAGCAGCAGCTGGACAAGGTGAGCGGGGCAGCCACGCGCTCAGGGTCCCGGGCCTTCAGGGTTGGTAGTCGTGTGTGTGCGTTCTGCCTGCTTCCATGGTGAAAGAGAAACCTCCCATCACGTTTACCTTAACTGAGTCATCTCCATTTTTAAAAAGGTTTTCTATTGATTTTTAGAAAGAGAGGAAGCGAGAGGGACAGAGAGATAGAAACATGATACTTTCTTGAATATTAAAAAATACTCTTAAGCTATTGAAGCCTTTAAGCATGTGTTGGAAAAATTAGAAGAGGTGCTTTGTTACCATCTGTATTCATGCTTAAAATTCTGTGACATCAGGTCATGTCTTTTTCGTGTGTATGTTCAAGAACGTTGACTCGCTCTGTGTGAAGCTGGGTCCGCTGGGGCAGCTGTGCTGGATGGAGCACAGGGACCCGGGCGAAGGCGGGCAGGAGGGTGCTGTTGTGCCCGGTGCCCCCGCACCTCGCCGTGGTAGTTAGCCTCTCTCACAAGCAGATGTGTCGTCAGGCGGGCCTTTGTGCAATCCTGGATTTCACTTGGGCCAGATTGATTTGACAATCTTGAAGTATTTACAAAAATAGCAGGAGGTGCTAGCTGTTTCTCAAATATATTCTAAATCGTCTAATGCTTGTTTTTGCCTTCAAGCTTAAGTTTTGAAGGAGGGGTCATAGGGCAATATGCCTTATCCTAAAGATTTAACTTCCAAGAGGCGAAGTTTCAGTTAGCTGAAATGCAGACTGCTTTTTGACACATCTTCAGGGGATCACGGTGGCTCTAGGGAGCCATGTTTAAATCCCAAGAATGGGGATACATGCATCACTAGACCTATTAAAAATACAAAGTCCGATTGCCTTCAGTTTCCGTTTGGGAAGTAACCGAGTCTTTCTGAGCTAAAATCGTGTTCTTTCTTCCCGTTAGTCTAAAGCGCTTAGAATCTCCACGCCGCTCACGGGGGTGAAGTACATTAAGGATAACAGCAGCCCCTGTGTGACCCCGGTCTCCGCAGCCACGCACAGCCTGAGCCGTCTGCACACCATGCTGGCGGGCCTCCGGAACGCGCCCAGCGAGAGACTGGGCCAGATCCTGAGGTCAGTGGGCGCCCTTCCTGTCTTCCAAATTCGGCTGTGGACTATTCTCCTAATTTTTTTTTTTTTTAAATTTTTCCCTACTTGTGCCTTAATGTACACATTAATAATTTTAGATCAGTTGTTTGCAGAAGACATAGCAACGTCAGATGTATGGTTAGAAGCTCCACCTTCCTCAGTGTCTTCGTCTGTCCATGCTGCTCTCACCGAGCACGTAGACTGAGTGGCTTATAAACAACAGAGACCAGTACTAGGCCCTTAAGAATAAAGCGCCAGCTGTTCCATCTTAAAATTCCAGGGAAGGGGGATCGGTGAAGACGGTAGCTGTCAAACACTTCCGAAGGGTGGGTCCTACTGGGAAGGTGGGCAGTTCCATGCGTAGCCAGTGTAAAAGCACTCTGACTTCTGTAAACTCTACAGAACACCCGTAGCCTGAAAAGGACGTTAGTCCTAAAAGTTTATGATTGGATGACATGGGCCTTATAGGGCCCATTTTATTTCAGGTGATATGACATAAGAAGGCCCTAGGTACACACATTAGTAATTCCCCACTCATAGCTGGACTCATTAAATAGTAAGCTGACTGTAAATTTCCCTTTACGTTTTTATGAAGTCTCCTTTTTTCATAAACATGATGTAATTAACACCCAACAGGCTCTGTCTGAATGGTCTCTTCCTAAGTCGTGTTTTTAAAATGGACCTGGTTAACCTGGAATTCACAAGTATTTCATGGACATACTTCAGAAGCCTGGTTGAATCTCTGTAGCTTCCAAATCTTTGTACGATCTCTGACAAGAAGGAGCCGCTTCTTTCATCTTAAATAGCATTCATGGTCTTAAATACCAGCAGGCACTAGGTAAAGCCAAAGGGCTTTGTTGTAAAAAGGTACCTGTGTGTGTCCAGAAATACAATTCTGTTTGTATACATATCCAGTAGCTATCTCTAGCAAGATTATAAAGAAACAAAAACCGGTTATAATTTTCTGAACTTGTTACACTTTTACAATCAATATGTATATTTATGATCAAAATAAAAACTTAGTTGTTACAAAAGCCCACATGGTGATACTCTGTGTGCTTCTGCATTGGACATACATAGTCTTTCTGTTATGGTAAAATAAAGAAAGAAAAAAGGAGATAATCTTGCTTTTCAGGAAAGGATGTAGAATATCAGTGATGGTGTATCTGAGTCTATGGTTGAGATTATCTTCCCCTTCAGCTGTTTTTGCGGGAGTTGGAATGGGCGATGTCTGCCCCCTAGAGGAAAGTGGAGGGCGGTTAGTTGGCCATCTATGATTACAGACATGTAGCTGGGGTCCAGTCATGGACTTCAAACAAGCACAGATTACGGCAGAGAAGGTACAACTATACACAATACTTTTTTTCTCTCTCACTGAAAATGGTAATGCCAGCACCTTTGTCAAAGAAATATGGGATCTCCTGGATTAATTTGGGGAGGGAGTGTATAGTTTGTGTTCAAAGTATTTTATATTTTCAGGTTAGTACAAATACAGAGTTGTAAACACTTTCTCTCTCGGTAACTCTGCAAGATCTTTAAATTAGATAATTTCTTTTTATTTTCTAGAACATGTTCTAGAGATCCAACCCAGGCCATTGCCAACAGATTGAAAGAAATGTATGAAATATATTCTCAGCATTCCCAGCCAGATGAGGATTTGGGTAATTGTGCTAAAGGTGAGGCTAAATATTGTCTTTACTGTTCTCATCTTCAAGTTTAACTACATGGAGTCCTTTCTTGGTAACTGAGTCAGAAACGTGAAGAAAAGATTTATGCTTTTAGATTGAAGGCTAGAATATGGATGTCGAATTTTTTGTCAGCCCGGTGATTTCTGGTGAGCTCTTCTCAGTAAGAGAAATTTCATTTTATTATTTTTTGTTAATCCGCACCCAAGGATATTTTTCCCATTGCTTTTTAGAGAGTGGAAGGGAGGCGGTGGAGAAAGACAGAAACATGGATGTGAGAGAGCGTCATTGAAGGCTGCCTCCTGCACGCCCCACACTGGAGATCAAGCCCGCACAACCTGGGCATGTGCCCTTAACCAGAATCAAACCCAAGAACCTTTTGTCCGCAGACCAATGCTCTACCCACTGAGCCAAACCAGCTGGGGCTATTCTGATACCTTTATTATGTTGACCTGCTGGTACTATTTTCACTTGGGAAACTTTAGTTTTCATTTGTAGACTGGATATTAAATAAAGAAATATTGTGATTCTTTAGAATTTTAAAAACAAGAAAAGAAGACGTAGCTGTTTTCATGCCCAGACCTGTGCTAGGTGTTTTGTTGTTTTTAATTAAAACCACATCTGAGTGGAATAGTGAACCAACTATATGCCTCCCAGCACAGAGCTGCTCTGCAGAATAAAATGTGCATCTTCATGGAATGCTGTCATAGTTATTGATAGGAAAATTTCACTTCACAGTTTTAGAAAAATTAAGTGTTAGCATGAAAAAAATTAAGGGATCTTAGGGACGATTGAAATAGCAACTGTAGGACGTGTATTGGTTTTTAAATTTTATATTGTGGGCAGGGGATGAGATGGGCCCTCATTTTTCACAATATTTATTTTCTTTGCATGTGATGGTTATGTGTTGGGTTTTTTTTTTTATTTATGCAGAAATTGCCAGCAGACACTTCCGTTTTGCAGAGATGCTTTACTATAAAGTATTAGAATCCATTATTGAGCAGGAACAAAAGAGACTGGGAGACATGGATTTATCTGTGAGTAAATATCCAATGTATTGATCAGAACAGTAAAATGTAGTACTTTCCTGTCGGCCCTAGCCACTAAAAAAACAATTTGACACCATTATTGAACAAGAGAAAGATTGGTACCTAAGGAAACTGGCTATTATGAATAATGGTTCTGAGTTCTTTTTTTAATATATTATTGATTTCAGAGAGGAAGGGAGAGGGAGAAAGAGATAGAAACATCAATGATGAGAGAGAATGACTGATTGTCTGCCTCTGCACGCCCCCTACTGGGGATAGAGCCCACAACCTGGGCATAAGTCCTTTACCAGAATGGAACCGAGGACCATTTGGTCTGCCGGCGGACACTCTTATCTACTGAGCCAAACCAGTGAGGGCTGGTTCTGAGTTCTTTGACCTTCAGTCCCTCACTCAGTGCCTTGCTGCAGCAGGCCATGCATTACAACTTACAGCTTCTGTGCGTAGTAAAAATAGTTAAGGGTTAAAACACGCAGACTTAATCTTTACTGAGCTTCTAAATAGTGTGGAGTTTTTATCAAGCCTTCTTTCTATAGCAAGAATAAATTGAGTATTGACTCAGTAGGACTTTAATAAATATTCAGCCATTTCTCTTTGGCTAAGATAATTCTTTTTTATTGGTTTTAGAGAAAGAGGAAGGGAGAGGGATAGAAAGAAATGTCAATGAGAGAAAAATCACATCAATCAGCTGCCTCCTGCACGCCCCCTACTGGAGATCAAGCCTGAAACCTGGGCTTATGTACTGGGGACGGGACCTCTTGGTTCATGGACCACACTATGTAACTTTTTAGTTTAAAAAATGTCTGATTTTAAGAACTAAATAAGCAAAAAAAAAAAAAAAAAAAAAATGTAAAAAGCAACTGTGATTACACCACCCGGAATAAGTACGTTGACCATTTAGCCAAGTAGCCTGTCCTCTTTCCAGCCATCTTTTTACGACATTGGCCTCTGACTGTGTTGCTATTGTGTAACATCTTTCCAGATCATTAGTCTTCTAAGCATCAGAGTGTATGTACATTTCAATCAGGGATGTAATTTTTTGTATTAGCTATATTTCATAATATATAAGGTTTTTGAAAGTTGCTAAACAAATTGACTTATTTTATGAAGTTAAGAAAAGTTTGTAAGAAAAGCACATCTCACTAATTCAGAGCATAAGACTTTTGTTATTTTTATTTAACTTGACCGGGTATGAAATGTTTTTTGGAGTAGACTAATGTTTCTGAATGTTAATAACTGTCTTACAGAGCATTCTGGAACAAGATGCATTCCACAGATCACTCTTGGCCTGCTGCCTCGAGGTTGTCACTTTTTCCCATAAGCCTCCTGGGAATTTTCCATTCATTACTGAAATATTTGAGGTGCCACTTTATCACTTTTACAAGGTATTTTCAAAAATCTGATACTAATGAGAAAATTACAGATTAAACCAACTTCTTGTTGTTAGCCATCTAGTTCATTTTAATATCTAAGTACATTTATTTTTAATTACATGTTTAATAATTTCTACTCTATTTGGGGAGCAGAGAAGAAATAAAGTCCTAAGACTATAAATTCTTTTACTATACAATAAAGACCTGTGCTCGCAAGTTTCATTTTATTCCTTTCATTTCATAAAGACTTTTAAAATACTTTTATAAGCTTAAGTTTAAAAAAACAAAACAGCAAACATATCACTAGCTTATCTTATATAGCAATCTTTTTTATGGAATTTAAATAATATTGAATGTGTCTTTTAGAAACACAAATCCTCTTGACATGTTCTATAGAGCACAGAAGAAGGGCATTGACTGTTGTTTCCTTCTTGATATTTATTTAGATCAAGAAGGAATTTGTTTATTTATTAGTTGAATTTATTTAATTCATTTACAGCAGTCACAATGTTTTAAATACAAAATTTAAAGAGTAATGTTTCCATCTCAATAGGTAAGACCTTCTTTCATTTAAATGTTGAAATTCAGCATTATAAAAATATTTTACATAGCTCATAAATGCAATTCAGATATTAATTATAAAGGCAGAAGGGAAGAGCAGCTGTTTCAAAACAGCGCTATTCTTTAAACTTAAAATTTTTATAAATTGTCTTTGTTGTGTCTATAAATGTGTAAAAAAAGTTTTAAATCATATATATATATATTATTAAACCAGGTGATAGAAGTCTTCATCCGAGCAGAAGACGGCCTTTGCAGAGAGGTGGTGAAACACCTCAATCAGATTGAAGAGCAGATCCTGGACCATCTGGCCTGGAAGCCAGATTCTCCACTCTGGGACAGGATCAGAGAGAATGACAGCCGTGTCCCTGCCTGTGAGGAGGTTTGTGAGAGATTGTACATCTTTCTGTAAGGAAAATACATCGGTTTCTCTTCTGCTCATCACCCTTCTTCCCAGGGAGCAGTTAAACTCTGTGTCTTCCATGTGCAGGGTGAGAGGGCAAATAGGAAACAAGAATCAGAAATAACTTGCGTGATCGCCCAGGTTTTCAGTGACAGAGGAGGAAAACGGTGTTCTACTTTGATCTCTGAAGTTTCTCTACCTTAGGATGCTTGATGCTCCAATTCTCCAAATCAGGAAGGACTGTTGATTCATATTTTATATCTGTTTACCAGGTTTTGAAATGGTTAAGCCTGCCAGTGGAAAGGACAGCTGATAGATGGGATAAGGATGAGCCAAGACAGTTTAATTTTACCCTAGATGATTACTGTATTCTTAATGATGCTTTTGAATGGTGGCATTCTGTGCGAACATTCCTTCTAGGTCATGCCAGCTCAGAACCTGGAGAGAGCAGATGACATCTGTATGGCCGGCTCCCCTTTGACCCCCAGGAGAGTGAGTGAGGTTCGCGCTGACCTTGGAGGAGTTGGCAGAGGTAAGTGTAAATACTAAGGCACAGAGATGGGGTCCAACATCTGGGGATTTGACTTCATCTACACCTGCCAGTGAAGTTCACAGGGCATCTACAGGTGTCCCCCAAAATGTGTAATAGCTGAAAATGGACTGTATTTTAATAAACACTGCCTTTACGATTATTCAGCCCGTGTAGACATTTTCTGGGGGACACACTGTATTTTACCACAATTTTTAAAAATTGAATACCAGCCCTGGCTGGTGTGGCTCAGTGGATAAAGCGTCGGCTTGCAAACTGAAGGGGCTCGGGTTTGATCCCAGTCCAGGGCACATGCCCGGGTTGCAGGCTCGATCCCCAGGAAGGGGGCATGCAGGAGGCAGTCGGTCAATGAATGTCATCATTGATGTTTCTCTCTCTCTCTCTCCCTCTCCTTTATATCAATAAAAAAAATATTTTTTTTAAAAAAGCTAAAAAAAAAAATTGAATACCAAAAACCATTGAATTACACAATTTTAAATTGGTGAAATGTTAAGAATTATCTCTCAATAGAGTTGTTTTAAAAAATTAAGCTTCATTGAATTAAAAACATGCATGTTCATTTTTTTCTAAAGGAAATTATTGAGTTTTAGTAATTTTCTATATTTGGACAAAGTTGAGGATTCCTAAAACTTGGGTAAAAAATGCTCCCAGATGGTACCATCAAGGCCCCTTATCAAGTGGTGGGCTTCTGGTAAAATCACATTTTCCATGAGCATTAGGTAGAAATTGAATATGGTTAAAAATATCGTGGAAAAATGGAATAATTCCTTGAATTGCCTCTCCCTCGTCGAGGCCCTGAAGCAGTGGAGGGCAAAGCCTGGTTTGATTTCGCAGAAGGTGGCATGAGAGACAAAAACCGTTCTGTAAATTTTGCTCAGAACAGTGTTCAGTTAAATTATGATGCCACTCCGGTAATTTCCGTTGGCTTTTAAATTAGCTTTTCGCGCTAGGAACAGCTTGGCTGGGTCCTCTCCCTCCCTGCGCTCAGTGGTGTGGTTTTTCCCCCGAGGCATCAGCTCTCCAACCACGCTGTATGACCGGTACAGCTCCCCGACCGCCAGCTCCACGCGCAGGCGGCTCTTCGTGGACAGCGACGGCCCCTCGGACAGAGGAGCGCCGGGCCGCCTGCCCCCGCAGCCCCTGGTCAGCGCTGTGCCCGTGCAGAGCGTGCCCGGGGAGGCGGTTCCCGTCACACCGGTTCCCGGCCAGACCCTGGTCCCCATGGCGACGGCCACTGTCACCGCCAACAATGGACAGACTGTGACCATTCCTGTCCAAGGTGAGGCGGGCCGGGCCGGATCCCGAGTTCTTTGTCCTCCGCGGCGGCCGCTGGGAAGTTACCTGAGATTTGGCTGGAATGACGACGAGACCGGGGGGGGGGGGGGGGGGGGGGGGGGGTGAGGAGGGGGGAGGGCTGGGAACCCTGCCTGGGAACCCTGCATTATGAGCATTTCCCTTGTGCTTTTGTCTTGGTCACACACTGCAGGCATCGCCAATGAAAACGGAGGGATCACCTTCTTCCCGGTGCAAGTGAACGTCGGGGGGCAGGCCCAGGCCGTGCCGGGCTCCATGCAGCCGCTCAGTGCCCAGGCGCTGGCTGGGAACCTGGGCGCTCAGCCGGTGCCAGGAGCCGCCTTGCAGGTCCCGGGGCCGGCGGCCCTTCCGCAGCTCTCCCCCGGCGGCCAGCAGAAGCCAGCGCCCCCCGTGCCCGGCGGCGGCAGGCCCCGGAAGACCAGCTCCTTATCGCTCTTCTTCAGGAAGGTAGCTCTGCGCGTCCTCTGCCTGGCCACGAGTTTGGGGAATGTGCTAGATAAACAGGCTTTGAAATGTTTTTTTTTGTTGTTTTTTTTTTTTTTATCTACCAGGTTTACCACTTAGCAGGGGTCCGCCTTCGGGACCTTTGTGCTAAGCTGGATATTTCCGATGAGCTAAGGAAAAAAATCTGGACCTGCTTTGAATTCTCCATAATTCAGTGTCCTGAGCTTATGATGGACAGACATCTGGACCAGTTGTTGATGTGTGCCATTTACGTGATGGCAAAAGTGAGTACTTTGGATTATAAAAGGAAAAAGATATTTCCCTACTCAGAAAAAAAAAATTTTTATCCTCACCTAAGGACTTTTTCCATTGATTTTTTTGAGAGAGGAAGGGATAGAGAGAGAGACACACACATCAATTGGTTGTCTCACATACCGAGTGGGGCTGGATATCAAACTCACAAGGTTTGGTGCGCAGGGTGGCACTCTAACCAGAGCGCCCTGGCCAGGACGTCTGTGATTATATATTCATTTCATTTTAATTTTTGAAAGATAACTGTTGGATACTGGATTCTTTAGATTTTTTTTACTTTGAGCACTTTTGATATGATGTTTGATTGCCTCTTTGCCTGCATAGTTTCTGAGTAGAAGTTGTCTATCATTTTACTGGGGTTCTATAGAAAGAGAAATGCCGTTTTTTTCCCCTCTTGTGAAATGTTACACCAGGTCTTGGTTTAGGTACCGTTTACCACCTCTGTTGTTGCCGAATTTTAAATTTTCTTTCCTAGATATTTTTTCATTTGTTTGTGTGCCAGGACCATGTCTAGATCTTATGTGCCTAATTTGAAATAATGTTCACCAGTTTCACTGTGGACAAGTGTCCGGTGCTCACAGTATGTTGCCGGAAGTATGTCGCTCTCACAGAATACTCCTGTTCTTTCCCAGGTCACCAAAGAGGACAAGTCCTTCCAGAACATCATGCGTTGCTACAGGACGCAGCCACAGGCCCGGAGCCAGGTAACTCGCCCCTCTTAGGGCTCGCGTCTTTGAGAAACACGCAACGTCAGCCAGGGCTGCTTCTGTAGCCTTTTCCCCAGACTCTCCTGTAAAGTCAAGCTCTCTTCCCTCCCAGAGGGAGCGATGTGAAATCCCAGGCGGCGTCATTTAGCTCACCACAGGAAAGAGGTAGCGGAGGAAGCTGTTTGGTTTCTGTGCCACCTTTCGGTCTGATTCAGAAACCCTGGTACATTTAACCAAGGGGACATCTCCTGAAGGTTTAAGACTCCTTTTACCTTTAATGTTGTTCATCTGTCTTAAAGAGGCAGGCGCGTGACCTCTCTGTGTGGCTTAGAAGGACTTGGCTCTATGGTGGGTCCTTTTACTGCTCTGTCGCCTTGTGGGCTGTACTTGGGATTCCAAGCGGCAGGCCCGATGTCCACCCTGGATCTGTCTCATGGACAGTAAGACCCTGGCTCCATTGATTAACTCCCCCCGAGGACTGTCATATCATAGGATGGTGAGAATTAAATAACGTGTCAAGCTCGTGTTACCTAGGCCGTATTCTATAAATTATCTTTTTTGTCCCCTTCTGCTGGTCTCCCTGCAGGTGTATAGAAGTGTTTTGATAAGAGGGAAAAGGAAAAGAAGAAACTCTGGCAGCAGTGAAAGCAGAAGCCATCAGAATTCTCCCACTGAACTGAACAAAGACAGAAGTAAGCGGGGTCTCTGTGCACACGCACAAAATACAATTCGTTTTAGGCCTAGACGATGGAAGATTACTAGATGAAATTACTTCTCAGGGAACTATGAAACTGTATTATTGGGAAAGGATTTGCTGGGACAATTCTAAATTTAGTGGCAACGCTGTTTGCCCTTTATCCCGTAGTTTTGAGACACATTGTGCAAAACACGTCTCTCCGGGGGATCAGGCAGGAATTTGCTGGCCTGCCTCTCAGGGGAGTCTGGCGTGCCGGCCGAACCCGCTGCGGAAATTCCCTCCCTAAGTGTTTGCCCCACTTAATGGGGAGACTTACAGTGGCACCTCACTGTGCCCCTTTACATTTATGGCTGGAGGGGGATGGAGGGGGGCGTTAGTACTTACTGTCTCCCTGCGCTTTGCTCCCGGTAAGGAGAATGAATGCCCATTTGCTGCCCTTATACAAGGATGGCAGGCAGCTGTTCCAGAGAGGAAATTTAGCAGGAGGAAGGCAGCCTCCGTGTAACCCTTCCCTTGCTCTGCCCGCCACAGCCAGCAGAGACTCCAGCCCCGTCATGAGGTCCAGCAGCACCCTGCCCGTGCCCCAGCCCAGCAGCGCCCCTCCCACTCCCACCCGCCCCACCGGGGCCAGCAGCGACCTGGAGGAGGAGGAGAGGGGAGACCTCATCCAGTTCTACAACAACGTCTACATCAAACAGATCCAGACGTTTGCCCTCAAGTACTCGCAGGCCAACGTGGTAGGTTTGACGGTGGCTGTTCGTGGTTTGTTCTCACTTTCGAGGGGTGAGGAGTCACTGCGGTGTGAGCAGTTCCGTCATGTAAGCTGGTTTTGTTGATAATGCTCTCGTTAAGTCACAGGGAGGAAGTCCCAACAGAAAAGCGTGACTCAGTTTACAGTGTTGTGTCTCACACAGGAGGAGCAGGCATCTGGCTTCCCTGTGGAGCACAGCCAGGCCAGGGCACGCACGGCCCCCGGCGTCCAGAACTGAGCAGCTGGGGCAGCCCTGCCGGTTGGTTAGCTTCCCCCAGGCCTCGTTTCCTCCTCTATGAAACGGGCAGGCGCCTCTCTAGTCCGTGGTCGGCAAACTGCGGCTCACAAGCCACAGGCGGCTCTTTGGCCCCTGGAGTGTGGCTCTTCCACAAAACACCACGGCCTGGGCGAGTCTGTTGGAAGAAGTGGCGTTAGAGGAAGATGAAGTTTAAAAAATGTGGCTCTCCAAAGACATGTCCATCGTTGTACTGTTGATACTTGGCTCTGCGGACTGATGAGTTTGCCGACCACTGACCCTAGCTGCTGAGGTCGGTGTGGGGATTGAATGACATAATGCACTACATGTGCTTAAAACAGGGACCGGCACAAGCAAGCCCTTCCGAGTTTGCTGTTTGTATGGCTTTCTTTAGGTTTATTAGTTGGTGTCATTCCTCAAGCTAATGTTGTATTGTCTTTTCACTCTTATAACAAAAATAACCCCTTTCAGAAGAGACCTGGTTAGAAGTTTTGCTTGGCTTAGAAATGCTTTTTTTTTTCCTTTTCTTTTTTAACAGACGGACGCCCCTCCGCTGTCCCCCTACCCGTTTGTCAGAGCTGGCTCCCCTCGCCGCGTGCAGCTGTCCCAGAACCACCCCATCTACATTTCCCCGCACAAGCACGAAATCGTGCTTTCTCCCCGAGAAAAGATTTTCTACTACTTCAGCAACAGTCCCTCCAAGGTGAGCCCGGCCTCTCTCGGCTCCTTTTGCTCACCACAGGCTTCTAGAACGATGGATGGAGCTTCCAGGGAAAAGGGAACAGTTAGGTCCCAGGAGAACAAAAACCAGGGGTTTGCGGGGAGAATTTCACAGTTGGAAATCCCATTAAGGGACTTGGCTTTTTCTTCATTCTTTGCTTTTCCTATTTGTGCATTTTTAACATTCTACTGTAAATCTGGGATTTTGTGTGTTTTTTATTCCATCTGTAAAAATTTTTAAATTCCCAGTTTTTTTAGGGAAAGAAAATGGGTTTCTCTAAACTGATGGCCGGAGTACCTGTTTCTGTGACGGTGTCTCTGTCCCCCGTGCTGTCTCTGACGAGGGGAGAACGGACGTGCTGCACAGTGCAGTGTGCTGGCCACTTAGCCTGGCTCTGGGAGCCGCATCGGCCTCCGTCTGGGGCGGGGCCGGAGCCGGGGCGGGAAGCTGGTGTCAGGCCTCGTGGTGAAAGTCAGCAGGCTGCCGAGGGTGCAAGGCAAGGTGCTCAGGAAGTCTCAATAAATTGTAAAGGATTCCGATAATGCATTTTCTCTGGGAAATCCCCAAATTTTTGGAAACTAAATTGTGTATTTCTGAATCAACATATCAAAATTTGCGAAATGCAGCGAAGAGGAAAAACTATAATTCTAAATACCTATCTAGAGAGGAAATGGTTTCAAGTTAGTGACTAAGCAACTTGAGAAAGAGAAGGAATCAATGAAATAAACAAATGAAAGTAGAGAAAATGAAGCCCATTAAGTTTTGGTTTGGTTTGTGTGTTTTTTTTTGTTTGTTTGTTTTTTTTGAAAAGAAAAAAGATACATCTTTGAATAGTCTAAGCAGGAAGGATAAAAACCAACTTTGTGCCAGTAACTGTGATGACAAACTTCCAGTATACTAAAAGAGAAGTAGTTTTACTAGCCCTGTCCAGTACTCATTTATGGTAGGTACAACTCTCAGGGGCTTTCCTCAACCAGATGAAGAAAATATATATATAAAGTTACAGTTATGAGGATGCAGTTGATGCTTATTATTTATAGTATTATTTTCCACATAACCAACTGTAAACCTCTTGTCCCCACCCTGTCTATGGCCAACTAATTTCCAACAAAGATGCAAAAGCCACTCAGTGGAGAAAGGAGAGCCTTTTCACCGGTTGGTGCTGAAACAGTTGAATACCTACATATAAAAATAAAGTTGCACCCAGACCCTGTACCATATATAAAACATTAACTCAAAATGAACCACAGACCTACACTCTGAACCTTAAACCATAGAAGCAGATCTTTGTGAACATGGGTTTAGATACAGCATCAACAGCACAATCTATAAAGGAGTGACACAGTAGATGATCAGAATGAAGATAGAAAAGCCACAGACTGGAAGAAAATCTCACAGATCTCATAGCTGGTGATAAAGGATTTGTATCTACAGTACATAAAGGATTATCCAAACTCAAAAGGAAAACCAAATTTAAAAATGGGCAAAAGATTTTAATGCTTCATCTGTTATCTGCCTATGAAAATGGCTAAAGTCTTAGACAATGACAACAAATGCTGGCCGTGCCGTGAAGCGATGGAAGCTTATATTGCTGGTCAGACTACAGAATGGTGTAGCAGAACCGTTATACCTGAAACGAAGAATTAAATATACCTTTACCGTATGACCAGTGATCTCACTCCTAGGTATTACCCAAGTGGAGTGAAAACTTAGGTTCATGCCAGAACATGCTCGTGAACGTTATGACTAGGTTCCTATTTGCCAGAAAGGAGAAAACCCAGTGTCCGCCAGCTGGTTAATGGATAAACAAGCCTGGGTAGGCCAGCAGAGGACTACTTTGAGATAAAAAGCACTGATACGCTTAGCAACGAATATGAACCCCAAGGGCGTGAATGCTTAAGTGCAAGGCACTAGACTGATCCGGCCACTTCCTGTGTGAGGCCACTGGAGAAACACAAACGCAGGGACAGTGACCAGGAGGGACTGCCTTGGGGCGGGGGAGCTGGGACAGCGAGGGGATTTCCTGCAGTGAAGGAACTGCTTTATATCTTTACCGTGGTGATCTCATGCCTATGTATTTGTCAAACGTGTAGAACTGTACACTTACCAGGGTGCATTGTAGGTTAGGCACCCAGCGTTGTGACTTGCAATCCTGCTTGTACATGATCACCACCTGGGGAGGTGTCCCAGTGTTAGACTGCTGGCTGGAGAGATACTTGTCACTGGGGGTAGATCTGGTCTCCAGCACCGGGCAGGGCTTTCTCAGGAGACGTTCCTTGCAGAGAATTTGCCCGACTTTTCTCAGTCTTCCAAGGGTAGATAATAAATAACTATGACATTCCAGATCATACCAAAATAGAGTAATTAAGGTTTACAGAGTAATTAAGGGCATTGAGACTTACTTCTCTTGTGAAATTCCAGTTGAAAATGGCTGCTGGACTAAAAAAAAAAAAAAAAAAAAAAAAAAAATCGGCACAATATTGTGCAAAATGGTGCTATTTTTAAAGAAGGATGGGGATGTATGGAGTTGAAGTAAGGCATTAGCAACGTCCTGATCTGTAACTTCTGTGGAAAGCTCTCAGATTTGTCAGCTTACATTTCTCCTTTCCACCTGGAGCATGTAAAACCCTCCTCCTCCACCCGTCATCAGCTCAGCCAGCCGAGAGGTGACATGGGGAGGCTGGGTATCTCAGTAGTTCTTTCCTCCACGGATGTGTTCTAACTCTTCAAAGTAAACCACTTATTTGAGGTTCTTTGCCTTAGCAACGCATCATGTGTATCCGGGTTTTCAAGTTGTTATAATATATCTGTTTTCCCTCGCTCTAGAGACTAAGAGAAATTAACAGTATGATACGGACAGGAGAGACGCCAACCAAAAAGAGAGGGATTCTTTTGGAAGATGGAAGTGAATCGCCTGCCAAAAGGATTTGCCCAGAAAACCACACCGCCTTATTACGCCGTCTGCAAGATGTAGCTAATGACCGAGGTTCCCACTGAGGTTAGTCTGTTGTGTTGAAACTCTTTTCACCAACCGGTTAACAGCATCCTTTAATGCATGCTAGATTGCGGGGCTCTTTTCCTTAATCTTTCCAATATCCTTATTTTTACTCTTCCCATCTGCCTTTTTTCCTACCACCCAGTGCTTGCTGTCAAGGCTGCTTAGAATCCGGTTTGGGATTTGTTAACTCTGGCAAAGCTTTTCCAGGTATTGTAGAGAACAAAGCATGCCGAAATGTGCGCAGAGGGCTGTTTCAGTCCCTTCCCACCTGTTTGTGGTCTCTGGCGCTCATGAAAAGCAGCAGAGAAACTAGGTACTCTGACCTAAAACACCTGGTAGTTGTTGGGAGAACTTTGCATTTTAGAAACACAAGGGGGAGGGCCCAGATTCAGATGGCCCGCGTCTCCCGGTCCCTGTGTGTAGCCTTCCCTCCCGTAGGCGTGGCGCAGTGTGGCAGGTGCTTGCGTGTTTGGTGTGTGGTGTGTGTGAGTTGTGTAAGAAGCGGCACTTTGGGCTGTAAAAAGCATGATTTCTTAACCTAGGTTTTGCTGTATATTGTGATGGCACTTTCTACAATGTGAACTTTATTACGTACAAAACTGCTAGGCTAAACACTCGACATCTCTTTGATGCTTTTGTACATGTTTAGAACTGTTAAAGCCCCAGCAGCCACCTCTGGGGCACATATTTTAAATTTATCGGGTTCCTCCCCTCCCCCCCCTCACCCCTCCATTATTAGGGATCAGCTGGCTAAGTGAAGATTTTTAAATCAAGTTGAATTAAGGGAATTAATATGAAAAATTATGGCCTCTTCCTTTGGAGGTAGTTATCCAAAAGACGTGTCTACTAAGGTGATGCGTTTTAAAATATCTTTGGGTATGTTCCTGGCAGTTTAAAAAAAAGAAGGAGCTTAGGTTTTCATTGAGTACATAGTACCAGTCACACAAATTAGAAAAGGTTATTTAACAGCTATTGAAGTATCTATATATAACTTTATTAATCAGTATTGTTCCATCAGTTTTTAAGTCGAATGAATAATATTAGGTTGAAAATTCAATTGTAAATTGAATCAATATAAACAAAGTTACTAGGTAACTTCATATTGCTCTGGAAGAAATATGGAACTTATTACACTGTTCAGTTAGAAGAGTGTTTTGCAAAAATATTTATAAAGCCTCTCCAGGTACTTACTGCTATTGTAATTTTATATGAAAATAAGTGTATTTTTCAATAAAGCGTTTATAAATTAATCTTTGTTCAGTTATACTGAGAAAAGGGTATTTAGTTTCCTGCATAAATGACAAAGAACCATCATTTATTGGTTTATTTTGTCTCTACAAAACACATTAGTCATTCATCACTTAAATATTTGACTTCATTAGAAACCGTTCTAACACTTTTTCTCCCTCCTCCATAAAAATACAGTAAGTAATTTGCTTTAAAAAAAAAAAAACAAACACAAAACTATGAACCAGTGTTCCGGCCGCCTCACGCCCCTACCGTGCACCTGGTAGCGATTCGTAAATCAGTAAGACAGTAGGCTGAGGGCTGAGTCGCGTGGCCTCGCGCGGAAAGTGCTAGAACGCTAAGGAACCTGCTTTCTCTACACCTTTCCTCTCCACCTCCTAACATGTGTACAGCTGAGACACCGATTTAAAAATCATTCCGTAGTACTAAACTCTGTCTACTCTATTCGCTTCCAAAGAATGCCACTTACCTTTAGCATCATATTCAGAAAAATACTTAAGCCTCAAGGTCCCCAATAATCTGGAGTACTGAACTAGATAACCACCCTACAGACACTTCTGACAGAAGTAATAACGCGTTACTGAGAGAGAGGTTTCCAGGACCTGCCGTTAGAGCCTGCGCGCACACGGACACCGTGACGCCGTCCCAGTTCGCACAGTTTACTCGCAGCGGGTCCTGGCCGCTGGGCAGCCCGGGCGCGGCCTGCGTCCACAGCAAAGTGCCCGGTGCACAGTCCCCACAGTCCCGGCTCTAGGTGGTTCCCGTTTTCTCTTCTTTACTGAAGGGCTGTACGGAGCCAGGCTTCACCCAGGACAGGCCGGCCACGTGAACGCTTTTACTGTGCTGTTCCTCAGGCTTCTTCTAGGCACAACCAGAAACAGACATCAGAGTGACTGGGGAGACGTCAGCACTGGACAAACCGTCTCCCCACAGGTGTCTGTGCAGGAGGAGGGGAGAAAGGGGCAGCAGGGCAGCGGTCTGGGAAACGGTCAGCTTACTTTCTGAGTCAGCATCTTCTCTCTGGCTTCGTCGTGTATAGAAGGATTCCACGGAGAAAAGCTGAAAGGAGAGAAAAAAATTTAAAGACTGCTTGGCTCACTAAATTTGCAGAACATCCATCTTTTAAAACTTAAGCCAGTTGTCATAACAAATCCTGAGGACTTAAAGTCTAATCAGTGGACAACGTGTATGTTTTAGACATTATCTAAATTATTTTCTCACATGACGACCATGCTTTGCAGAGTATTTTCCTCGGGTTAGCTCATTTAAGCCTGGAAACGACCCCTAAGGTCCTGTTATTTACAGATGAAGAAAGTGAGGCATAGGAAAAGGAGTGATTGTGCCAGTCACAAAGCCAACCACTCTGTCTGCAAAGCCCACACCCGTACCCACTGCTCTACACCGCCTCCCAGCACCAGTGTGCTAAGCCCCCATCCCTCAGATCTGTGCTCCCGCCACTTGGCCTCAAGGTCAAGTGTCACAGCACCAGAACCCGCTGTCCCACACTCTCCCCTCGGCAGCTTCCCTCCCTCACAGATGGGAATGTGGACGGGCTGTGGCTGTTGGAGAGGGGCTTCCGCTGACACTGACACTGACGAGGGCCTGTCACAGGGTCCCCAGAGACCAGAGTCACTCAGTGGCTCACCACGGCCCAGTGTACCTGCTGAGGAGAAGCTGTCTGTCTAAGGAGCTGCAGGGGGTCCGCTATTTGTTCCGAGCAGTAAGGGCTGTAGCTAGCAGGCAATGCTTTCCTCTCACTCCCCGTGTTACTGTAAGTCCCCTGGGCCGGGGCATAGGGGTCCTCACCTAATGGCATAGGGGTCCTCGATCTTCGGCTGGTCAAACAGGTGGGCTGTGCACAGCTTCACACTGTCCACCACCTTGCTCTTGAAAAGATGGACGTCTTTCTCGTACCTGTGGAGAGTGTCAGGCGGACCGTTACCCACGTCCTCCCCCGGGCCGCCCCCCCAGCCCGACAGGGACGAGCAGGGACCTACAGGACGGCGGCCTCCGGGTGCAGGGGGCTGGCCGTGTCGATCTTGTAGAACACCCGCCGCGCGTACATCAGCACCTGCCAGATGTGGTTGTGGTTCCGCCTGCGGGAGACAGGGCGTGAGGGGGCGTCCCGCTGCCCCCGTCCCTGCAGGACGCACTCAGCTACTCACCTCCACTTCGCAAACGCCCTCTTCACGTCCAGCTCGCCCGAGGAGGGGTCCACTAGCGGGTGGAAGACGGGGATGTCAAACACCAAGCGCTGAGTGGAGAGAGACGTGGCTTTCAGCGGGAGCGAGGGAGGCGGGGTGCCCACGGACAGTGGCAGAGAGTGACCAGACAAGGCAGTCCTGCCCGGAGCTGCGCCTGAGCGAACCTCACTCCTTTCCCTCTGCCAGCACCATTACCCCGAGTGCTGAGCCAGCCTCGGCCACGGCTGCGCAAGCACAGGCACAGCTCCCGGTGGAGGCGGACATGGCAAAGGGCACAGCGAGGCCAGGCCCTCCCCCCACAGACAGAAGCGCAGACGGACAGCCGGGAAACCGTCATAAAAGCGGCCGAGGCTCCTCCCCGCCCTGCGGGCTCCTCCCTGGCCGCACGGAGCTCCGCTTACCGGGCAGTCGCCGTCCGGGTAGTTATCGGGGATGTACACCGTGAACTTAAACACTCCGTCCTGGTAAAGCCCGTGCCGGATGAAGATCACGCCGAACCACACTGCGGGAGAGCAGGCACGGTGAGGCCTGGCGGCGGGGGCACCGAGCGTGCCGCGGCCGCAGAAAGGCGCTTACCTAAGGCTGAGCGGTACGACGGCTGCACGTAGACCCCCGGCAGCTTCTGCTTCACCAGCAAGGTGCTGCGACAGAGCAGAGCGTGGCTGGACGGAGGCCGGTGACGGACACACCGCCCACCGTCCCGCCCTTCGGAGAAACGGTCCCTCCAGGCCCGCCAGCCCAGCCCCTCACCGGGCCCCGGGGCCGCCCTCCACTGGCCTCCCCCCACAGAGCCAGATGAAGATGCGAGCCAAACACAGGGACACAAAGAATCAAGTTTTCCTCCCAGAAACCCACTTCCAGACAGCATCCCAGAGATGTGCTGGGGGTAACGGAACAATGCAACCTCTGGACCTCACGCTGGCGTAGATGAGAGGACTGGCCAGGGTGCTGCTGCTGTGGCTGCACAAGAGAGCTCACCGCACACGTTCCACAGCCACCTAGACCCAGTGCTAGGTAATCTTATATAATAAAAGGCTACTGAGCAAATAGACCGAACAGCCGGTCACTAAGATGCACAGTGACCACTAGGGGCAGACGCTCAACACAGGAGCTGGGTTCACCATTGGTGAGCACAGTGGCAGTGGCAGGAGCCTCCTGCTTCCATGGCAATGCTAATGACCTCTTGGGGGCTGTCCGCCTGCCAGCTTAGGCCTGCTCTTCAAGGAACGGGTCTAAGCCAGCAGGCAGGCATCCCCCGAGGGCTCCTGGACTGCGAGAGGGCGCTAACTGGGCTGAGGGCCCCACCACCACCACACCACAGTGCATGAAGGTCGTGCACCAGGCCTCTAGTTAAGAATGAAGTCCCATGCACGGGCTTCACAGAGGTGTCGCTTTCAGTGTGGCCCTGCTCCCTGGGCAGAAGGCCATGGTTAGGTTTGTCCGCGATGTGCTTCTGCTCGGAACTGACCCTGCAGCGCCGACATGCCCTCTGGCCCGGGGTGGGAAGCGGTGGGTGCCCAGACGGCAGACACAGGCTGCTCGGGCTCTTTGGGACCTTGTCCCACCCCAGCCATGCCGCGCCGATCTTCGTAACTGAGCCATGAGCCCAAACACATCGCTGTGAGCTCTGAGGGTGAAGCAGACGGGGCCTCAGGTGGTAGTTTTATTGCCCAGGTGCCTAACTTTAAAGCAGTCACTCCTTCTGGCCACCAACCCTGGGCGTGTCCACAGCCGCGTGGCTGGCACAGCAGCGTGGCTGACAGACCAGCTCCTGCAGTGCTGTGTGCCAGAGGGCTCTGTGTTCTGTGCAGACAGAGGGCTCGGTGCCACAATGGATGCCTGTCCAACGCACTGCCCTGCCTCCTGCACAAGGCCCCTTCCACAGCCCGGGCCCTGCCTCCGTACCACTCTCGCCCTCAGACGGCCGCTCAGCCCTCCGCCTGACAACACCGGTGCCTTTAAATAACTGCGTGGGCAAAGCAATTTTATTCTGTTTTTTTGTTTTGTTTTTATGCCACCGATCCATAACTCAGTGTGTCCGGGCACACTGGGCTAAAAGACTCAGGGTTCTGCTTTACTACTGCACTTCTCCGCCTCGTGACCCCACTCAGCGCGTGCCTGCAGCACAGGGCGAGGACACAGCTCAGTAAATAATTGAAATTAAGAATTCTCCGCACTTCCTGCCCTTGGGACAGGTTATTTAATCAAATGCCACCTGCTCTCGGTCACTGTGGGAGCCCGAGGTAGGCCAGGCGCTGCCATCCTCCTCACACCGCGCACATGTGCGGCCGCAGTCCCACCTGATCTCACTGACCACCCGCCTCGTCCTGCGCAGAGCCACGTCTTTATGGCGTCCTGGTCACCTCCTCCGGCTCCGGAGGTCATATGGAGTGAGCCATGTCCCCTTTCTAGCGACGGGCCTTCACATGTGTGCAGTCATGCACTTAAATCTCCTCCAGGTCCTTCAACTCCTGCCTCCCGGGCCTGGCTCCCCTCCTCCCCACTGGGACCAGCTCCTCAGGGTCAGTGCTCTCACAAGGGGACCCCCACCGCGCAGCACAAAGGCTCAGCGGGGCCTGCCCGGGGCAGGCAAGATGGCCACCTCCCACTGGCCCGTCTCTAGGACCTGCAGGAGGCGGGTTCCTCCCGCACAGGAAGGGAGACCAAAATCAAGCCCCTGACCTACCACAGGTCCTCCTGTCTTCCTCCCTGTTCCACTCCCCAAAACAGGCATGGAAATCAACGCACACATCTGCCTTCCAATCCTACTTGCCCAGGATCTGCATGAGTCATTACATCTATGACAGCGTATGACATTCCTCAGGCCGTGGCTAAGAAAGCTTGTCCTGCCTACCACAGCCTCCCTCTCCATAGCCATCAGGCTGACCCTGCAGAGGTAGGAGTCTGAGCTTGAAGGTTAGATGGCGGCCAGTAAGTGAGCCCAGTCCGTTAAGAGGATTCCACTCTCTGCCTTCCAGAGTCATTCAGAAGGCAGCCAGCTGGGCTAGGGACTCACAATTCCGCCAGCAGGGAGTACTCCAGGTAGAAGGGCCCGTAGGATGCGTGCGTGCCATTCGTTGACGGAGCTGCTGGGGCGGGGGACGTGGGCTTCGTGATGGGCAGCGCGTTCTTGGGGATGGACGGCAGCTGCTTCTTGGGAGCCGTGCGCGGGGGGCTGGCCTTCCCGTCCCCAGTCGCCGTCTTCTCTTCCCCGTCAGACCGCTGTTCGAGACGCAGTGGGGAGAACATGTTAGGATGGTTCTTTTTTAATATATATTTCCTTATTGATTTCAGAGAGGAAGGGAGGAGATAGAAACACCAATGTTGAGAGAGAATCATTGACAGGCTGCCTCCGGCACATCCCCTACTGGGGATCGAACCCACAACCCAGGCATGTGCCCTCGGCCGGAATCAAACCCGGGACCCTTCAGTCCGCAGACTGACACTCTAGCCACTGAGCCAAGCCAGCCAGGGCTGTTGGGATGGTTCTTCCCACACAGCGTGTGTGCTGTCCTTAGCCCCGGCCTGAAAGCTGGAATCACTCTTAAGCGGACATCCTGGCACCGTGGCCGACATGACGCGAAAGGCCTTTGTGCGGGCAGTATCCAGAGCAGAACAGAGCGAAAACTCCCGTGAGCTGCATCCTATGGAGCCCAGAAAGCCAAATATTCACGAAACTTAAGTGAAACAAAGGAAAAAATGGTTTCTCCGGGCCCCCAAAGAGGGCACAGGGTGAGGAAACAATGAGGTGGCTGTGCAAGACCCAGGCCCGAGCAGCTCACACGCCAGCGCTGAGTGAGTCTCCGCCCGGCATGAGCCTGGGTTGGGAACAGGAAGGAAGCATTTCTCACTGGCAGTGGGTCCGACTGAGACCCTGTTCCTGGTGCAAACGTGGCCATATTTGGACGCTCCCCCGCCTAAGCCATCACCCCCAGGAGAGAGAGAGACGAGGGGAGTCCAGTCACACCGCCTCTGGCCGCTAAATTACTGCCTTCAGATACACGCCCCGCGCCAGAGAACAGATGGGCGGCAGTGCTCTCCGAGTGGGATTACGCTTTTGCCTGCGTACCTTCGGCTTTCCTAAGATGTATTCTTTTTGCCACTGAAAAGAGACATTTTATTTAGAAAAATTAAACCAGTGGCCTTGAGTTGGACTTGGCCACCCGGGGCCGGCCTCTCCCAGGGCACCTCAGCTCAGGCGTGAGCGGCAGTCCTCGGTTAGCATCGCCGATCCACAGCTCTGGGTGCTCCCCGTCATTTCTATTTGAGATGCGACCTCCGTCCCGGAAGCTAACTTTAACCCACAGAGACCTGCTTCTCTAAAGGACAGCCTGGACTGGAAAACCAGACGGTGGCCTGGTGAAGGTTACTGGGCCGCCTCTGTCCTTATGCAAATGGTGTCCTGCCCACATCCGTCACCGGGACCTACTTTGCGTCCGGAGCTTGCAGACATGCTCCAGAAAGGGTTCATAACGTGTGCTCCCCACGAAGAAGCGCAGCCGCCTGCGTCATCCAACTGCTGTCCCCGGCGTCACTGCACCTGCAGAGGGGAGGACAGCCAACACCAACAGTTAAGCCTTTGGAAATAAGAATTAACTGTGCCCCCCTCCATAGGAATACAGCACAGCATTATATAACACGTAGTTATAAAACCCAGGGGCAAAACGCTTTCAGAACTAGCTTCCTTTAATACCCCCTCTGTCTTTTGGCTCCAATATCTCCCCCACCTTTAAATGCCCCCAGGAACCTGGATTGGCCGGGATTCCGAATCCTCGGTGTCACAGCTCAGCTCTGGTGCCAGAAAGCAGGAGCCCTGGGCTACAGCCGTCGCTGCCAGCACAGAATGCTCTGTACCCACATGACTCAAAGCCTACCGTTCTCCTCGGCGTTATGGGAAATTAAGGTCCAAAGGGCCAATTTAAGTGTGTCCCCAATGAGCAGTCTGCAGCACAAAATGATTCTCTAGCAAAAGTAGCAGCCAGAGCCAAGATCGGTTTGGCTCAATGGATAGAGCGTCGGCTTGGGGACGGAAAGGTCCCGGGTTCGATTCCGGTCAAGGGCATGTACCTTGGTTGCGGGCATATCCCCAGTAGGGGGTGTACAAGAGGCAGCTGATCGATGACTCTCTCTCATCGATGTTTCTAACTCTCTCCCTTCCTCTCTGTACAAAATCAATAAAATATATTTTTTTAAAGTAGCAGCCAGAGAATGAAAAACAGGAGGGCGAGCGTGTGGGAGACAGGGCAGACGGGGTCTTGTGAGGACCGTCCCCAAGAAATGACCTTTTTCAAGTGCCTGAAGGATGGAGACGGCAGGACCAGGCATCCAAGGGTACAGGTGCAGCAGAGGCGGGCAGAGGGCTTTCCCCGGAGCTGTAGGCAGTGGGCGAGAGCATGTCTCTAAGGCCACAGAGCCAGGGGTCACTGACTGAAAATACACCAGCAAGCCAAGCTGAGAGAGTACTGTCTGTGGGGTCCTCCCCCAACCCCCGCCCCTCGGCCCCAGGGCCCTTCTCTGGCAGCAAGCAGAAGGCTGCAGGTGGAAAGGGCCAAGCAGAGCAGCGTTTTACTGAACTCTTGGGAAGCAAATCATGAGAGAATCAGGTACCAAATGTCCCTAGATTCAGCCAAAAAAAAAAGTGTTTTCTGCAAGCCTGTGACACCCACGGAGGTGCCCTGCCTATGCCAGTTAATGAGGCTTGCTTTCCATGACACCGTGCCACCCAGTAATTAAGTCAAAGGAATGAGGACGCTGGTTCTTCCACCAACCTGTTGACTTACACTGAGTGGTCAGATTATAATCACCTCTGACCGCATAATAACCTGGCCACTCAGCGTATATCCTGTAATAATAAAAGGCTAATATGCAAATAATTGTCCCCTCGACCAGAAGTTCGACCAGCAGGCCGGCCAACCGCCCATGTCCCCTCCCCCTGGCCAGGCTGGCCGGACCCCACCCATGCACCAATTCATGCACCGGGCCTCATATATATATATATATATATATATATATATATATATATATATATATATATATATATATATATATATATCTCCATCCCGCACGGCCAGATTATTATGCGTTCAGAGATCATCATAATATGGCAATCCGTGTATATCCAGTAAATAGCGACTTATTGCCAAGAACCGCGAACCTGCCATTGAAGATGACTAAGATGAAAATCGTTGGGAGATAAAAAAAAAAAAAAAAAAAGTGGAGGCACAGAATGGGAGCAGCACCCACTGATCTAAGCAGGCCTGACTGAAGAGGGGACCCCCCCTTGGGACACAGCAATCACAACCGGGTGGATCCACCCAGCTCGGTCCCCGCCAAGTCCAGCCCCGTGACCTTGCCTGGAAGAATCAAGCCAAACGGTCTCCCAGCTCCTCCCAACAACCACCTGGGAACGGCCCTGTCACCCACCGGAAGCCCATCTTTGGGGAATAAGGGCACCGGCCATGGGTGTCCAGTCTACCCGCAGCCCAGAGCGCGCTCCTCCAACCGGACGGCAGCACAGCGGGGCGGCGGCGGGGCCCTAAGGCGCGCTGGTCATTAGGGAACAATCCGGCAGGTCTGCCCGCCCCGCCACACACACCCTCCCGGGACCCGCCCCAACCAAGCCAACACGGCCTGTGCCAGCATCCCCTCCTCCCGGACGCCGGGTCCCCGCGTGGGCACCGCGCTGGCAGGTCTCCACGGGCGGCCCCGGGCCCGCGGTGCTCGCCGGGCGCGGGCCCAGGCACCGGGCACGCACCGGGCGGAAACGCACCTCCTCGCGGAGAATCCGGACAAACCGGTCTCGCCCCGATGGGCAGGGCCGTGTCCGGCCTCAGCTCCCACCTCTGCAGGCGCCAGGCCGAGGGTCTCCGCGGCGGGGGCCGCCCTGCCCGCCCCGCGCCTCCACCCCACTCCGGGGGCACGGGCACGGGCACAGGCCCGGGCGTGGGAGCGGGCCGGGCAGGGCGGGACGCGGGGGCGGGCCGGCGGCCGGTACCTTCTCCCTGCCCAGCCCGGCCCGCTCCCCCTCCCTCCCGGGCCAGCCCGGAGCCCTCCGGCCCCGCGGCAGGTGCCCGCGGACACGGGCAGGTGCCCGCCCCGCCCCCACGGCGGCGGAGCCCGGAGCGCCCCGCGGGCAGGACGCCCGGCGCTAAGGACGCAGCCACCGCAACCCTCACACCCAGGGGCGCCTCACCTCAGAGCCTCCGGCGGGCGCGGGGCTCCCGGCCGCGGCTAAGCGCCCTCGCGTCCCCGCAGCATCTCCGGCGGCCGCGACAGCCCGGGCCCTGCCCGCTCCCTGCCCGCCCCGCCCCGCCCTGCTCTGCGCGTCAGGCTCCGCCCTGCCTTAGCCCCGCCTCCCGGAGCCGCCGCCCGGCCTCCTGGCACCCCACTGGCCGCCAGACCTGTCTGTCAAACACGCTCTTCCGGGGGGCGCTAGGGGCGTTGGGGGGGACTCCGCTCCGTCCAGCCAATCAAATCGACTCCGCTCCGCAGAGCAACGCCTGGCGTCCTGAAGGACTGGCCATGCCCCGGAAGTGTAGGTCAGGGAGATGTAGTGGCGCCGCTACATAATTGGCTGCCGCGTCAGCCAGTCACCACAGAACCCCGCCCACTTGTTTATGCGTAAGCTCCAAGCCATTCACAAAGCAGGGCTGCGGGCTTCCCGGCTGGGGCGGGGCGGGGCGCGGCGGGGCGCGGCGGGGCGGGGCGGGGCGGGGCGGGGCGGGGCTGGAGCCTCCCGGCCGTGGGCGCTGGCCAGCCTGTCCACCCGGCTCCACTCCACCTGCCGGTCAGCCAGGCCCTGGCCGCCACGTTGGCCGGGCAGCGGGGGTCTATCGGGTGGGGAGCCCGGGAAGAAGCCTTATGGAAAAGAGAGGGACGCCAGTTCTCTGTGCCAGAGCGGAAGGAGGAAGCTCCCGGACACTGCCGTTGAGGGTTGGCTGCGAGGAGTTTTGGGAATTTTACGTGGGTCCTATGCGCAGTGGGTCCTGATGGCCCCGTGGGCTCACATGGAAAAGCGGAGCATAGCAGCCGTCACTAAGCGGGGCCCTCAGCAAACTGCACTGAACAAGCCTGCATGGAACTGCACTGTTCTGCATCTAGGCCAACCCTATAAAGGAATTCGTGGAATCCTATGTCAACCAATAAGACTGATACTTTCCCTGTCAAATCCACTGCAGATTACAGTGACTCGTTCTGACCAATGAGGACAGTGTTTTTGAGGCCAATCAAACTGCAAGGATTTGGAGTCTTCATTTGCATAAGAGAAGGCCAATCAGAGACCAGGGGCAGGGCTTTCAATCTATATAAGCCAGCTCCCCTCGGGGCGACTGCATGGTCCACATTCCAGCCTGCCTATGTCCCAGGGGCTGCCTCCCAGCCAGGCCAACTTCTCAGCCCTGCCGTCTCATGCCGCCTCCCAAACTGGGGATTTCTGTTGGCGATCACTGGCACCATATGGGATCGAAAATATGGGAGGACAAGAACCAGGAATTTACATCCGTCACAGGTTCCTCTGTGATTCTGGCGCTGAAGTTTGAGAATCCCAAGGCACTGGAGCTTCCAGCCCTCTGACCCTTCCTTTTTATTTCCCCCTCACAAGCCTTCCCTGTGATCTGGGACACCTTAACCAAGTCCAAGGCTGCTCAAAAGCTTCCGATTGAATAATAGGTCCTTTCGGACTGGACGAAGTCTAAGCTCAGCCAGACTTACAGGCGCGCCCTATGCCGGCTCATTCCCGGCTCACGTCCCCTGTCGGTCCCCACACCCGCTCTGTGCCTGCACCATGAGCTCCCACACCTGAGCCTTTTCTCTCCATGGTGCCTTCTCTTGGCAAGCTGGTCCAGTTCCCCCCCCCCTCATGAAATACATTGCATTCAGAAGAGGAGAAACAGACTCTAACTGGGTTACTGTTCGACTCTGCTCGCCTTTGAAATGCTGGTGGAAAGGCAGGCGCCGGAGTCTCCTAGTGCCATTCCCCAGGGGAGGTCCCGAAGTCCAGCTCCCTCCCCCTGCCCGCGGAAAGCATGCCTCGCAGCGTCCTTCTGTCGGTGTGAATGCATTCGGGGTGCTATCATGCCCTTAGCGTGAGTCCTCGCTCTAAATTTCGGGGGCAAACGTGATATTTGCGTCTAAAGAGGAATCCTTCTGGCGTCAGGACTTATTAAATATGCGATCTCTGAGCCGTCGGGAAACCAGCTCATGTTCTAATCGCCCAGGAGACACCGAGTCCCCTCGTCTCACGGTTTCTGGGACGTGGGTTGTACGGAGCGGGTCACTGACTTACTCCCACAGGGAGGAGGATGGGGTTAGGTCTGTGGTCAGCAAACTGCGGCTCGGGAGCCACATGCGGCTAGCTCTTTGGCCCCTTGAGTGCGGCTCTCCCACAAAATACCACGGCCTGGGCGAGTCTATTTTGAAAAGCTGGCGTTGGAAGAAGTTTACGTTTAAAACGTGTGGCTCTCCAAAGAAATG